CACCACCAGTCTTACCGCCTTCTTTTCTGAAGGTAGTTACTTGTGTTGAGATGCAAATTCTTAGCTTGTCCAGGATGAGTGTTGACAGATTATTTGACGGGTTTTTTTTAGGGAGGTGGGGGGGGAGGGGGAAGAGAATTAGGCAACAAATCCTGATTCCGCTGTTCACATGTGCAGTTTCTGTTTGGGATCACTGGTAGCAATCAGGACAGGGATCCTTAGCTTCTTTGTCCAAACATTTATGCAATGTTTTATGGTTAAATACATAATCTCAATTCACAAGACACCGGTAAATTCAATTAGAAAAAGATTTCCGAAGGATTAATGTAGGCTGATGAGATGAATCTGAAGTAAGTACACACAGGTGCTTTGTCATTTTATTTGATTGAGATGGTTAAGAGTATCTTCCAATATAATCAACATTACTGGACTCCTTGCACAAATATACATTCTAACTTCTAAAATCAGTGTCACAATCCTGATTGTGGCATTTTGCCGCAATACCACAGTTAGTGAAGTTACTTTCAAGTCTAGGGTCTGATGCTGGTAGCACAATTGGAAGAGACTGTCTGCAACTCAGCTGGGTCTCTTTCCCTCTCCTTTCCTCCCTCCCTCCCCCCAGAAATGCTCGAGGGACTTGCTTGATGGGCAAGCTGGCTTCCTTCTTCCATTGATCCTCAACATATTTTTTACGTAAAATGGATGAGAAGTTTAAAAAAAACTTTACAGTATATTTTAGCTTTTCTCTATAGCAACTATAAAGTGAAGGAAAGAAATAGAAGTTCTAACAGGAGGCAATAAAGGGGGCAAAATCTGTTTAAAAATGCATGCTCCATAGAGTCTGGCAGCTTGTACCTTAACATCATATGAAGTATTCCACATTGTGACTGTTTTGTGTTGCACTAAATTTAAACCACCCCTGTGGTGTAAACAGTATGGACAGCTGATTTTTTTTGGCTTCAACCTTCCAGATTACAAAATCACATCAGATTGCAACCTTTTGTATCAAATGTTTTCCAGTTCTTTTTCATTTTACCAACTTTGCACCTCTTCTTTCCTCAACTGGAAGGTTTGACTTCTTTCCATTTTACAGTGGTGTGGTTCCACGGATACTGGTCGCATTTATCAACATTCAACAATAGTAGCATTCCCACATCCAAGTGGTTGTTCATGTGTGAGACTTGGTGTTGAGTATTGGCGGTTGTGGGAGGGTATCACAGCTAAGTACATTCCTGTTCTTGCCCCAAAATGCATGCACATGAACAAATTGTAGCAGAAATCTCTTGGTGGTAATTAGGAGTGGGACCCTGACCAACATTTTCTCTTCTTTTCCTAGCAGAAGGGCACTGAGACCAATTGTAGTGCCTTAACTGCTGGCTTGAATCAAACAGACTGTGATTCAAACCTGTTTTTTATGGCCTGGTGCTCACCAGATGGTACTTTACTCATTAGGCCATTGGGAGGTAGTTTTTGGAATTCGAATGCTCTTTGCTGAAAATAGAGCAGCATCAACTACTTATACCTTGATTTGTTTTACTGCAATTGAAACCAGAGCAATTGGCATTGCTAAACTGATTTGCTCTGGTAGCAGTTCATTTAATACACTTGCTTAAGTGTCAGAAGGTTGTGGGTTAAGTGAAATGAATGAATGGTTGGGTGAATAGAGTGCCAGGCAGCACTGCATTGTCAGAGGGTGCCATCCTTCAGATGAGATGCTAAACTGAGGTCCCATCTGCCTGTCTAGGTGAATGTTAGATTTCATGACACTTTGAAAAGTATGTCCTGTTTCCCAGCCAATAATCCTCCAGATACAATTAGTGATTGACTTCATGCTGTTTGTGGGATATTGCTGTGTGCAAAGTGGCTGCCGCATTTGCCTACAACTGTTCCCTACACTTCACAGGGAAATACTGAGACTTGCATTGAGAGTTTTCGATGAGTTGCTAAGGTGCTATTTCATATGCCAGGATTATTTTGTATTAAAATCTGTGTCTTGGTGGTATAAGGATGCGTTCCTTTCACAAGCCACCTCAAGACCTTTGAAATTGCCCGTGCCAAATTAGGAGATGTTTTGTGACCTAAATCAGCCAAACTCATTTCACTATAGAGCTATAGTGTCTCTCTGTCTGAGAAGAGAACATTACGCTAGTGTGAAACAATTGCTTTCTAATGTCAATTATAGATTCTGATAAACTATGCAGAAACTTGGTAAGTTGTTGCTATAGATCCATTCATTGATTCATTCAGTGTAATAAAATCCTTACATTTTGATATGTTGCAGATTAAATGTAGCATGGTTAAATCTCACCCCTTTTTCGGAATATTTCACCCTCATTCAGCATCCTTCATATCATTGGGTTAAAATGCCATTAGGCCCCAGGATATTTGGGGGGAATCAAAAATTAAGTTTTAGTTTTATCAGTTGTGTGATGTGTGCTGTTCTGTGTTCTGGTTGCCTGTACCATAGCAATGAAAATCCGTTCTTTTTGGATAAATCAAAACAACTAAAAAGGGACAAGATGTCCCAGGGACTCCCAAGGTGGGAGTGCAATGTATGGAAGATTGCTACCATTTGAAGAATGAGGAATACTGTAAAGTAGGTAATCTCTAGGGATAGCATCAGCTGGATGGGCAGAATGGTCTGTTTCTGAGTTGTACCTTTTATGAATCTCTTCCTGTTTCGACATCTTCCACATACCATTGGGTTCAACTCTGCTGGCTACAGAAGTTGGAAAAGAAATTGAGCTTTTAAATAATTAAATCATTTCATTATCAAAAAGAGGAACAACTTTTTGTTATCCAATTTTCTTTGTAATCTTTCAAAAGAAAACAAAGTGCTTGTAGTCAGACTACTTAGTAATCAGGAAATAAATTATTCATTCTTCTTAAATTTCTGAAATCAGGTTTCTTGAATGTGAAAAGCTTCATGTTTTCAAAGAATTTGCCTCCTGCTTTAATCAGCTAGCCTGGCTCAGTTAGCAGCACTCTTCTCTTTAAATCAAGATTGTGGGTACCTCACCCTTCCGAAAACCAGCTCCCAGCTCAGGTACAGACTTTCAACTGCCCATTGCTTTGGGATATCCTCCCAACATGAAAGGTTCTTTATAAATGTAATTTGTTCTTCAACTACCACATACTCTAAGCTGATGCTCCATTGCAGTGCTGGGGGTGTGCTGCATTGTTTCGACGTATTGTCCTTTGGTTGAGACATTAAACCTAGACCCAGTCTGCCTGTCCAGGGGGACGTTAAATAGCCCTTAGCATTATCTGAAAGGAGAAGTTTTTCCTGGGTTTCTGGCCAACTAACCCCCCAAATAAAATTGGTTACTCACTCCACAGTTGTTTATGGGGCATTGCTGTGTGGAAATTTACGGTTGCATTCACCCTCAAATTAGGCACAGTCACACCACTGTGAAGCACCTTGATGATATAAAGGTGCTATATTAAATGCAAGGATTATTATATAACCAATATTGTTTTAATCTGGAAAACGGCCTTCATTTTTGTATTTGTATAAAGTAAATTATTCATGTGATTTTTTTTGCACAAAGTGCATTTAACTTTTAGAGGCACAGTGACTACCAAATGAATGGAGTTGGTGATAACTCGAACTCCGCATTACGTTCTTTTTTAAAATTAGACCAGCATTGTTTGCATTATTTGTTACCAGGTTGGGCCTTTTATTTGTGAAGTCCATAACCACTCCCAGGTTTTGTCTCCATGTCAAGTTACAACTGTTAATCTTGTAATGAACATCCATGTTCACACCTACATTAACCAGACTGCTGAGCCTCTCTAGAACCATTAGAATAATTGGTTCCAAGTACCTGCTTTGTCATCCCACACACATTTGTATTGTCAGCAAGCTTAGAAATTCTGCTTATTATCTCCTCATCTGGGTCATTTATGTAGGTTGTCAAAAAAAATAGTCTGAGGACTGAGTGTTCATGGAAATCCACTAGTTACTATGAGACCCCACTGACTACTTTTCCTACTTGAAAAATGGTTGCCTGTGAGTTTCCTGTCTATTGAATTATGTTTTCATTAAATTTACTCAAAATAAAAAAAACTAACAAGCAGTGTAACCATAGATTTTCTAAGAGCTGAGGTAATTTTAATGAATGGGCTAGAAATATTTTATACATCTTCAGTGTTCAAAATCAATCTTTGTTTCCTTCCCTAAAAGTATCTTATTTCCCATTAACAGGGTAGTTCCGGTTGGATGTGTATTGAAATTACATTGACCTATTTCTTATCTACTGTATCTCAACAAATCCTATTTTAACATTTCAATGTGGCTCACCTTTTTAAGCATTGGTTTGAAACTTGGTTTAGCTATCAAAATTTATCGCAAGAATGGTACTGCATAATGTTGTGATTAGTCGGTGATTTTGGATCTTACTTGTTCAGAGCTGTATTTGTGTGAAATATAAGCTGTTGTCATTCATTTGACATGTTTACTGTGAAAGCAGCAAACCCATTCAATCATTAAACTAAACTGTATCCCATTCTCCACCCCCACATTTGTTTGAGGAGTGAAATTATGCTCTGTTACGATTAGTGGGCTCTTTGTGTTTGCCTGCTCAAACGCACTAAACCCTGACTCCCTAACTCTTGGGCAGGACAGGGATTGATTAGTCTGTCTGTCGGCTGAGCCATGTGACCACATTGGAGCTTAGTGTTCGTAACCAATGTGTTGTTCTGGTCTGTTGTCAGCATTGCACTAGCAGAGATCTGATCGAGATGGCCAAGGCCAGAGCAGACAAAAAGCTGGGTGAGCACCTAGTTCAAAGGACTATTTGATTGTTGAATAGCTTGATTTGGTTGAGTTTAATTTGAGAGACGTACTGTGTAACAAAGTTTTTATCGTGCATCTGTTGTTTGGAAAGATAGCTTATGTTTTTTATCGCCTAACTCCTCTTGAGTTTTTTGTAAGTGGTTCCGAGTTTTGTGCATCATGAAATGAAAATACTGATTCATCAATTTATTTTCTTTTTCAGTTGATGCTGATGAGATTAAACGACTAGGAAAACGGTTTAAGAAACTGGATTTGGACAATTCTGGTTCGCTGAGCGTAGAAGAGTTTATGTCTCTGCCCGAGTTACAACAAAACCCGCTAGTACAGCGAGTTATAGATATATTTGACACAGATGGAAATGGCGAAGTTGACTTCAAAGGTAAGAAAACAATACTAAATTTGTAGTGTCAGTTAAATGTAAAATCTGATTGGTAAAGAGCTATTTAAAGCCAAGATTGACCTGGACTTTACCTAGAATTTGATATTGTGTGTAGTTAAATATGTAAATTATATACTGTTTGGATTTAGGGCATTGTTCAGTAATTATGATCATCAGCTCTTACGTTTTTTTTCTTGCTATTTTTGTGTTGCATGAAGACATTTGTTATGGTTGATATTTTTGGCAAGGTGAGCAGCGCTGGCATAAAATTGCTTTCTTCAGGTTAGTTTATACTATAGATAATGTGGAGTTTAAAACTCTAATTTTAATTGATGGGGAGGGAGAAGAGAAAGGGACAGTTCTGGTTTATAGACGTGTTAATTTGGGTGAATCTTCCAGGTGATTTATAATTGATATATTCCGTACATGCCTACACATTGTCTGCTTAGAATTTATGAAATGTAAGAAGTAAACTAAACTTCTGTTAATATTGCTTTAATCTCTATTGTTTCCAATATCCTGTGTTGCCACACTGCAGGTTATCTCTAGGTGTTAACCCTTTATAAATCATATTAACTTCAATGGCCTATAAATATCCAAATCATCATACTGATTTAGAATAATGCTACTTTAATGTTTCAATGTTAACTGATGCATTTAATGGTAGTTACAAACCTTCAAACAGAAATATTTTCAAAAGGAAGCAAATTAAACATAGTACTAAAACAAAAAGCCATTTTGGGGCAGTTGACGTAGGTCAAATTTTGTTCTGAATTAACTTGCAATCAGCAGACAAAGATTATTTGAACTTTCAGATTTTCAGAAAAGCTTGATGTAAAATGATACTAGAGGCCACAACCTCCCATCTGGTGCAGCTGGGGATGGGCTTCTGAACAACATTTCATCTAAGGATATGTGGAGTCAGGAGATGGGGTTTAGCATTCCTAATGTGCAATATTACAGTAACTTGAATGTTGAGCATATAATTATTTTGCAAAAAAAATAAGGTATCAAATGGAGGCATACATGGCTACATTACAAATTCCATAATTAAGATACGTTTAATTCACAAATTGATTTATTTTTCAAACATTGGTCATTTTTGTTTGCTTTATTGAACCGTCTTTTAATAATAATAATAATAATCCTTGCATTTGATTTAGCGCCTCATCACGTCAGATGACGTCTTGGAGCGCTTCACAGGATTTATCGTGAAATGGAGTATCTTATTTCATGTCAACAGTTTGTTTTCTCTATGTTCAACAAATAATTGTGAATTTGAAAACTACATTTGGAATGAGGTAGATTATCTTAGTTTTGAAACTGGATTGTAATTTATTTTAAACTAGTTATTTTCATCTCGGTTGGTTTCTAATTTTCTTCAGTGCAAAATTTGGAGTCCTTTCCTAATCATACAATCAATGACTACTTAGATTTAATAATATAACTTCAATTTAGTCAGTTGCATAACAGTATGTTCTATGTAGACATGAACATAAGGTTTGTTCACAATTGATACATAAAGGATTTACCTATCTAATTAGATGTAATTGTCTTAAGCAAGACTTGATGTTTTTAAAGGCAGTGTTTTTTTCCGTGAATGCCAATTAATTGTACGTGACCAGAATAGCTAGTAAAAATAAACAGCTTGTATTTGTTACTTTTTTATGATAAATTGAGATGCCAATATACAAATTGCAGCCAAGTTGCGTCAACCTTAAGCTGGTTTCATCTCCATCTGGCCTTATGAAGTCTCTTCCTGTAATTCCCTAAGACCTTGAATAGGATTCAGTTGAAGGTGATGTGAAACTCCTCCTCATTAACGTAAAAATAACGTACGAGAGATTGAGATGTAGTAAAAGTGGCATACTGTTGGTTGCAAATATTTGTTGGAAACTAAATTTTCAATTGATTTTTGATTTGTGTCAACTTATTAGGATGCCCTAAATTTTGGTGTTGAATGAAAAGAGAAAAAATGGGGTTGTTTTTAGGCGGTGTAAGAACTTCTAGTATCTCTCAAACTTTAAGCGTTTAGTTTTTAATTGGAATCATTACTGTTTCATTTGGGAATTATTCTTGAAGTTAAAGTTGAAACATATCTAGTTTAAGATCTGTTAATCAGTATTGGGTTTTTTGGTCAACTTTCATTACAAATGATTTTAAGGTAGAAAGCTAAATCTTTGTAACTAATATTGGTTATGCCCAGTTAGATGATTTTGTGAAGCTTAGAAACAATAGTGCTTATGGGAAGGGTACACCATAGATTCTCAAGGTTAATACTGGAGGTGAGGGCCTATAATTATGAGTAGAGGTTGGAGTAGATACGACTCTGCGTTGGAGCAAAGAGCTTGAGGGGTGATATAGAAGTGTAACAATCCTGTGGGTCAGTAATTAGAGCACTCACCTCGCACGCGAGAGACCTGGGTTTGATTCACGGCAGGGTGAAACGTTGGGCACGTTTGTTTTATTCCACCCACCTCTGTTTACCTGGCAATGAGTAGGAACCCGGTTGTTAGTTGATTGGCGGATCGCTTTTCCAGGGGTAATAATTCCTTCAAAAAAAACTGTCAACCCCCAGCTCGGGTCTGAAACACTGATTGTCCAGCGCTCTGGGATGTCCTCCTGACGTGAAAGGTGCTATACAAATGTAATTTTGTTGTTGTTTGTAGGACTATTGGCTGCTATGTTTCACCCACAACATACAAAGTCAATTTGCTTTGAGACGTCTTGAAGAAGTGATAAAGCGCTATATCAAATACAAGGATTATTATATTTTTATTATAAGCTAGGGTTCTACACAAATGTAATTTGTTGTTGGGTTTGAGAGGATAAATGTCTGGCAGTTAAGTGAGTTGTGGACAAAATTACATGAATTGAAAAATATAGATTAGGTGTGTGAAGAGGAAAGTTAGGAAAAAGATTTTTTTTCCTCAGAGGGTTGTCAGTATGAAATAAATTGCTTGGGATCGCCGATGAGGCAGACTTGATTGCGCCATTTGAAAGAGATTTAGATAGACACATACAAACAGAGTATTGTCTACAAGGAAAGAGCATGGAATTCACATTAGATGGGCATCAATGGAGGAGCAAATACTGCATTGTATTATTATGGCTTTGTTGTAGATTTCTATGGTTCTAATCCAAAAATACCATCATGTTACTGCTTGGCGTTTCTGTAGAAATTAAAATACCATTATTCTAGCTTAGTCCATATTTCATGAAAGATACCGAAACAGTGTAGCTTTATGTTTGCTTTCCATTTTAGCAATTAAGGGAAAAGAAATTTTGAAGTGTCAAGAATAGTTTCCATTAACTTTCAATATTCGCAATGGGAGATGGGCGTGAGAGTTCCATCCTTGACTTGCATATGGTGTAGCCCAGAGTGTTGCATTTTTATATAGCTCCCAATGCATTAATCACCAAACAAGATCTCTTAACCCCCAAAATGTCTTGTTGCCTATTTTTTTTCCTGTTTTCTGCACTCTTCTTTCTCACTGATGCACGCAGACACGAATGGGAGGAGATTCTAATACAGATTTTCAAAATTCTGAGTAGTTGAACCGAGAGATCCAATTTGCACTGATTGATGAATCACTGAGGGTACAAATTGAGTATCATCTCATTAAAAGAATAAATAGCTGTTGAAGCTGAATCTACAACCAGATTTAAAAAGGAATTGGCTAATGCCTGAAGAAATATAATACAGTAGAAGGCCCAATATCCACATTAATTGGGACTGGCTTCACTGTGTATGCGTATTAAAATAGTGCAGATATCAAGTCTCTTTTGCATTTTTCTTTCTGTTTCTCTCTCCATCTTCTGTGTGACTTGTATTGGTGCTTTATTACTTACTGACCAAGGTTATGGAAAGACCAGTACTTTCCATGACCCTGGGAGATACAGTACTTGCAACAAGTTTTTTCTAAAAATTGGTTTGAGATGACTACTAGTAAAAAGGTAAGAATTGTTCAACAATATTTGGTCACACTATAGTGAGTGACAAGTCCATCTTGCTGTACCATTCCAACATCAAGCTATTTATTAAATGCATTCAGTGGTCCTGGGCACTACCTCTTTTCTATTTGTTAATCGCTCCCCGTGTGAAGAAATACTTTTGTCTTTTTTGTCCTAAAATTACCCTTCACAATTATGAACCTGTTCCATCTTGTCATGTTGCCATGGCATTTCTAAACACTTCTGGGTTGGTTTAGAACTTTTATTTTCCACAAGTTGATGAAAAGGAAACGGGTATATTAAACTTTAGTTTAATTTTTTTTTAAAAAAGCACAGTGCTGGCTGGTGAGCCTCTTCACTCAAAGGTTAGATGTGAAAAAAGTATTAATGGAACTCTTAGTATTGGTTTATTGAGTGCTATGTTGCAATTGAGTTGTAATATATAAATGCAGTCCAGTTTTAAGAGAGCAACCAGTTCAAAGGATCTAGTTATGTTATATAATTTGCTTTTGCAACATTGTTGTTTTTCAGAGTTTATTGAAGGTGTCTCCCAGTTTAGTGTGAAGGGTGATAAGGAACAGAAACTGCGATGTAAGTATGGCTTCTTTGTATCTGACAAGCTTTGATTTCCCTTGTTGCTGACTGTATGCACTTTATGTAAGTTCGAACTCAGTGCAGAGCACTTCAGTATAATGTGGTTTAGATAAAACATGGGAACACCGAGGACCCATGGTTTCTTCCTCCTCCTGACACTGACTGACCAGCTTCTTATACATGGTGTATAAATGCAGTAAGACTTGATTGCAGTGTAATTCTATCACGGGGTCCCATTTAATATATCAGTTGTGTGGTTAGAGTGCTCTTTCATTGTTAGGTGAAAAGATTGACCTGACATTTTAGTGTCATCTGGCTCCAGTGTTCCTTATTTTTGTTTTTTGTTTATTTATGTTTTTATTTGGTTGAACTGCTATCATTGTTATGTATAGAGGTTTGAGTTATTAGATTCTGTTTATCAATGTACACAATATAAAACATTTAAACAAATAGAATTTTCCCTTATAGACTTCAAATTACGTGTGTGTAATTTAAAAGCCTGTAATCTCAAGCAATATTGGTCTACTCTCTGAGGTTCTTAGACTACAGCTATTTGGTTCAATATTTTTAAATCTCTTATCAGTTTATGAAAATGAGGCTTATTAGGTGTATATTCTTATTCAGGTTGTGAAGATTTGATTCAAGTCAATTTCCCAATATATAGATATTTTAATAATCTAAATTTACTTCCACCCATTCTCTCTTCCCTCCCTTCCTCTGAAGGTATTTGATTCATTTTTCCTTCCACTAAGGGGACAAGTGCCATTAGGCATCTCACCCAAATAGACACTCTTTCTTGCCGTTGAACCTTGCCTATTTCACCAAATTCAGAGTTTTGGGTTGAAGGACAGGGTCAGATGATGTGGGACTGCTCCAAACTTTCAGATTTGTTGTTGAGTAGCTGATTGTGTCAAAGACCTATATGATCCCATCACACAAATTAGATTAGTGAATGTCTTTGCACTCTCTGCACTTCCTCCAATTAGGGAAAGGTCAGTATTCCAGTTGACTGGCAGATGTCCTTTTGAGAATAGAGACTTTCAGCACCTGTCCATCCAGAAGAATGAGCACTTTTTGAATGTTTTGCACACACGTTTGCATTTCTTAAGAGTATATTTCAAAATGTGGGAATGAACATTCTGAGCTGTTTTTAAAATTGTGAAAAATGTGTACCTAATCCAAGTTTTGGTACATTTAAAGTTTAAAGGCTCAATTACCTATTAGTAATGTTGTAACAGTTTGAGGCAAAAGTAGACCAATCATTGATCTATCTGGATGGCTTAACCATCCAAAATTCCTGAAAAATTCCTTTTGACGCGTCTTTTTTCAAACTCTTTCTAGTTCTTTGATCCGCATGCCTGTCAATCATTTACAATTCTGCTCTGCCTATTGGCATTTACTTTGATATCTTGTTTCTGTATATAACAGGAAAACAATCTTTTTTTTTGAATCTCTTCAAATTTCCCTCCCTCTGTCTTCCTTTCAAATTAGGCAAGACCTAGATGTCTCCAAGTTGTGCATAAATTTCATATCCCTCCATCATGTTCCGGAGAAGCGCTCTCGGGATACTAATCAGCATGAAGTGCGCAATATAAATGCAAGTTGTTGTATCACACTCCTTTGTAAGAACTGAATTATGTGTCAGCCTGGTTCAGAAGGTAGCACGGTCACATTTGTCAGAAGGTTGTGAGCTCAAGCCCCATGTCAGCACTTTAACCTCAGTCCAGTCTGACACTCCAGTGCAGTGGTGGCAGAATGCTGCATTGTCGGAGGCTCTGTGCTTCAGATGAGAAATTAAACTAACTTCCAGTCTACCTGTCAAGGTGGATGTTAAAGAACTCAAGGCATTATTAAGTGAAGGGATTTTTTTTCCGATGATTTAGCTATCTTATATTAATGCTCCCTTGTTTTACAGTGATCAACAATTAGAAACAATATTAACGTCCACTTTATCAAATTCTTTCATAACTTTAAATCTGTCAGGTCCCCTTTGTGTCTTCTCCAGTGAAACAAAAGCTCTAACCTGTCCAACTGTTTTTGGTAGCTGTAACTACTCTTTGGTAACACCCTAGTAAATGTACATTCCAGTAGCATTCTTTCCAAAGCTACTATCTCCTTCCTATAGTACAGCAACTGGAATTGCACTTACAAATGTGGTCTAACCACATTTATGAGTAGAGTATGCATACCCACATATTCAGCTATTCCGTATCCCTCTGGGTGTAGAAAATTATAAGAATCGAGGTGCATAAATTCAATTTATTGTCCTCTGGAATTCTGTCAAAGGTATTTAAATTTAATCTCCAAATTATTTGTATAAATTGTATATTGTGGTCACAATATTGCCCCCTTTGGCATCACTAAAGATGAGCTCTCAGCCAACCGCTATCTGTTGCTTTTTACTAAGCAGCCATTTGTATTCTTTCCCATGAAATGGAGCTCTATGAGATCTTATTGCCATGGCTGAACCATTTCTAAAATGTGTGAAGTGTTTTGAGATATTCTCACAATGTGAAAGGTGCTAAATAAATGTAAATCATTATTGTGAAATCGCTGAAAAATATTTATGAAGGGACTCACTTGCAATCACCTTAGTCAGTGCTTAAAGAATCCTGGGATGAAAGCCGTCAGACTCCAAAGTCCAGCCTTCCTTGAGCTTTTGCAACCTTCTCAATAGATTCTCCTTTGTGATGCTAAAAGCCTGGTCAACAAGTACTACTACTGAATACTAGAGTTTGATGTCCAAGCTTTAAAACCTCCAATGCGTCATGACTCCGTGTTTTAATAAATACATATATATTGCATCATGAATGCTAAATTTATACAACTTTTTATATTCCTCAGTTGCTTTCCGTATCTATGACATGGATAAGGATGGGTACATCTCCAATGGAGAGCTTTTCCAGGTACTGAAGATGATGGTCGGGAACAATCTAAAGGACACTCAACTACAGCAAATAGTAGACAAAACCATAATAAATGCGGACAAAGATGGAGATGGAAGAATATCCTTTGAAGAGTTTTGTGCAGTGAGTATTTAGATTTCAACAAAATGGGGCATCAATTAATACAAAAAATCACCTTTTAATTGAATTGTGTGCTAGGTTACAGCTCAAGGCAACACTCAGATGAGTTAAGGTTTTGAAGCAGTAGAGATTGGGTGGTAAAGGTTACAGATGCTCTGAAGCTTCAGTTCACTTGAGATGAAATGGAAATTATCTTTTGCTCCTCTGATTATTACCTTCCTGACATTTAAAAAAAACTAAGATGAAGCTCTTTGGAGCTTTTCATCTTGATTAATGGGGTAGTTTGCACTGTCTATGTGAGAAGGATGTGCTAATTTCTTTCACCATCACTCTTCTAGGTTGTAGGAGGCCTAGACATCCACAAAAAGATGGTCGTTGATGTGTGACCTCATTAAAGGCTCCACCCAACACTTCTGCTTTCTTCTCCATCTCTGAAGATCTGCTCAAGTTGTCCAGCAATGCTTTCTGTGTATTTAATGGAAGTATTTTCTCTGTGAAGCCACTTTTTCCAACATGAGCCTCATGAAGCCAACTAAGTGTTATTGAACTTCAATTCTCTCAATAACCAGTGTAGCACTTTAAAATCTGAAAGACAGCTGAAAAGGAGCATCTCAGTGTGATGGAGAAGGGGAAGGGGCTGGATTTTTATTTATTTCATTTTCATCTTTTATAACAAGGACGTATATCTATAGCTTTGTAAATGTAAAAGTAGTTGGTTGGGCTTTAATAATCAACATGATGCAGAGGCTTGATTTAAAAACAGTAGTCTACAAAGTGCCAAGCATGGATGACACAAAGCATTTTAAAATACTTTGTCATAAAATTGTTTTTATTTGGTTCCCCATTTATATGTATTTCACATCTGACAGATTGTAAGGAATCTGTTTAAAATTTCCTGTCTTTCCTGTGAACAGGGTTTAACTTGTACTGTTCTTGTTTTGATATATTGACTGTTTTGATAGAACACGTTTGTTTCCAGTCACTCAAACAAAATAATTTACATTTGTTTTGAATGTTTTGGGTTCCTCTTTTGAGGATTGTATCCCTTTCTACCAGCCTGTCTTTCATCAATTACTTTAGTATAATGTAGATGCCAAGAAACCTGCCCTTTGTGCAACTGTAAATGGCAGACTAATTATGTAGCATATCTTTCTGTATACTGTCTTGGTAAAGTCTGAGGATTACTACTGATTGAAGGGATCCCCAAAATACAAAATTACTGTTTTCAATCACATTGGATTGGTAGAACTGCAAGTTGATGCTTTGCATTTGAATCCTATGGTTGAAAACCAACTTTCAGTTGGTCTTTAAAGGCCATCTGAAAATATTGTTCATTTCATCATTCAAGTGTGCAATAATTCAAGGACTATAAAATGAAAAGCACCAGTTAACAAAAGAACTCTTCTTCAAAAATAAGTCACATTGAAAGTTTGAGTGGTTATACCTCCTGGTTATTTTTGCCACACATAATCTGGAGTTAGTTTTTCTCCCTAAAATGTTGTAGTTGCTCTTCACTTGTCTCCAACCTCCTGTGAGTTTGTGTACATGCAGCATGGGAGCAATGAGCTGAATTTCTTCTTCTTTGCCCCCCCACCTTGTCTCCCAAATAACCTTTTATAATCGCTTTGTTTTTTTTGCTAAGATATGAAGTTGTAAAGAAAGAAACAAAGTTTTTAATAGAGGCAACTAAACTTTACAGCAGGACTTGTTTATAATCTCCTTAATCCAGTCTCTTCATTTTATTAAGATGTGTAATGGGGGGGAAGGGGCAGGCCAGACTGCTTTATGTGCTTAGTAAAACTGCTCAAGCACCCCTATGCCATAGCTGTTCCTTCAGCTAAGTGCTGCACACTGGTGGGCTCTGTCTGTGAGAGATCCAGGTGCTTGGTGTCCTTGCATGACAAGAAACTTTTGCATGTAGATTGAAATATTCCTCCTGTTTACATAAATCGCAATGTTCATATAAAAGTTGCCAAATGTTGGTAAATGTTGAAGAAAAATAACTCCACTAAATGTATTCTTTCTTCCTCTGGATTGGTGCATGGCTTGCAACTACAGCCAGTTGTATCTGCTCCAGTGTCAACTGCCATGTGCTACGCTTCAAGGGGAATCTAGTCTTTTTGTGAATTTACTTGTACATAAGTATTTGTTATAGTCATGTAGAAATGCTCTTTCCCTTTGCTCGTGCATAATTTGACTGCAATCCAAGATAGTGCAAACATCTTTTCCTTATTACAAGGAATGAGTTTTTATTTAGATTGTGTGGGAAAACAATGTTGAATGTTTAGTTTTTTCTCTGCATGCTGCATCATATGCTGTGGGACTATTGGAACCTTCATACTGTAATAGTAAATTGAATAAAATATTTGAAACTTTTGTGTTTTGTCATTAAGGTAGTTCAGAAAGTTTAAAAAAAAATGTTTCTTCCTTAAAGAATATGAAATCATTTGGAAAATAGGTGACTGCAGGAAAATCAAGCAATAGAAAATAATTTCCCATTAATTGTTCTTCCAGTTCCTTTTGGTTCAATTTAACCTTGATTTTATATTCTTAAAAACCTGCATATACAAGTTTGGTAGCAGTAATACTTTGAAGACTTCAGCTCCGAACAAATCAAGTTAATGTTTCTAGATAGTTTAGAAATGGTAACCTGCAACTGGATTTTATAATCAGTTTGCATAATTCCTGAATTCATTTACACCATGGAATCCATCTGTAAAACTAGCGTGAGCTTAACTCTTAGTAAGTTCCAGTCTCATTTTAAGACTTGAGCTCATAATATTGCCCAGTTTTAGTCATCCCACTTTAGGGTGGATGGCTGGGCGATAGAGTGCATAGATTTATTAGGATACCAAGATCTCTTGGCTTGATCAATGAGTGAAACCTGGAGCACTTGGGCCTATTTTCACTGGAAGCCACAATAGGTCTTTAAAATCGAGGGGCTTTGATGGGGTGAAAGATGGTGCAGGCTGGTCACTAGAGGGCATCAACAAGAATTAGCAAGGGAAAGATTAGGGAGGAAAGAGAACCATATTAGCTTTCAATGGAGAATTAAATATAAAAGGATTATGGGGAAAAGGCAAGTAAACAGGACTGAATGAATTGCTCTTTCAAAGAGCCATAATGGCCTGTTGTTGCTTATATTTCTAATTCATGCTAAACTCCATGACACCAAGAATTCTGCAATTTTTAGAGAAACCAGCTATTGTCTCATACAATTGCAAGATGTACAAATATACTAGGGCATCTGGAACACTTTATTTGTTATATTATTCTTGGAATAAGTCAAACAATATTCAATCAGCAGTTTTACATTAAAAAGTGAATAAATCTTAAAATGTACAGATTAACTTGCAAAATTTACAGGATTCTAATGAGCTGTCATTCAATTCCAACTGCACCAGTGAACTAAATGGTGTGTAATCCATATCATCCACATAACCTCCATCAATTGTGCAAATTCACAATGCATTGAGTTCATTAATCCTGGGTGTCAGAAACGTTCTGCTGCTCTGCTTGCCACTGCTCGAATGTTACCATAAACTTTAGATGGTGGGCTCCCTGTAAGAAAATTATTTAAAAATGCTTAGCAGGTGAAATCTTGTACATCATTTTATTTGTACTGTAAAACTCACATACATCTTACTTTATAAATCATATAGTTGCCCGTGTTGTACATACACGCAAGTCTCATTCAATTTCCTATCAAACCCACTTGAGATTATTTTTTGCACTAGTTGTATTTTATAAAGAATCCGCTCCCCTATCCTGCACTTACTGGCTGCATTGAATCGCAGGCAATTATGTCTCATTAGTCAAAGCATAACGCACTTGCTGGCCGACTACATTGAATCTCGGGAAACGTAGTCTTGACCTATCAGTGCAAGCGCAGAACACCACCCCACCCGATTCAACATGATTCCAATGTTTGCCGAGAAGTGCATGCGTAGTTATTGGCCACATTTTATTAACATTAAAGAACCCGTGATACTATACGAAAAGGGAAGGTAGGTTACCCTGATTGCCTGGCCAATAACCCTCTATGGGACACTGCTGTGAAAATTGGCTGCTGGGTTCACCTCCACATAGTCACTGTACTTAATTATATGAAACACTAAAGTGATTAACACCTTGTGCTCTTAAGCCAATTACACATGTTCCTAAAGGGTTATGCTGCTATTTGTGAATGCCTTACATATTGCTATGAGGACTTTTCCCCCCCACATAGAATCATGAAAACAGTGACAAAGGATAAATAAGCAGGATGGCAGAGAACAAAAACAAGCAGCTTGATTTTTGTATGGTTAGAATTCAGACAAATTGATCTCAGAAGAGAAAAAAATGGATATTGTCTCTCCTGAGAAAGAGAATTATGGCGTGGCAATTAAAAGGCGAAAAGATGTGGGGTATTCGTATCTCAATGGAGTTTAGCACCAAAACAGAGGGTAAAGTCATTCTTTCCCCCTTTGGTATAAAACTAATTTACTTTGCCTTTATACTTATGAAGAAATCTAGTTCAGTCAGAATAAAAGCAACTAGAATGTAGCCCAGATACCCTTTAGTTTACTTAAATTTAAATAGGTAACCTCTATAAAATCTGCCATAATCTTTTTTAAATATACACTTTTTGGGTTATTGATTTTCTTGAAACTATCGACAATAGGTGAATGGAAACAAAGGTTGTCATTAACATACCCAGAATGAGATTGCAGATGGCTGTTCGAGCCATCTTAATATTCTGAAAAGAGCCGAGGATATGAATCTTCCTGTTAAAAGAGAATATGAGAATTGGGTTACTGCACTGTACGATACGCTAACTCATCTACATAATAGGTCACATTCTCACATTCTTAACTACAGTAAAAGATATCTTATAGCAGGTCAAACACACCAAATACCATAGACCCCATGTTCTTTGTGAGGTGTGACTTCGAAGATGTCAGGTCACTACTGCAGAACTTCTGAATCATGAAAAAATAATAATCCTGTATTTGATAGAGCGCCTCACCATGTCCTTGAGATGTCTCAAAGAACTTCACAGAATATAAAGTGAATTGACTATATTTTTCGTGGGGGAATCTCGGCAGCCACTTGCGCACAGCAGTGTGGACAAACAGTCGTGGATTTAGTGACTATTTTTTAAATTCTTTTTAAAAAAGGAATTATTAACCCCGCAAAAGTGTCAATCGACTAACAACCGGGTTCCTACTTACTGCTAGATAAACAGAGGCGTGTGGCCCAAGAAAACTTGCCCAACATTTCGCACTGCCGGGAATCGAACCCAGGTTTCTCGCTTGCTTGGCGAGTGTTTTAACCACTGAGCTACAGGACTCCACAAAGAGTTCAGGTTATTGTGCAAGTTCATGACCCCTTGAGTACCCCAGTTCATATTTAGCTTCAGAAATCCTTCATTCAATTACTAGGAGATTGATTTCAAATTCAAGTTATATTTGCAGCATTGGTATTGAGTATTGAGCAGTATTGAGTATGTAGAAAAGCAACACTGGAAGAAATATTCACATTAAAAGAAGTGTGATGTCACAAATGTCAGCCAATTTACGGATACCACTCAGCTTTTCTCGCATGCTCAACAGTCTCTGTGCGTTAGGAAGTTAACATATAACCTTAGGAAGTTCTTAAGACTTCTGAATCACCACAGAACATCACCCTGTTTATGTGCATGCAGCATAAAGAAAACATTGGCAGAGAGGGGAATATAAAATAGAGCTGCTAGAAGTGAAGTCCCGCTATGATTTTATGTTAACTCCAATTTATTTTTGCCTAAAATTACAATTGCTACACTTGAAGCGCTTGAGACATCCTCCTGATTGAAAAGATAGTGTACCAAATGCAAGGATTATTACCTTTATTGAAAACACACTATTCGTGGAAATAACATCATCCACCAGCAAATACAAAGCACATTATAGGTGCACTGCACTATGTGAAATTACTAGTCAGTTATGCAATTTCCACAAATGGTATACGCAGATCATATGTCTAATAAATATAAATACGTCTTACATTGTAACCAATCATTTATATTGAGTCCCAAAGACAGATATATCCTGGAATGGATGTTGTAATATCCTATAATATTAATGTCGATTCTATATTCAAAGTGTGCTGATTGAGCTCAGCTTGAAGAAAAAAACAAGATAAAATGAATCCAGATAAACTCCCTTTACTTACGAATCAGCAAGCACTATTCTTGTCCTGGTTACGTTCTCTATTGTAAATTTGGTTTTTCCTCCTTTGCCAGCGATTCGTCCTATTGCTCTAGAAAGATGATCACCTTTTAATGGTTTCACTAGAGAAAGGAAACATTCTGATTAGAAACAGTTCTGATCATAAACACTGGTTTACCTTTCAGATCGTTACACACACACATATATATATATATCTGTATAAAAAAATGTCGAGCACTTGGATTAGCAGCACCAAATTCCTGTAATTTCTTATACAGCACAAACATGACCGTCAACAACATTATCTAGGCCAAGCATGGCTTTAAAACTGAAGGAATTACTGAAGCATAAATGGCTCACCATCTGTAATATCAAATGTTTCCAGGAACAGGTCGTCCAATCGAATCAGTGCTAAGGCATCCTGGATATCAAAAAAACAAGTTCAATGAGGATTACAAAGCAATAAATTTTATTCTAAACATGCGTGGGAAAAACCCCATTCCAATCACGATTACAGAAATATTACTATACGAACAGATAAGGGAAACTATTTCTTCTCATCAGTCGAAAAGAATTTACAAAGAAATGCAAATCCACTATTAAGTAAATTTACACTAAAAAGCAACAATAAATTTGCATGTGTATTGGCCAAATGTGCAAAGCTCAAAATTTAGAAATACAGATTGCTTGGACTTTTGAGGAGCTAAAAGCAGCAGAGCTTGCACCATGTAATTAAAGGCAAATCATAATCCATAATATGTTGTGGCAGTCATAGTTGCAAAGATTTGACACAGTCGACCACGCCATCTTCATCCACCGCTCTCCTCCCTCATCCACCTTAGTGGGATCGCACTCGCCTGATTCGAGTCCTACTTCATAAACCACCTTCACTTTTATCTCTTCAAGAATGTTGGCCATCCTTGGCCCCCCCTCCTCTTCCTGATCTACAAATCTTTAGGTGTGATTTGAAGATGGCCAAAGAGGAGATAAAACGGAGGGATTGAGTTAGGGAGTTCCAGAGATTTAGGGCTTAAGTGTCTAAAAGTGGCTTCACTACACGTTCAGTCATCGTCTCATCCTCAGCCCAACTTGCCTCCCATCCCTCCTGAGTCCAACTCCCAGCTCAAGTGCAAATAACCCTCGATTGTCCAGCGCCTTGGATGCCCCCTAATGTGAAAGGCAATATCTAAGTAATATTTGTTGTTGTTGAAAGCACTGGTGCCAATAATGGAACAGAGATGGGCATGCAGAAGACCCGAGCCAGCTGGGCGAGTGTGCGCAGATTGGAGAGGTAGTGAGGTGCCAGGCGTGAAGCGATTTGAAAGTGAGGATTTTGAAAACGATCTGTTCTGCAACAGAGGGCTAGCGGAACCGGGCAAGAACTTGACTGTCGGGGTGTGGAGCCTGGTGTAAGCGAGGACACGAGCAGCAGAGTTTTGTATCATTCGGACCTTGTTTATAACAACACACTATGCTACATTAACTTACCTCCACCTGGAATCCAAGAATAAATGCCTTTACAAAGTCTGCAGCTTTTGTCAGTGAAGCGATCTCCTGCGTTTCTTTACAAGTCTAGAAGATGGCAGTAAAATTTCATAAATCTTCACAAATCACACCTTTTACAAGTATAGAAAATCTCTGAATGGGAAGGGGGGGGGGGGTGAAGGACAAATGCAGAACAAATAGCCCTCATGACTGCATATAAGAACAACTTGAAACTAGTATTACCAGCCTACAGATCATATCAAACATTAATTACAGAATAAGACTTGCACTTGTATCGAATGATCACTTGAAATCAGTGCTGGCCTGAAAATATACATCATATCACACCTTTGACAATAATAGCTCATCAACTGCAACAATTGAAACCAGCAACAAATTAGTTTTCTTAGGGAGTTTTTGCAACGAAACCTTGAATTTGTATTACAACTGTCCTTCTATGGATGAGCCACTATATTTCAAACATAGACACTATATCAAATGCGAAGATTTATTTTAGGATTAAATGGCTTGTCTTCACCAAACAGTTTATATACCGGTCAAGTATCACTTGAAAGCAGGTGCAAGTGACTAAACTAAACACCTTATCTTGACAAGAAATGAATTAATACTTGCCACAAGCATTTACACCAATACCTCAATATAATACCTCAACACGCTTTGTGCTTTTTTTTCTTCAATATCGCAGAAGTTAAAAATAGAAGTACCTTGACTTCAACATTTCTCGTTTTCAAGTTGAACCTCACTTGCAAATGCAAGTGTTCAACGATAGGAGTAAAGATTTTCAACCAGTTTTCTTTTAGAGGTGTGTATCTGTGTGCTGGTACAGGAATTTTGCGGATTTCATGTTTGTCATCCTAAAAAAGAAAAAAGGACCACATTATAAATGAAAGGAAACTAAAATATTTATTTTTTAAAAAAAGATGAGGATGGGTTGGGGCGGGGGGGTGTAAGATCGAGAAGTAAAATCAACTCCTTTGATTTTTTTTCTCCCAGTGCTTAAAAATGCTGGTAACTGGCAGTACCATTATTATAATGAATAAGATGTCTTCTGCCCGTGGGATTCAAACTGAGCCAAAGTAAACTGTATTGGACGCTCCAAGATTTGCTATTGTTAGTTGAAATTTGACATCTCAAATTTATTTTCAACTTTACCAATTGGTAATGATGGACTCTTTATTTCTAAAATTTTTAAATATATCACAATAATTGCATTTATGTTTTTTGGCTTTACTGGGTGGCAAATGTAAGACACAAGTCTTTTTTTGTTGTTTAACTCATTTAAGCAATAAATAAGTCTAACTAAAGAATTAAAAGCACAACATCACTGGAAGCATGATTCTGTGTGTGTGTGGGGGGGTTTAAATGGAGGGTTTAGGCTCCAGTTCAGCTGACAGTTAAACATTCCTCATGAGTGACCTGCATCAATAGATCACTGTGACCACTGGATAGCAACTCTGATGTAGAACACTGCTCATGATGGCTTAACAACAACAACAAAATTACATTTGTATAGCGCCTTCACGTCGGGAGGACATCCCAAGTTGCTCGACAGACAGAGTTACGGACCCGAGCTGGGGGACGATGGAAAGCGGGTGGGGGGGAAAGCAGAGAGATCGAAAGTACGATCAAAGAGGAGGGTCTTGAGGTGGATCTTGAAGGTGGCGAGGGATGGGGCAAGACGCAATTCTAGAGGGTGGGGCCAGAGTGGTGGAAGGTCCGCCCGCCAATAGTGGGGCGAGCAAGGCGGAGGATGTGAAGCAGGCTGGAGCCCGCTGAGCGGAGTGAGCGAACAGGATGGTAAGGGGTTAGGAGATCGGAGAGAGGTAACATATCCCATGCATGCAAGAGGCTACCAGAATGGCCTTCAAGCAAAGCAGTACAGGCAGAAGCAAAAACAATACATGGATGGGAGCAAAGTTGTCTTCTATTCAGAAACATCTTGGTATTTGGTAAATAAATATTGTTGCCTTCAGCCTTATTGCTGATTAGTTTTGTAACATCCACTTTTATAAGACTATATATGTTCACACAGAGTCCAGTACCAGACAAACAAAATTGCTCTACCCTGCAAGCTGATTCTAATTCTGAGGAAAGATTTGTAAGGAAAGCAGAATTCTGAATTGCAGGAGAATAAAAAGGCACAAACATGACAATTTTCAAGCATTTTTACCTAAGCCGATTCGTTACTCTACCTCGACTGTGAGAACGGATGTAGAATAGCAAGCCTTTTCCAACACCAACTGCACCTCGAAGTATGCCCTTGTGTATTTTTTCACACAATGTCATTTTGCTGATTGTTTAACATATTGTGTCAAACTTTTAACAGAATACGAATTGTTATTTTATGAACAGTTTAGGAAAACAACATCTCATTTAGCAATCTTAATTATACACATCAATGAATCGTTAACACAACATTACTATAACGTAACTCTACTTCTCCACTCCCCCCTCCGGGCTGCAAGGTCAAATATCCATCGTCACTGTCAACCTTTCCTATTCCCTCTTCTTCTGGACATATAACTGTGTTACAATTCTACGCTACCAAGTACCTTTCACCCAGTGCTTTGTCCAAAGGGTCTATTATTAATTACAAAATCTTGACAGTGAGTGGCTAATCAACTGTTCGGGGGATCAGAGCTGACCCTGGCCTGTCCAACTTCAACACTGTCTTTGGATAACAGTCTCTGGCTGATATTGTCCTCCCTAATCCAGTAGCTCTGAGGCCAATTGTAGCACCTCTGACCAGATAACTCAACGTAGAATGAGATTTGATCCTTCAACTATTCTGTGTGGTGTAGTAATAATAACCCTTGCATTTTGATATAGCGACTTATCACTGTAAAGTGAATTGACTGTATATTTTGTGGGTGAAAAGCGGCAGCCAATTGCACACAGCAGTGTCCCACAAATAGTCGTGGATTGAGTGACCAATTTATTTATTTTTTTGTAGGAATTGTTACCCCCGGAAAAGCGATCCGCCAAACGACTAACCAAGTTCCTGCTTACTGTGAGGTAAACAGAGCCGTGTGGAATAAGAAAACTTGGCCAACTTTTGCCCTGCCCGGAATCAAACCCAGGGCTCTTGCTTGCGAGGCGAGCGCTCTAATCACTGAGCCACAGGACTCCATGAAGCCACCAGAGGAGACAATAGTGCCCTTCTACCACTTGTAAAATTTAAACAAAATAGAGAACAAGAGTAATAATTTTAAACACCACAATCTTTGAGATGTCTTGAGGACATGATAAGGCACTATATCAAATGCAAGGATTATTATTATTAATAGTATATAATCTAGGATTCCAGAGCATATAGGTGGAAGGGAAGGCAGCTGCAGCAGTGAAATAATACGGTGGAAAATCTACAGTTTCAACCATTTTCTGAAAGAGCAAAACAGATTTTGTGTTTGACCCCTTCTTGAGATTTTGTCCACCGCGAATAACAACAATATTCCTTGAATTTAGTGGAGTCCTGTAGCTCAGTGGTTAGAGCACTCGCTTTGCAAGCGAGAGACCTGAGTTCAATTCCAGGCAGAGAGCGAAACCTTGGGCAAGTTTCCTTACTCCACACAGAGCCTAATAATAATCCCTCCCAAACCAAAAACAATAATAAATTGGTCATTTTCAATCTACGACTGTTTGTGGGACATTGCTGTGCGCAATTGGCTGCCGCGTTCACCCACAAATATACGGTCAATTCACTTTACAGTGTGTTCTGTGAAGCGCTTTGGGACGTCCTCCCGACGTGAAAAGCGCTATATCAAAGGTAAGGATTATTTATTATTATATAGCACTTCGTCATGTCGTTGAGGTGTCTCAAAGCACTTCACAGAATATACTATAAGGTTAAATGACAGTATATTTTGGCCAACTGCGACGGCCAATTGCACGCAGCAGTGTCCCGCAAGCGTCATATGCAGCATACAGAATGCCGGCAACCCTGTCACGAGTAGCAGCGGCGAACTAAGTAGTCAGTGGAAGTAAAGGCAAAGACTGGAAATAAGAAATCAAGAAATCAAAAAAAATCTGGCGACAATATGCAGTTTACAGCAGAGTCCTGTGAATCGCGCGGAGAGAGAGCCTTTTGATATGATATGAAAGGCACAATATCAAATGCAAGGATTATTATTTACACCACTTGATTTTGATATAGGGCAGCACCGAAACATCTCAAAGCACTTTTTTTCTGGGTGGGGGGGGGGATTTACTGTAAAGTGTAGTAACTGTTTGTTGGTGAATGCAGCAGCCAACGGAGGGTGTGTGTGCGTGTGTGGGAGAGAGAGGGAGGGGTTTGGTGTGGTGGTGGTGGGGAGGGAATGTTATAGGGATTATTAACCAAAACGCCGAGAGGAAAACTCCTTTGAGATTTTGTTTTTCCCCGAAAAAAAAATACCCGCAACAATTCCGCGCTCTTTTAACAACAATGTGCACGGATCCTAAACTCAGGAAAATAATAATAATAATAATAATAATAATCCTTGCATTTGATATAGCGCTTTTCACGTCGGGAGGACGTCCCAAAGCGCTTCACAGAACACACTGTAAAGTGAGTTGACTGTATATTTGTGGGCGAACGCGGCAGCCAATTGCGCACAGCAATGTCCCACAAACAGTCGTCGATTGAAAATGACCAATTTAATTATTGTTTTTGGTTTTGGAGGGATTAAAGTTCGCGCATCTGAAAATTAAAAGCGGGTCAAAACCGTACCTCCCCCCCAGTAACCCCCCCAGTCAGGGAGAGAGGCTGTGTGTGTGTGTGTGTGTGTGTGTGTCTCTCCCCCCGGGGGCTGCCATGCCCAGGGCCCAGGGCCTGCGCCCTCCCTCACTCCCTCCCTCCCTCACCGCCAGCAGCTCTCCGGAGATGGGGGGCAGGTTCGGCCTCTTCCCGGCCGACGGGGCCTCGGTGTCCATGTGCGTCTCGTCCGCTTTCCTTTTACCCCGGCGCCGCTTCCTCTTGACGCCGATGAACTCGTGGCTTAAGGCCGCCTCCGCCGCCGCCGCCTCCTCCTCCGCCGCCGCCGCCACCACCGTCGTCGTCGTCTCCATCTCCATAACGGCCGCCGCTCGAGCTCCAACTCGTGAGCCCCAGTGCGCTGAAGCAAGGACCCCACCCTCCTTCACCGAGCTGCCCGCGGCGCGCCCGTACTCCTCTCCTCACCGGGGATAGGATCACTTTCAGGATGACGTCAACCAAGCGCTGAGGACCCTTATTAGGCGGCTGTTACTGACGCCTTTTATAATAATAATTGATACTGATAATCCTTGCATTTGATACAGCGCTTTTCACGTCGGGAGGACGTCCCAAAGCGCTTCACAGAACACACTGTAAAGTGAATTGACTGTACACCTGTGGGCGACGCGCAGCAGCCAATTGCGCGCAGCAGTGTCCCAGAGTTCTGGATTCAGTGACCAATTTTTTTTCGCCACACCATCACCTCTCTCAGCTCATTCGCACATACTACAAATTAATAATGTCAGTTATAATTATTATTTATTATAATATTGCATTTGATATAGCAACTTATTAACAAGGTGTCAAAGCGCTATTACAGGATGTTTTTAACTGTAAAATGCAGTGACTGTATTTTGTAGAGAACATAAATTTTCCCACAGTAATGTCTTGCAAATGGTCATGAGGTGAATGACAACTGTTTTTAAAAACAAATCTGCAGAATTGCTGGCCAGAAACTTCCTTCTCTTTTCAAGTAGCGCCAAAGGATCGTTAATGTCTTCGGCGATGTTGACTATTCTATCCTTCTCCACCATCTCTTCTCTCAGCTGAATCTTCACGGTCCTGTCCTTGCCTGGTTCAAATCCCATCTTTTCCATCATCTCCACTTTGTGTCCATGAACTTTGCGTCCAACTCCTCCAGCCCCCGCACCCTCAAGCACGGTGTTCCTCAGGGCTCTTTCCTTGGCTCTGGATGAGAGCTAACTTCCTCCAGTTGCAAGTCAACAAAATAGAGGCCCTCTTGCACGACTCCCTACCTCTACGACCTGCTAAAACCCTACCAACCAGCTCGCTCCCTCTGCGGGCAGTGGCCTGGTTCAAACAACCTGCCCTGCTCGCCCCACCATCGGCAATTGGGCCTTTAGCATTTCCGTCCCTACCCTCTGGAACTCTACCCTGGAGTCCCTCCGCCTCGCTCCCTCCCTCCCTTGCCTCCTTCAAGGCCTATCTCAACACCTTTCTCTTCGACCGGGCATTTGGTTATCTTCCCATCCCCACCCCATTCCCCTTCCCTCCAGCCCTCTTAACTCCAACCCCCCCCACCCCCAGCTCAGGTGCAAACCCTCAATTATCCAGCGCCTTGGAGGGCGCTCTCGACATGCAAGGCACTAACAAAAATGCAAGTTGCTGTGATGACCCATACTGTTCACTGCGGGTTGTGCACGGACTCGGTTGACCGTACATCCCTGATTTCTGGGGACAAGTCGCCGGATGAGGAATTGTGTCCCTGGGGGCCAGATGCATGGAGTCCAGCGACAAACCGAGCAGTAACAATTCGAAATAAAACAGAAACACTCATCGGAGAAATAACACTGCCATCAATCCAACAAGACGCTCAATCCGGTGAGACGCGCCGGCATCAAGAATTGCGGTGAGTTGCATTTGTGTTTTAATATGCGGTATTAGAGGTCTCCCCGGATGTGGTTCATACCACTGGGTGACCCTCTGCCGAATAAGGAAGCCCTCCCCCTCCCTCCCTCCCTCCCAGGTGGAGGAGTGCAATGGGGAGCGGCGGATGTGCGCATGCGCTGGACCCGCCCCGCCCCCCCGCCGCCGCCGCCGGGCTCGAGCGCAGCCGTTGGGAGCCGCGTCCGAACCGCCGCCATGAGCTCCGCGCTGGAGAAGCCGCAGATCATCGCTCACATCCAGAAGGGGCTGAACTACACCGTGTTCGACAGCAAATGGATTCCCTGCAGCGCCAAGTTCGTCTGCGTGGGCAACTTCGCCAGAGGGACCGGCGTGCTGCAGGTCTACGAGGTGTCGCACGGGGCTGTGGTGCTGGTTAAAGAGGTGCGTGTGGCCGCCATGTTCCCCCCCCACCCCTCTCCCCTCCCCTCACCTCTCCCGCCGCCGCCGCCGCCGCTAGGCCCGTCCGTTGCTATGGCGACGCCAGCAACTCCACTGCGCTTTTAAACTTCAAACGGCGAGAACCGAATGACAAACCAAGGTTTTTTTTTTGTGTTTGAACTTCTTTTTGTTTCTCCCCCCCCCTCCCCTTCTCCCCCCCCCCAAAAGTTATCTTAAATGGTTTTGTGTGTGTGTGTGTTGTTGGGGAAGGGGGGGTTGTGGGAGGGGAGAGGAGGAATAACCCCCAAACTGGTGCATTGAGTCTTCCAACTTTTTTTTAATGTAAAGTTTTTGTATTTTTTTTTAAAAAAAAGGTATTGCTGATGTGTCGTGAACCCGCTCCCAAGCCCGAGGCGTGCTCGTTCTTCTTCGTCCCTTTCCCCCCCCCCTCTGATAGCGGATCCAGTCTACCTGTTGGGCACCCCCATTAGGATTTTCTGATTCCCGATCGGTCGTTACTGTAATTATTATCGTAGTCCTTGCACTTGACATAGCTCCTGATCACATCGGCGGGATGTCTTGGTAGAGGCTGCTGAGCAGACAGGTTGATACGGGGTTAGCAGGTTGCGCAGGTAGGAAGGAGCAAGGCCGTGCGTGGGGGGTCTTGAAGGCAAGGGCAAGGATTCCGAACTCTGGGATGGGGAGCCGGGCGAGGGTGAGGGTGTCACGCAGCCTGGTGCGGGGGAGAACGTGAGCTGCAGAGTTCTGGATGATCTGCAGCTGGTGGAGGGAAGAGTTGGGAAGGCCGACAAGTAGGGAGTCGGCGCAGTCGCGACTCGGTGGGATAAATGCGTGGATGAAGGTTTCGGCGGCCTGAGGGGAGAGGCAGTGGCAGAGCCGGGCGATGTTGTGGAGGTGGGGGAACGCAGGGCAGGTCATGGCACGGATGTGGGAAAGAAAAAACAGTTGAGGGTCAAACAAGACACCACGGTTCTGGACTGGCTCGGGGAGGTGGAGTGTGCATTCATGGATAGTGATGCTACCAGTGACGGCTGTTTTTAAGGGGGTGGGAACGGTGCCAGTGGAGAGGTAGATGATGTCTGTGAATAGAGGGGGCAAGGAGCTGGAGCTGAGTGGTAAGGAGATGGGGTGAAGGGAGCAGTTGGTGGGTTTCATATGGATACACTACACCTATAACTTATAACTTTAGGTAAATTTTCTTATTCCACGCACCGATTGTTAGCAGATTGCTTTCCAGGGGTAATAATCCCTTCAAAAAAATAAATAATACTATCAAAAGTGAATGTGGGTCCATTACATGCAGAGACAGGAAGAATTATAATGGGGGATAAAGATATGGCAGAGTCATTAAATAAATACTTTGCTTCTGTCTTCATGTTAGAAGACACTGAAAACTTACCAAAAACAGAGGGGAACCAAGAAGCTAATGTTAGTGAGCAACTTAGGGAAATTAACATCAGTAAAGAATTAGCACTAGAGAAACTGTTGGGATTGGAAAATGACAAATCCCCTGGACATGATAGTCTGCATCCTTGGGTTTTAAAAGAGGTGGCTGCTGAGATAGCGGATGCCTTGTTTTGATGTTCTAAAATTCTCTGGATTCTGGAACGGTTCCCATTGATTGGAAGATTGCAAACATAACACCAGTCTGTAGACTGGGGAACTATAGACCAGTCAGGCTGACATCGGTGGTAGGGAAAATTATAGAATCCTTAATTAAGGACCTCGTAGTGGGGTACTTAGAAGACCATAACATGATTAGGCAAAGTCAACATGGCTTTACAAAAGGGAAGTTCTTTGAGGATGTAACTAGCAGGTTAGATAGGGGGAACCAGTAGATGTAGTGTATTTAGATTTTCAGAAGGCATTTGACAAGGTGCCACATAAAAGGCTGCTACACAAGATTAGGGCCCATGGAATTCAAGACAATATATTAGCATGGATCGAAGAGTGACTAACGGGAAGAAAACCGAGAGTAGGGATACTGAGAAGTCGGGCCCTTCTTGGAGTGGAGTGTCACAAGGATCAGTGCTTGGGCTTCAACTATTTACGATCTATATCAATGATCTAGACGAGGACATAGAATTTAAAATATCTAAATTTGCGGATGACACTAAGCTAGGTGGGAGAGTAAGCTCTGAGGATGACACAAACAGATTGCAAAGGGATACAGATAGGCTAGGGGTGTGGGCGAGTAGGTGGCAGATGGATTGTAATGTGGGGAAGTGTGAAGTTATTCACCTAGGTAGTAAAAACAGAAAAGCAGATTATAGATGGGGAGATACTAGATAGTGTTAGTGTTCAGAGGGATTTGGATGTCCTTGTACACTAGTCACAAAAAGTTAGTATGCAGGTACAGCAAGCAACTAGGAAGGCTGATGGCACGTTGGTGTTTATTGCAAAAGGGTTGGAATACAAGAGAGGGAAGTCTTGCTGCAACTGTATAGGACCTTGGTGAGACCATACCTAGAATATTGTGTGCAGTTTTGGTCTCCTTATTTAAGAAAGGACATACTCGCCTTAGATTCACTAGATCAGTTCCTGGGAAGAGGGGGTTGACCTATGTAAACTAGGCTTATATTCTCTAGAATATAGAAGAATTAGGGGTGATCTTATAGAAACATATAAGATTCTTATGGGGCTTGACAGAGCAGACAGTGTGAGACTTTTCCCCTGATAAGAGAATCTATAACTCGGGGTCACAGTCTTAAGATAAAGGACCAGTCTTTTCGAACAGAGTTGAGGAAACACTTCTTCACTCAGAGGGTAATGAATTTGTGGAATTCTCTACCCCAGAACGCTGTGGATGTTCAGTCCTTAAACATATTCAAGACTGAGATTGATAGATTTCTAAAGAATAGCAGAATTAAGGGATATGGGCAGATGGAGGAAGGTTAGAAGATCAGCCATGATCTTATTGAATGGCAGGGCAGGCTCGAGAGGACGAATGGCCTACTCCTGCTCCTAATTCTTATGTTCTTATAATTTGGTCACTAAATCCACGATTGTTTGTGGGACACTGCTGTGCGAAATTGGCTGCCGCATTTTGCCCACAGAATATACAGTCAATTCACTTTACAGTATATTCTGTGAAGTGCATTGAGACATCTCAATGATGTACTAAGGCACTATATCAAATACAAGGATTAATATTATTTATTAATATATTGTACCCACAAAGTAATGAATTGAAGATTGACTATTGCATTCATCATCTAGTGAATTCTACGTGATACGCATCATTTGGAGGGCAGCTCATTCCCAGGCAGCTCCAAGGAGTATATTTCAGTGACACAGATATCCTCTCCTGAGATACCTTTCCTTTTGCCTACAAAATGAAACCACTATGCTCTAGTGTTGTAACTACAGTAACACTTAACGCTTTTTTGTTCATAATTTATAAATTGTCTCTTTTCAGATTGAAAAATCTAAACCAATTAAATGTGGGACTTTTGGAGCCACTACATTGCAGCAGAGATATTTTGCTACCGGGGACTTTGATGGAAACCTGAACATATGGTAAGAGTTTGAAAAATGGTTCTATTGCAAATGGTCTTCTTTCAATGTTATGATAGGCAAGATATTCAACCCTTCAGAATAAATATTAAGTTTATAATAATAATAATCCGTGCATTTGAATTAGCGCCTTATCATGTTGTCGATAGCTCTCAAAGTGCTTCACAGAATATACTGTAAAGTGAAATTACTGTATATTTTGTGGGCGAAAAGCAGCAGCCAATTGCGCACAATAGTGTCCCACAAACAATTGTGGATTGAGAACCAAATTTTTTTTGAGGGAATATTATTGACTAACAACAGGTTCGTACTTACTGCTAGGTAAACAGGCGTGAGGAGTAAGGAAACTTTCTTAAAGTTAACATTGCCTTCAAATGGGTAACTAAGCTTTGCTAATTTTCTTGATATCATTTTTATAGGAATTTGGAGGCTGCAGAGTTTCCAGTGTACTCAGTAAAAGCTCACAAGGAGATCATAAATACCATTGATGGTGTAGGAGGCTTGGGGATTGGAGAAGGAGCTCCAGAAATAGTAACTGGAAGCAGAGATGGTAAGTATGAATTTTAAATGATTTTTCTTTTGTCCTTCACTCTCCCATTCCCAAAATGTTCGTGAGCTGAGATCAGTCCTCTTAAGATGACTATTTCAGCTCCAAAGCCTGAAACATTCAAGTGAATGTCTAGAAATGACTTGGTTTCTTTATATAACATGCTTAGCATTAAGGCAATTTGAATTAGTGAAGCATTTTACAAAAGCATTTTAAAGTTTTTATTATTTTTGGGAGGTAATTAAATTTTTTATGCTCTATGCAATAAGTGTAATTCTTATCTAAGAACTTCATTCAGTGATGAGCGGCAAATTTGCTTGTCTTTTTTTTGTTTTTTTGCAACAATTAATTTGTCCACTGCTTTACAACAAACGCAACAAAATTTGTCAAAATACATTTTGAAGCCGTAAGAGTGTTCAGCCTAGATAGCGTATCTATATTTCAACTCTAGCTCAGACCAAGGGGTAAGCCTTGCTCCTTTATTCCTTATTGAATCTAAAATTTTAGTTTGGCTGCAATTTGTTACAGAAGTTAATCCGTGACGGATTTTACAGATTGCACTGTTTTTCATAGGGATGGTTAAAGTCTGGGATCCAAGACAAAAGAACACTCCGGTGGCAAATATGCAGCCTGCAGATGGAGATACCAAACGAGACTGCTGGACTGTGGCATTTGGTACGTCATATCTGAAATGTGCTTGTTAGGAGCTGTACAAATTTGTTGTTGCTGTTGTATTGAGGCCATTTATAACAGGAACTCTTACTTGACTAATTCCAATCGCACCACTTGTCCGAGGCTTGCCAGATCCTGGTGGCACAAGTATTTAAGGCAGCAGTGACCTTTACGTAGAAATATAGGAACAGGAGTAGACCATTCAGTCCCTCAAGCCTGTTCCGCCATTCTACTGGATCATGGCCTGGGCCAATAGAAAAGCGGGGCCCCAATTCTTCTGTGGTATCCTCTATACCCCCCCTGTCCCCCGTCCCACCCGCTACAAACACCCTCCACTACAAACTTATAAAAACAGTGTGCTCGATCCCTGGCCTCTGCTCGTTGCTGCTGGCTGTTTACTCAACGCTCCTACTAAGGACGGAGCAGCTCCAGATGTTTCGATCACCCCAAGGCCCCGCTGTTGTGATTGTTTGTGTGTGTCTCTCTCTCCTCTGTAAATGTGTGTGTCTCTGTGAATCTGTGTCTCTCTCTCTGTCCTTGAGTGTGTGTGTCTCTCTGTGAGTATCCGTGTGTGTGCGTCTTTCTCTCCATGAGTGTGTGTGTCTCTCTCTCTCTCTGGGTGTATGTGTTTATGTGCGGTGAGGTGGTGAGCTTGGGGTAGAAACGGACCATTCAGCCCTTCGGGCCTGTGCTGGTGTTTTTAGTTCCTACTATTGGGAATCCTTTAGTTCCTATTATTGAAAATTCAGAGAAGCACAGCTTCTGTTTGCAAGTGCAATCATCACTTTTCTCTCTCCTCGTCCACGGCAGAGTAGGGAACCCACATCCCACTTGTCTATGTCCAAAGAACATGAAATTACCAATATTTGTATGTTTCATCTCCCACTCAAAAGTTCCATTGATGAACCAAGTAATCTGATCAATCATCAACTCTTCCTTTACCACCATATCACTGTGGAGCCAGAGGAACTCCTCATTCCTCCGTCAGTTTGTTTGCAGATAAGTGTTGCTAATGATGGAGAAAAATAACTAAAACTGTACAGAGGCGGGAGAGAACGCCTGTCCAAGAGGACAGTTTCCCAAGCTGTTTTCCTCTACCCATCCCACGCTACTCTGGATGACAGCAAATCCAAGTAGTATGTGGAAGTTGAAGTAGCGTGGAAGAATCTGTTTTCATACAAATGTAATGCATCTATTATACATGTTTTATTCAACAGGGATTGAGTGCTGTTAAATAAAATATGAGACACATGGTACCACTGTAATCCTGGCTGTGAAGGGAGTTGGCTCAATTGACCCGCTTTTCTAACTTGCTCGTTTTATGCTGCTTCTGTGAACAGGTCATGCGTACAATCAACAGGATCGCTGTGTCTGCGCTGGGTATGATAATGGAGATATAAAATTATTTGACCTAAGATCTATGTCCCTCCGTTGGGAAACTAACATCAGAAATGGGGTAAGAAACAAAACTGAAGCAATAGAAATCAGCATAAAACCTGATAAATCTATTTGAGTGGCAGAATATATTCAGCATTGTGAATACACAGACTACATAGTCATACTGTTGCATTTCTCAAATATCCTGAGGTTAAAGCTCTATCTCAGAGCATCCAATAGTGACAACTGGTTCAGGAGAAGGTCTGCCAAGTTGCTAGATAGCGCCCTGCAAAAGCCTTTTCAGCGTTTCAATTGGGTTCTGAGCAATGAACACCAGTCCTGTTTTATGTTATTTCCATTCTATTTTGAAATTTAATGAGCAGCAAATATTTATGTGGTCATTTGCCAAGCCGAGAAAAGATTAATATAATTTTCTATTTAATTTTTTTAGTAGCTATTATGATAATAGCAGTATGATTTATTTTCTACGGGAATAGTATTCAGTTTATTGGACCTTTTCAACCATTCAGTTCATTGATTTTCTGCCAGGAATGTTTTCTCTGTCACAATTTCTTATGAATGCCTCTTTCCAGATATCCCTAAACACGTTTTCTTTTTTGATGCTTAACTGTTGCGTTTTTTAAGATTCTATTGATTCACCCTCAATAGTTAACTGTCGTGTTGAGATCTCCGCCTAACAACCCTCTGAGTGAGGGAGACTCCTCTTTTCCCTGATTCTTCTTCTAAAAACCCAGAAACTATTCCCCTGTTGTAACCTGTTCTCAAAATGGTTACTTTCACGATGCTCTATTTCCTTTTTTGAAACAATAACCAAAATTGATCCTTTCTTGATTCTGCAGGTTTGTTGCGTTGAATTTGACAGGAAAGATATCAGCATGAATAAACTGGTAGCCACAACCTTGGAGGGGAAATTCCACGTTTTTGATATGAGGACCCAACACCCAACCAAAGGTTTTGCATCAGTCGTTGAAAAGGTATTTTATTTTTGAGAGAAATCAGTTATAAGGGAAAGATTTTTTTTTTTACTTTGGCATCAACCTCAATACAGTTCAATTTAATTTCGCACTTTAAACACCAAGCACGTAGGTTGCTGTGGAGAATGGTGATCCACTAAGCATAAGTGTTTGGTACCAGTTTTGCACAGTGAACATGTTCATTTGAAGCATTTACTTTCAGATGGTCCTACTGCATCCTTCAAATGTGAATGAATTGTATGATTTTGGGGGGCCTCTTGTAGACTTTGGATAACTATTTTACATTTCATCAGCCACACCATTCTTTCCTAAATGTTGATCTTTTAAACTTTCCGCAACAAATAATATAATGATACAGCACCTTATCACGTCATTCAGACGTCTCAAAGTGCTTCACAGGGTGTAAAGGGGATTGACTGTGTTTTTGTGGGGAAAACAAAATACGAAATGCAAAGTACAAAAGAGAATTTCAGCTTGGGTGTTCAATTCAAATTCAACAACTGTGCTTTATGGGCGAACCATATCAAGATATTGGCACATATAATTAGCAATTTTAGTGCTGTTTATTCTTGGTGATGTTGACTTTATGGAGGGGTCACAAGAATATCTAAATCACCCTAGGTGTGCCAGTTTGTAGGCAGCTTGCGCACACGAGTATTCTTCCTTATATTACACAATATTGATTACCTTTTTGTCTCTTTTGTATTGGGGAATTAAAATGTTAGCCACTCTTGTAATACCTGCTTTAATACAGGCTTTTGTATCTTCTCATTATTTCTGTCGGTTCTTGTTAGTCATTCAAAACTTATTTTTCTCTTCTGTTCATTTACTATTTAATCTTTTTCTATGGATTATTTCTGATCAGTTCCTCAAATTCATCATATCTTTACTGTGTGAACAGTGCTCTAGATTTTATTATATATAATGATCTTTGCAGTTGATATATCACCTTAACATGTTGTCAAGACACCTCAAAGCGCTTTACAGTATTTTAATTTGAAGTGCAGTGACTGTATTTGTGGGTGAATATACAGTTTGTAGTTTAAAGCTTTCACCTAGTCATAAGAAGCTGACGTTCCAAATTTGTGACTGCTTATTTACGGTGTGTTTCATGTGCTTGTCGGATAATGAACTTCAGGGAGTGGGAATTTATAGTTTATGACATTTTAGTTTCAGATTTGTTCAAAAACTAATCTGTAATCCATCACGGGGAAACAACTCCCCCAAAAATCTTTGCACAAGTTCTACGATGGAAATAATATTTTGAAAGTCGGCAATGACTTTCAGTGAAGTTTTTAATGTGTCACTTTTAACCCAGATCTCTAGCTATTGAGAGCTTGCACTGTCGCTGTAAATTAGTGCGACAGGTGGTGTTGGCCTACTTTTCTAAACACAGTATGTTTGTGTGTCTGCTGCTCTCCTCAGGCTTATAAATCCACCATCTGGCAAGTTCGACACTTGCCACAAAACAGAGATATCTTCATGACAGCAGGAGGGGCTGGTAACCTACACCTTTGGAAATAGTGAGTAACTTTCTTGTTTGAATCATAATGATAACTTGTCTGCTGTACATCCAGTCAAATCCACACGACAACTCGGCTCCATACTTAACGATGAGTGCATTTCATTCCAACACATCCCTGGATACGAACAAAATGATTTTGCTCTATTTTATTAAGTGTTTCCTGATGGCTTATTGGGTAATTTCACTGCGTTGTGTGGTTCTGATCCATACAACCAAGGAAGGTCCCATGTTTAATCATTGTTCTTGTGTTCATTTAATTGATCTGAGCCAGAGCACAGGTTGCAGCAATAACAATTGATATCCTTGTCTGTGGGCTAGGGAAAGGAATACCAGATCAGAAAATCATATCGTCTCTGAGCTCAACTAACAACAACAAAATTACATTTGTATAGCGCCTTTCACGTCAGGAGGACGTCCCAAGGTGCTGACTGCAGTAATATAATCCAAATTTTATAAGCAAGATTTTTGTTTCCTTTGCTCCTCTTTCTGCAAGCCTGTAAAACAACAACTCTGGACTTATTTACGAGTTACTGCCCTACCTCAATTTGAACTAGGTTGCTATGTCCTGCCCTGCATAACTACAGAATGGTTGTTTTCTAAGCAGGAACCCAAGATGTTAGCACACAGGGTACATAGCTTTTTAGCCCGGGTTGGACTCCATTATTAGTTAAGAAATTGGTGGTTGGATGGGATGCGATATTTCAAAATAATAAAGATGATTGAAATTTACGACACAGTAAAAGGCAATTCAATCCATTGTATTAGTATCACCCCTTCAAAGTCTCCCTTATGAAATGATTATCACATGTCTGATTAGAATCAATTGTTATCGAACAATTAGCCTTGAAAGCCTTGAAAATGCTTTTAGTTCAGTGTAACTTTTGTACTCTAGGTTAGTTTACCATACACTGCATAGGCTGATGCTTTACCATGGATTCATTAGAAACAGGTTAATGCTTATTACTTTATACGGATTCTGAAAAGTATTCCTGATCAGGCATGATGTAGGCAGAACCAAGGAAAGGAAAGTTTGGATAAGTTTACTTCTTGCACACCTCCTATTCCAATTGGCTTTAGCATACCCGGAGAGCTGGAGGGAGAGCAGAGGAGGGGGAAGAGAAGAAAACTGCAATGGCTTACAAAAATAAACTTATTTTTACTCAATTACACATGAGTAACCCTATCCCTAATTGGCAATGAAAGATTGTGATGAGATCCCAAACCCTTGGGCAAAATTTGAGCAGTTTATCAGTGTTGCAACAAATCTTTGGTCATTTAGATTATTTTGTGTGTTGATTCCTTAAAGTTATGTTTTTCTGATGGAAATATTGTGACAGCAATAGACAGTTGGCTCCTGCTTTTTGTACCATGTGATTGGCCTAGAAATGATATTCTAATTTATTTTACTAGTTAACAACTTCTGTTTATTATTGATGATTACATAGTTTGAAATCGACACTTTTACATTAGTATAGATGAAAACTGGAAATAATTTCAAATGTAAAAGGTCTGCAAAGCTTAAAGTACTGACTTAAGGTATTTTTCTGCTTGCACTTTTTCTAGTGAATACCCTGTTCAACGCTCAAAGAAAGACTCTGAAAACATTGACATGGGAGTTGCTGGCACAGTTTCCCTCTTGCAGAATGTCACAATCTCCACACTGCCTATATCAAGCCTTGACTGGAGTTCAGACAAGCAGGGCCTGTGTGTGTGCACTGCATTTGACCAGACAGTGCGAGTTCTAATTGCAACTAAACTCAACAGACTTTAAGGATAAACCAATTTCCTATGAAGCTGGAAATCTACCATTGCTAATGCCTTAATATATCTTGTGAGACAACGTAAGGAAGAAGAACGCTGGAGACGCTTACAATGGTTAAAAAAAAATTGCAGAATAATTATTTTAAATTGACCCTCATGCCACACGTGGTCCTATTAGCTTCTAAGGAGAGGGATAATCTGTAATCGGTACTGCAGCAGTATGATGAACCACAGTGTAAGGCAGCCTTCAACTGGGTCGTGTAATCACCCTCAAGGTGCACTTACTTCTGACAGCACGCCATCTCGTGGCCTCACTGAGAATGGATGGATATTTTCCAAGCAAAATGAGTAAGCTTCAGTGGCAGGCATCTCTAGAGCTGCAGCTCAGAACCTTCTCGTTGGAGCTTAATTAAGCACTCAATGGCTACAGAGCCCCCATAGAATGTGCTTACACATGGCAATTCTCAGTTTACAATGTGTTAAGACTCCACAACGTAATAAGGGATTATGATGGGATCCCAAATTATTTTAAACAGTATTTGTTTTCCAATATTGGGAACATGCTCTATTTTTTGACGTGTAGTTTTCTAAAGTTTGGCTCCATCATTTTGAAAAACAAGAAACCTCCACCCCACCTCAGGCTGAATATCCTATTAAAATTATTAATGACCAGACATCCACTTAGAACTTTTACTGTATAGCTTATGGCAGACACGTAAGCAGTTACATTCTCATGTACTATTGGATAATGCTGCAAAACAAGAATACCTAAAGGGATTCAGATAACATTGTGAAACACAAGTGTGACTTAAATCCCAGATATTGTTAGGACATGCACTCCTTCACATTTTGTTTACTACGTGTGACAGTTAGCAGTGAAGTTGAGTGACTGTTTCACTGAAAGAAAATACCAGCGATTACACCACTTAACTCCTTCCTGTAGTGCTATGTTACTGATAACATCCCTCGTTTATATATTATAGATATTTGTCAATATAAAAACTTTGTTACTTTGTGGCTTTGTTACAAGCAAAGGATTGAACAGATCTGAAAGCTAATGTTTATTTCTGTTTTAGGAGTAATACATTTCCATTTTTTTTGATGGAATAAGTCCACTACAGGATTAAAATATAGATATATTTATCTGTAATAAACTGAATCCAAAATACATTTCTGATGATTCCTGCTTTACTATTTATTTAAAGACTCATGTTTATTGTTATCCAAAAATGATCTTTTTGGCCATGCATTATAAAATTACTATTTTGTACATTTGCATTAGAAAAGTTCAACGAAAACCTATTTGTGGTAAATTTCTTTAAAAAAATGTACAAACCAAACTTTTATTGCATTTAAATTTGCTTCAGTTGAGGCACTTCAGACTATTAAGAAGTAATTCCTGCATTGTGTTTTATCCACAACAAACATCTACACACGTTGGTTAGGGTTCGTGTTTACTTCCTCATAGGGAAAGCAGTATGTTTTTTCTCATTCCATTGTTGCTTTACTTGTTCAAGTTTCACAAGCAGAAATAAAGATGTAGACTTTATGCAGATTTTGTGTAAGAACATCCAAGCAACAACATTTGCACAAAAAACAAAATAACTTCTTTAGATTAAACTTAAAATACTCATGCTTACTGTTTGAAATCTTGATGTTAAGAAAAATAAATATTTTAGCTTAATTTTTTAACATTCAATATTTGTAATTTGAAGCACGTGTTGCATTTTAGGAATGGTCCAGCACATTGGAACACCTAACACTGAGAGGAAGGCTGCACAGGTCTTATTATTTTTCTGTTTGCCCTACTCTACCTGAACTTGTGATTTGAGCACTGACTATATCTTAGAACTGCACACTTCCTGGCAGTGAATTGGTATTGGTCTTACAGTGGGTTACTCACTTGATGGGTGTTGCATGCGCCTAAAAAGATGTGTATTGTCTGGATGGTGAGGGAGAAAGACAAATTTCGCAATTGCAAAACACACGCACTTTAATCATGTAAGAATTGACAGTAAAGAACCAACTTAAAACAAACATTTGCTCATAATGGCATTGATTTTACTGCATCTTGTAGCACACTACACAATAATGTACATTATCAGTTATGATGTTAACCATACTGATGTTGAAGAATAAGGTTTCAACTTAAAAAGGTAGGGAAATTAAGCACAGAAATGAAATGCAGATTTAGCAACTGTGGGAGCTATCAGTGAAAATGCAATTGGCACAAGAATTCTTTACAGGAATAAGTGCAAGATTTACCAGCTAACATCACCACATTTGAAATCCCTGTAGCTCTCGGAGAGGAGCTGGTTAGATGTTTAACATTGCAGAGATTGCATCCAGAACGATGCTTTCCGATGTAAATCTATCTGAATGTGGTAATAATGTACCATTGGATAATGTTGCAAGGCAATAATACCTCATGGGATTGATATAACTTCCTAAAGTCTTAAGAGTGACTTAGGAATGTCACTTAAAATCCAAGACTTGGTTACTAATAGAAACGTACTTCTATGTGTTTAAGGCAACAGGCCGATAGGGCATAAGTACAAGATTAAGAAAGGCAAGGTTTTACAGACACCAGGGAGTATGTCGTCACACAGGTTAATTAATACTGGAACAGGATATCACAAATTGTTTTAAGACCAGGATTCTAGACGTTTCAACAACAGTTAGATGGTTCATGGCCAGGTGGGAGAATTTGTATTTTGGGTGAAAGGACTTCAACAAAGTGATTTTATGATGAGCAAGATGTTACATTTAAGCCCTCCTTTTGAGAATAGTTTTGATAACATTTTGTTGAAAAAAGGTAAAATATTCCCAAAATATTTCTGGAGACGTCACCTATATTTTTGCTGATAGCAAGACACTCTACATCCAATTTTTGAAACTGAAGAATACTTGAAGATCTGGGTCCTCCAAAGGTCTGTTGTGGATTCCAGCATAGATTCTCTTCAAAAGGTCAGTCTTGAACTCTTGATTAAGAGTATTGATGTAGGAATGTAAAGCCTCTGCAAATACATATTGCTTGTTATGTGGAGGCTGCTTTATTACAAAAATACAGTCACTATGTTTTAGGACAATACTTATGAATTGTTTTGAGACACTGACAGTGATAAAGTATTTTAAAATTTAAGATCTTCCCTTTTTGTGACAAGGTTACAGTGCTGACCCATTTACATTGTAATCTTACTATAGACAAGATCGTGAGGTGAATAAATTTAGATTGAAATATAAAAAGGATATTTTGGTTTCCTTTGCTGTAAATGTTCTATGTAAAGGATAGGTAAACAATATTTTTTCTAATTATCTCTATTTTATCTATCACTCCTCGTTTCACTGAAAGGGTTTAACTCTTTTCTAAACCTTTTAGTAGGTTATGGTTCCATGGATGCTGGTTGCCCTATAGTACTTTGTCCAAGTGGCCATTAGTCAAAGTTGAACTATAATAATCCTTGCACTTGATATAGTGCCTTATCACGTCTATAATAGTGAATGAATCAAGCAATTTGATTGTTGAGGGCATCATGGCCAAGTCTAAATCACTAGTCACCTGATACCAACACTTGCCCACCTCTAGTAGTGGTTGATAGATCAAAGCCAGAAATACTGACTGAATTTCTTGGTTGAGATTAATCAACTTAGCATTGACTATGATCAAAGCTTCTGTATGATTTAGCTACTTGCTGGATAAACTTGCTCAGCCAATAGGTGAGCTTGTGTGCAGTGTTCAGCTTTACTATTTATGATTGGATCACGATTTGTTCAGTATGAAATATTGTCTGGGAACAATTGACATTCTACCTACCACCTAATTCTTACAGCAGATGTGTTCAAAGTAGTTTTTCCTTGGCTTCAAAATCATTTTATAAACCTATCTCTTTAAGCATGTCTTTGGTCAACACACTTAAATTCTCCTTCCACTCATCCCTGCTTGGAGTAGGTCCATCTAGGTAAAAGGCACTATTTTATTTATATATATTTAATATATATACACACACACAAAAAAGTCCTTGTTATTGTTCCAGGAAAAGGAGCACAAAATCTACCATCTTACATTGCTGTATTGGTTTTCGGATGTAAACTAAAGGTTAGCAATAAGGGGAAAGCTAGAGAGGTTAAAAACAAGGTTATTAATTCAGATAATTGCTACATATTCCTAAATATGCACACTTCTCTGTGTGTCTGTTAAAATACAATGTAATGAATAATTGCCATAAACATCAATTAAATTCCCGCGTCCCTTTAAGTTGATTAGTTATCATCTTAAAATATGCAGACACCTGGTTACAAATAAATGTGATGATAACAATAATAATAATGTGATATTGTAGAATTACCCAACATATGTGATCCATTCATCAGTTGTCAGGTGACAATCCTAAACATTATGACATGTTAAAGAGAGAACACTGTATTGTGAATAACTTTCCAATTCAATATGTACAATGTTGAAGTTACAAGTAGAGGCTGTTAACATGTTATTTAGTTTTGTTTTACAACTAGCTCAGATGCTCACCTATTCCCAATATTTTGCCGTATGCAATCATGTTTGGGCCCAGGCGAGGATCGTCAAACTTTTGTTGCTTCATTAAAATCCGAACAATCTCTCCGGTAATGAAGGCATCATCAAAAGTTTGCTCTTCGACTGGTTTCAAGGGAAATCTGCAATAAATTTCCACAGCCTCCAGAGGGTCAGTCTTCAAGAGGATGTTGGCTAACTCAATATAGCCTTCATACATCTAGCCAAAGCAAAATTCAAATTATTTCACCTTTCAGTTGGGATATGTTTCAGCACTATAACCATATATACAGTGATGTTTCTCAAATTGATGCCTAATCTACCTTTGTGTCACATACTTAGATCAGTGTCATTATTATTAATAATAATCCTTGCATTTGATTCGGTTATCACGTCATTGGGACGTCTCAAAATGCGTCACAGAATATACTATAAAGTGAATTGACTGCATATTTTGTGGGCGAAATGTGTGTGTTTAAATTGATGTAATATTTTCAAAACCTCTCAAAGCAATTAGTAAAATGAAAAAGGCCAACATTTCCTGCAGAATGTTATCAGGTTGAATTGGCAATCTTTTTCTCTTTCTTGCTGATAAGGTTTTGACAAACCTTTTCATCTACTACATCAATGTTTTGTGTGTCAGTTCTTCCTATTAACAACTCAAAATATAGATGTATTTTTAGATATATAATTCATAAACCAGTTATGAATTATATATATAAACATTTCAAGTTGAGAATATGAAGTTTACCAAATAAATGTCCTTTTTTTCTAAATTCTTCCCCAATGGTATGAGCCTCTGGTATGAGCTGGTCTGGCCACCTCTTGCTGTGTTGCAGTGCCACATGGTGCTGACTGCCCCCCATTAATACCCCACCCAAGTGACTGTTGTACAATGACCCTTGGCAGTGAGTGTCAGCAGGCTGCTCGATTGCAGAGGGTATCACAGCCAAGCTTGACCTATCCTCACCTGGCTGCCACATGCGCAAACAACCAGTTGAAGGTGCTTTAGAGTGGCCCAAGACCATGAAGCCTGGCGAGCTTTCTCCTACCTAACGCTGGGAAGATCGGGATTAGCATCCCGATGCTACCATAGCCGAACACAGAAAACTCAGGCAAGGATTCGAACCAGTGAACTCCTGTTCCCATAAGCTATAGCTCTATCATCAACAAAGTTGCTCCAAATTATTTGGGTTTTGTTACATGATATAATACATAATATTCTAGCCACCTGGTATATTTCTCACATATATTACACTAACCCTTTTAGTCTACATGCATGTAGAATATGGCTCCCTACAGAGACATAATTCATAGTTGTAAATGTTTTCGAAGAAGTTTTGCTTTCATCAGGAATTCTTCGAACTGCAGCTGTAGACATTAAGGAAGTCTTTGAAATGCTGAATTGAACATATCACTGCCAATTTTTTTCCTTCACAAAATGAGATTAGACATTTAAAGTGTGTTTCTGGCTTTAGTGAAATTTGGCTTTGGATTTGACCGCATTTAATGCACTAAGAAATAAAAGCTGGATTAATAACGATTTTGTGCCCAAATCAGGAATTTTTATGTGAGCTATGCTTGAATCAGAATGTCTATACAATGCAATTGGATGGGAAACAATGATGCATTCAAATTGTTCATTCAGATCAAGTACGTGTTCATCTGGATTAGGGCAACTTGCTTTGAGCTTTAGTTTTCCACACTTCATCAAATTTAAATTGTCATGAACTAGTTTTAAGATTCTAGGTCCGTGACTTATCAATACTCCCAAGAATTTCTTTTTTAGCTGTTATTTGTGGAAGTTTTCCAGGAGTAAAATAGTTAAAATAAAAGTTTGCAAATAAAGCCAATGAATACAAGTCAGCAAACTCTAAATCCAGGTACAGACAGTGATATTTTAACTGCATGGTATAGCCATCGGATTAATATGGAGCACTTCAGTAAGTTAAAGGGTCCTAAATGCTGCATGTATTGAAGGTGTACGAAAGCAGAATTAATTTCATTGAGATGGAGTGATAAATTCAAGTGGGCTCATCTTATTTGAAGTTCCAAGCAGTTTTTAAAAGCTTTAGAGACAGGAGGTTGAAGAGAGAGAACAGCTTAAGCACATTATTTCAATGATGCCTATCTGTGAAAATTAAGGCTGAGGGCAGGCCCTGCTATTTGCTTTGACGGAGACAGCCTTAGGACTGCACATTAATCTTCCAGCTTCTCTGATATTTCAACACTTATCACATCAAAGCCAATGCACATGGGAAAATATTTTTGGGGGTGGAGGCGAGCTCCATAACCTGTCACATAACCTGTGAACTCTGGAGACATTTTTAGGAATGTTGTACAAGGTGACCAGAAAGTGTTAATTTTTAGCTACCTTATTAACTAAAAAAATCATTTCTTTAAGATTTATTAGACATTGTAATGATATCACAACTTTTTGGTCACCCTGTATATTCAAAATGATCATAAGTAAAATACGCCATTGCTGGGAGTCACTCATGATAAATATCTACTCGTCCTAACTTATCCCGTCAGGGCTATGTGTGGAGAAACGAACCCTGCTCACTTCTGTTCCCAAGTGTGACCTATCCAATTTCACATACATGAAAGAACTTCAGGAATCACTCGTCAGCTAATTATTTGGAATTTTGCTCCAGTTTGCTTGTTTTTTTTCGGGTTCAACAAATTCAGTGAACACGGGAAGAGAGCCTGTCTGACATCAGTGAGAACTATCAGCTACCTGGTAGAGTCAGTGGAACTGAAAGTTTTCTACCCTCAGCAGTTTAAAATCCAAATACCAAATTGATGAGCAGAGGGCATACGATTTATATTTAGACTACACTCCCGAACTCCATGTCCCCTCACTGACCCAGATCCATTACTTTAGAAGGGTTGCTAACAGACTTCACTGCTATTGAACCACTTCCCCTTACTGTTTAGAGTAAATTGAGACCTTTGTGCTAATCCAGTGGCATTTCATTTCCATAAATTAGACAACGATTCATGTTTATCAAAGAAATAGTAATCTTAAGGACAATTATTTTCATATTAAATCGTCATGGATTGAGTGACCAAATTATTATTATTATTTTTGATTATTACCCCCAGAAAGGCGATCGACAATCGACTAACAACCGGGTTCCTATTCACTGCTAGGTAAACAGTAAAGAAACTTGCCTAAGATTTTGCCCTGCCTAGGTAGGAATCAAGCCTGCGAGGGGAGTACTCTAACCAATATGCTACAGAACTCCAATTGGCGGATGTTCAACTCAGAATCAAAATGATGAAAGAATTAAATTGCTGTACCTCGGGTGCCATTATAATGACTTCATGATAAAGCTTTTGAGCATCTTCTGAAATTTCATTTATGCGCGTTAGAGCACGCGCCAAGCCCAAACGATACGTATATGAAGTGCGATTTATGGGCACTGGTCTCCCACTTGAATCCTGAGCGATACTGCGAGCTAGAAAACAAATATTCAAAAATATTGGTTACCTGACATTTTATGAGCTCATTTGTATTTCTTGTTCAAGGACAATTTTATCTAACACAAGTGTCTATGTCTAATAATTATAATTATAATATATACTTTGATAGGTATTTTTGTTATAACCTGTTACTAGATAACTGTTTATTTCAAGCCATCATATTTTGTATTATTTTAATAAAACAGATATATCATAATTAAACAGACTAAAATCTTTTCCTTTAGAATTCTACTTTTCAACTGAAAGTGATTAAAAAGTACTTTAAGCTTGTGTCGATCACAAATATTTAGTGCACACAATACAAGTTAATCACCTATCATAAATAGCAGCATAGAGACGCAAACCCGGCTGTAGATGTAATATGCCAGTGCAGGATTTTACAGCAAATAACCTGCTGGTTACCTGGTAATCAATCGAGGATTATTTCTCGATAAACTTAGAATAATTAGGTTGCGATTGTTAATGCTAGTCTCAGCCAATTTGCATACAACAGTATTCTACAAACAGCCATGAAGTGAATGACCAATTGTATCTGGTGGATTCTTGATCAGAAACCCAGGAGCAAATCCCCTCTCTTTTTGAATAGTGCCATGGGATCTTTAACGTCCTGATAGTCAAGACCATTGTTTCACATCTCATCTGAAGGACGGCACTTCCAACAAAGCAGTATTTCCTCAACACTGCACTAGATTGTCAGCTTAGGTTAATGAATTCAAAGTACCGACAATCTTTATAAACCCTCTCATATTTATTATCTGAATAAGAAAATATTTTTAAGTTTTTTCCTAATACCTTCCATTATTCTTTTGATCAGCTACCCCTGGTTCTATTTTTCTGTAACCACCCCACTCCCCCAATTTATTTTTGGAATACTGTACATTCTCAAAATATCCTTTTGCATGTTAAAAATGAAATCTTTAAAACTTCCCCAATTTCTTTTCAATATCTCCCATTTTGTGGTCTCCCTGTACACTCTCACAGCTCAAACTCAGTTTGCCTAAAATGTAGCTTTGTTACAGAATTCCTTCTATTTCCTACCTGCATTTGCACCCGGAAATCTACACTCAGAGGGTGGAAATAGAAGATAACGCAGTGGATTATCAGGACACCACTGTATGTACTACAAAAAATACTGGTTGAAGTAGGATTGAGAATAGTTTTGAGGATGGGAATTGGAAAAGTATTTGAAAAATAAGATCCAAGGAGGGGATTGGCAAAGGGCAGGAAAGTGTGATTAATGGGATAGCTTGTTCAGGGAACTGGCACAGGTATGACTAGTTGAATGGCCTCCTTTTATTCTGTAAGATTTTATGATTCTATGATTTAAACTTAAGAGATCTAAAATTTATCACGGTTCTAGATAAAAACCATTGTCTTGAAATGCAAGGCAATGCAGAATTTTGGAAAATAGTTAAATTCAGCCACAGAGCTCTTTACACCTAAGACCATGATCATTTTCAGAACTCTTAGTTAGAATTGAATTTATATAACATAATAATAATCCTTGCATTTGATATAGGGCTTTTCACGTCTTCTAGATGTCTCAAAGCGCCTCACAGAATATACTGAAAATTGAATTGACCGTATATTTGTGGGCGAAACACAGCAGCCAATTGCGCACAGCAGTGTCGCACAAACAGTCGTGGATTGAATCATTATTTTTTTGAGGGATTATTATCAGGAGTCTTTATGAACCCTGCAACTCTCACTCGCAAGATTGAAATTTAACTCATAAATAAGGAGCTGTTATGGTCCACTGTTAATCAGGTACAGACCAGCAGTGTACGTATTTAAAGATATCATTCTGGTTCTGAATCATCTGCATTTTTCTTACAATTTGGAATATAGTGATGAACCATAAGATATTTAGTTCATTCATTCATTCAGCTGCATAGGTTACAGGGAAATAAAGAGGTACAGAAAATGCTTTCTTCCCTACTTTTCTCTGCAACAGATTTTACATCCGACCCACGGGATGTGCCAGGTGTCTGGGGTAGAAACATCTCTGTTTTGGCAATGGGCTTGGTTTGTGCAGTGCCAGCACCACGCCCCCTAGTGGAAAATTCAAATTGCATTGTTACACGACATCAATACCACATCAAAAACAATAACTTACATTTATATAACGATTGAAGAGGAAGGTCCTCAGTCATGATCTACAAGAAGGGACGGAGGGGGCAAGATGGTGGGATTGAGGGAGAGAGTGCCAAAACTTCAGGGTGCAGTGGCTGAAAGCACGGCTGCCGATGGTGGAGAGGAGGGGACGAGGGACAAGCAGGGGGTCAGAGCCTCCGTCAGAGATTTCTATGCAAATACTCAGTGATTGTGTAGAAGTGGATGATGAAATACGTCAACACCCCACCATGAAGGCAGTCCATTTAAAAGAGGCAGAAGCCTCAAATTCCATCAAGCAAGGTTGCATACATAAAGTATAAAGACCACACAGAGCAAATAACACTGCACAGAATTGTGGAAAGTTCTCAGATTAACTCTTAATGTAGAAACAGGTTTTCTGCAGTTTATAAAAAGATCAGCTTTCATTTGAAGACTGATTTAAATTGTTCTAAATCAAACCTGATCTAAAAGAGAATTTAAGAGGAACTGCTGTTCATTGTTTGTAAATCTGTAAATGTTTGTAAATTTTTTTCACAATTCTGTCCAAATTTGAACATAAAATTGGTTTTCCAAGGTAAGAATAGGTAGAAGTTCAGGCCATAAATCCTTTAATGGGTAAATACTACGTAATATGCTAATAAACGGCAAAATTAACTTACTGACGATATTTGTGCAATTTCTGATCGGGTTGTCACATGGATACAAATTGAGCAGATTTAAACTTTCTAACTGAGATGAATATAATAATTTGAAAATGAAGCTTATCATGAATAAGTATCATCAGTGATTAAAGAGAACTAGGTTACTGCAATATCCATTTCACATGCTATTGTTTACTCCTTTTGGTGCCTATTTATTACATGTCCCAGAGATTTTTTGACTCAATGCCAAGTAGTCACAGGTGGGATCATGTAAAGTTGCATCTAATTACTTTATTCTACAGGGATTCCCCATAATCAAACACTCATCATATAGGGTTCCCTTGTGAATGTTATAATCTACTTGTATGCCTACAACCCACTTCCATGTAATTCTTTCTGTTAAGGGCGTTGTCACGTTCTGATCCTACAAGCACTATTTTTCATGCAAATATTATTCATTATTGTTTTATTCCAGTTCATCCCCTTTTCTAACGAGATGCTAAACCTAGATTCCACCTGCTTTACGATTGGGAACGATTGTGGTAAATGCCACTATTTCAAAGAAGAGTAGGTAATTTCTCTCTGTTCATCCTCCATGGAAGCAGCTGTACAAGTGTAAGCTGTTATAATCACAATGAGAGCTTAGTGACCCCTTTGCAGTAGGAAAAGGGAATTCAGTAATGTGGTTATGTTGATTCCCACATCTGGAATTTCTACATGTAGGTGGATGCGTGAAATTCTCAATTTGGTTTGGATACACTTAAGCACAGTGATGGGTTTCCACATGTATTAAGACATCTGACTGTCCAAAAAATAAATAAACACAGATTTCATTTTTTTTGGATCTGTGGTGTTCAGGAGGGGGGCGGGGTTAAAACCAAAAATTAAAAGCTCTACACCTTGAACAATACTCAAACTAGAATTGCTAACACTACAATATTGGTCCTAATCTTTGCCAGCTGACGTTATTGCTGCTAGTGACAGGAGAACTTAGTCACAGTGCACCCCAAAGTAGGGAGACTCTGTTTCATTTCAGATTGGCTCACAATAATAGGAAAAACCCAAGTTCTGAGAAGCAGATTTAATAGATCTTCATCATATTTCTCTGGAACTGGATTTGAGCCAAAAGTGTCCTTTTTGGCAGTACTTTGTAGATAGAATCGTAGAAATCATGATAAGAAGCAGGCCATCTGGCCCACCAAGCCCACACCAATGCCAGCTCCTTCACTGAAGATAACCACTTCAATCCCAATTTCATGCTGTCTACACATTATTATATCATTCCTCTTCAAAGGTTTATCCACTTATGTATCTGAGCCTCAATAACTACTCCTGACAAAAAGCATTCCATATTCTAACAATCATCTATTTTTTCTAATTTTTTAATGACAATGTAATTTTGTTGTTGTTTTTGAGCTCATGCTCCTTAGTTATCAATTAGCAGGAATAAGCTTTCACTGTTTATTGTTTCAAAACCTTATCCACCATCGATAGTTGTGTATTCAACTCCTACACCCTGAAGCTCAGAAATTCCCTGTCTCAATTCCTCCGTCTTACTCCCTCTTTGCCTGTCTTTAGATCGCACCTGAAGACCTTTCTCTTTGACTGTGCCTACAGTGGCCTCCCCAATTTCCCTGGCTTGGTTGTCAAGCTCCGTGATTTTAAGCGCTCCGAGACTTTACCCCAAGTGAAGCGCACTATATAAATGCAAATTGTTGTTAATGTACTCCCCCTTAACTTTCTCTGTTTCAGTGACAATTACCCCAATTTTCCCTAATAACGTTAATCGGTTGGCAGATCGCTTTTCTAGAGGTAATACTCCCCTCAAAATAAATAAATAAAATAATATTTATTTGGTCACTCAATCTACGACTGTGGGACACTGCTGTGCGCAATTGGTTGCAGTGTTTCGCCCACAAAATATACAGTCAATTCACTTTACAGCATATTCTGTGAAGTGTTTTGAAACGTCTTGAAGATGTGATAAGGCACCATATCAAATGCAAGGATTATTATTATTCATGGTATGTTGGGATTTGGCACCCATACACCTAAAGGCAATAGTTTAAAAGATAAACAATTTCTCCCTGTTTCACACTGTAGGCCTGTATGTTGGTTACCTGGCAGAAGGTGGGGTGGCCCCTCCAGCTGAAGTGCTGGGATTGGCAGCAGCTGGCCAGTATACCATTCTACCTCCCCTGGTTGTAGCTCCTCTCACACCACCTGCCCTAGTGGTAATCCCTCTGAGTGGCATGGCTCTTACGTTTGCTGCTCCTCCTCTCGGAGCTGGCTTCTGCAAGGGTTTTAGTAGATTTTTTTCTTGCTGTTCAACCTTCCAATCCTGCCACCATTCCTGTTCTTAAAAAAAAGGCCATCTCTACATAAATGTTATTGTTTGTTATTTCCCTAACACTATGTTCTGTCACTACCTCATATGATAGAAGCACAAAGCTAAAAATTTGCAGTGTTCCTTAAACACATTCCTTGTCTAATTAAGACTATGAACAGGTTAAGAAATGCAGTCAAATCTGTTCATTAACTAATTAATACTGTGTTAAGGTTCCTAACAACCTTAGCAATGAGCACATTGCTCCCGATCTTGTGATTCGTGCAATCTGCATTCCATAAGTAGTTGAATTTGCATTCCATAAGCAGTTCACAATTGAAACCTTTCTGGATAATGTTCAGAATGTCTGAGTCAGATTGTAATTAAACTTTCAGACTGGGTGACTGAAACATTTACATCTATTGAATTACAATGTAATTTAATTAGGATTGCTACTGTGAAGATTTTTTTTAACCCCCCCCCCCCAATTAAATCAAAAGATTCCTGATTAATAATAGCCAAACAATTTGATTATTGTATCCTGTTGAGTGTGTCTTTTGTTTGATTTCAGCTTGAATTACATTGCATGCAAAATGCTTACTTATTCGCAATACTTGAGAACCAAGAGACTACATCCTAATTCAGAGACTAAGCACAATGGCTTTCTGCAATTTAGCCATGCATTTAATCCATGAGTCTATACCGTTCAAAACAGACAGAATATCAGTCACTGAAAGTAATCTTGCAACATCCACTGAATGCAACAGTATTTAAAGTATTTAAACTACATTCACCATTCAATTCTGCAGCTTTACTGGAACAAACTTTGCCGAATAAATGGATTATTTTTGTAATTTTTGTAAGCGCTTCACAGGATTTAATGTAACGTGGAGTGAACCTGTGTTTCATGGGCGAATGTCACAGCCAATTTGTATAACACTCAAACAGCTGTGAAGTGAGTGACCAATTTTATTTGGGGGATTGTTGGCCAGGACATGGGGAGAATCTTCCTTCTCTTTTCGAATAACGTCACAGGATCGTTATCATCCACCTGAAGGATGGAAAGTCCAACAATGCATTGGAGTTCCAGCTGAGACTGGATAAGTTTTAAGTCCCGACGTGGGGCTTGAACCCATAACCTTCTCACTCAGTCTTCCCAGGCTCCTAACCCCTCTGAGTGTGGTCTTATATGAGTAACCATGGGGACTAATAGGCTAGTAGGAAATACTATTATATATTGCCCTATCACAAGAGTGAACACGTATGCAATGCTTGACACTTACCGGTCAGCTCATTTGGTGGATTTCCAACCATTGGTTTGTTCTCAAGGTTGATGCTTGCTCGGAAACTACGGCAGGCATCATTAATTAATTGTTCAGTCCGGTTAGAAGAAGAAGGTTCATTGTCATACTCATCTAACTGTTCCAGGCCGAGCATGTATAGAGCATGACTATCACAAGGTGAGGTTACCACTGCCAGCTGGCACACCTACAGTTNAAAAAAAGCACAACTCTTGTTTATGGGAGAGATACAAATCATCAAATTAAACAAAAATTAGAAAATGATTATGCAGAGTATATCCAACAACATGTCTTTAAAAGAGAATCAGATAATCACCCAAATCTCCACAGTGGAAACTGCATAGAGCTTTCTGTAAAATTCATTAGAGAACGTTTGCTCAGTGACCAAGTCATTTCTACACACTGTAATAGAAAATCTCCCAGTGCGGTAACCCTTCAGCGCAGGAACCCTACCATGCATGAAGGGTGCTTTATAAATGCAAGTTGTTGTTGTTGAACCCTTCAGTCTGAGACTATAATGTTGGTGCACTCTATTCTTTGAGTGATTCAGTGACATTTTGAGTGTTCCTTCATTAGAGCTGTCGTAAATTAATACCAATGTTAATCAATTTGCGATGCCTCATATGAATTACTTACTATTATTAATTGGATTATTTACAGTAACCCCCCGCAAATAAAAATGTTGTCACTTAATTCCCGACAGTTTGTGGGACACTGCTGTGCGCAATTGGCTGCTGCGTTTCGCCCACAAAATACAGAGTCAATCCACTTTACAATATATCCTGTGAAGACCTTTGAGACTAAGTGTTTTTCTCAACAACGTAATAATGCGCTATAGCAAATGCAAGTGAAATTCTCTCATTAAAAATATTTCATGTGGAAATTGTCATAATTTCCTCCTCACTATCTGCTCCTGGTCTGGTCCCCTCTTGCTGGTGCTGCAGTTCCACTGAAGTTGGACGCTCTCAGGTACCCTCCCCCCACAAGGCTTGCCCCTTCCCAAGGGGGGTTTCCTGGTCATGTGCAAGTCTTGCCAATGATTGTCAGCAGTTTTTGTAAATGACTACTATGATATTAGATTTATTATGGTCCCTTACCTTTCGTTTCATGTTCAGTAGATGATCTGTGCCTGGAATGGAACTGCACTTTATCAGTGAAGACAAAGAGTTGCACCTTTTACTGATTCTGCGTTCCTGCCTATCTGGCTGTTGGACAAGCAAGTCCAGGAGGTGTAAATGGGATTCAAGAAGTAGCCACTCAAGCGCTTGAAATATAGATCCTCGGTATGGGCACCGGCACAGTCCTTGGGCAACCAGTTTTACAGCACTAATACCAAAATTCAGAAAGGACATACACAGTAACGTAAATCTACTGAGCATTTCTGACGGTTCAGTGGGTTATTGCATAATTTCATAAGAACATAAGAATTGCTAGATGAAAGAAGACCAAGCTCAATCCAGTTCACCTGCCATTATCCTGGCAGTCACAAGCAGATGTCATGTCCCAAACTATATACTGTATCCCAAGATATTATTTCCTAACATAATCTATCTAATTTGTTCTTGAAAGAATCAACACTTTCTGCTTCCAACATCTCCCTAGGCAGCCTTTTCAATACATTTATTCCTCACTCCATGTAGTGTTTCACAAATTTGTTTTGAATTTACCCCCCTTCAATTTCAATCTTAAAAGACATCTCAGACCAAACATTATACTACGCAAGATACTAAATGGGATAGCGAACATAAACCCAGAATAATACATCCACAGACACTATAGCAGCACATCAAGAAAGCACAGGTTAGAATAACCCTTCCGTTTGTGGTTCAAAATCATAAAGGGCAATTTTTGAACAGACTGCAGTTAGAACTTATTTTCACAGAAAATCAGATGGAGCAAGTTTTTAGAAAGAGTGAGTACCTGGATTCATCTATAAATCAACTTGATGCTACAAATGGGAGGTCACTCAGGATAACTCATATTATGATGATATCCGCATTGGAAATGGTTAGTTGTTATCTCCAGTAAAAGTCCAACCACTATTATTGAATACAACTGCAATAGAGACCCCAATATCTGCACGAATAGCAACTTTCTCCATTGTGGATATGAAAATAGTGGGGATATCCAAAATACAAATTGGCTACAACACAAAGCAAAACATTCATAAGGAGTTATACTTTTATTTCAGTGTCTAACTCTTTCTGTCTCTGATTCTCTAACTTAATCCCTCTCTTTCTCTGTCTTTCTGGTTTTCTCTCCAACTTTATGTGTCTCTGAATTTCTCGGTGTCTCTCTCAGCATCCTATATTGCATTTTGATCAAATTAAATTAACAGACTTACCTCACCCTGCCGGTTCACAATCTTAAAAAATTGTACACTTGACAAGGTGTTCATACATGGCAACGATAGAGTTTTGCCAACATTTCATTCTAAACCATCGCTTCTGCAGCTCTATCTTGATGTGGAGACCTAACCCATGGTCTAGCAGATGGATTTTTATTTGGAATTTTTATTTTACATGCAGAAACCCATCACCACATTTAAGAGCATCCTACCCAGACTGAGACTTCCACATGTGTATGCCATCTACAAATGGAAATTACCCTGTGTCTGGAATGGACCTCTCTCCCAGGCTGGCAAGAGCTAAGGTTTGTGAAACCCAGAGTGTGTGTTTAGGTGCAGCTACCAGCTAAAACCACATAGTTTGCCATTGAAAGCAATGTCTGACAAACTTCTCACTGCTTGTCCAGCTAGAACCATACAACCCGTGAAGGTTTTAGCTTGCAAGATTAACAGGACACAAATAGGATCAATCCCTACCGGTTGTAACTGTTTTGCTCTTCCAAGTCTGGCTAAGGAGCCAGGCAGGCTGGCTGGTTGCTTATCAACAGTGCCCTGCAGTACCTTTGATCCCCAGGACTCCCATGTGAAGACGTGCAGCATAGTGGTTAGACCACTAGCATTGCAAGCGAGAGACCCTGGGTTTGATTCCCGGGCAGGGCAAAAAGTTAGGCAAGTTTCCTTACACATGCCTCTGTTTACCTTGCAGCAAGTAGGAACCCGGTGTTAGTCGATTGGCGGATTGCTATTCTAGGGGCAATTATCACTCCAAAAAATAAAAATAAATACTTATTTGGTCACTCAATCCACAACTGTTTGTGGGACATTGCTGTGCGCAATTGGCTTCCGCATATCACCCACAAAATACACAGTCAATTAACTTTAAAGTATATTCTGTGAAGTCGCAGACGTGATAAGGCGCTATGTCAAATGCAAGGATTATTGTTGTTGTTATCATTATCATTGGAAATTAAATCCTAAAAGATTATCAAAACAAATGAAGCACACAACTTACAAGTGAAACACCTGCTCAGCAGTCATTGTTTTTTCAGGCAGCCCTGAGGGTGGTGTGCTGAGAGCCTTTCCCAGCTGCAGTATTCCTCCGGGCAATTGGGGATTCACCAGGCAATATACATGTGAAGCTTGAAGAGGTAAGGCTTCTTGACTGGAAGAATGAGTGGATACAAACACTTTAAGATTCATAACACAATCAAACGTACATCTGACACATCACAATGTCATAGCATATTTGCAAAACATTTATATGGTATCTTTCACATCTCAAAGCGCTTTACACAACTGGAGTGGGAGGGGGAGGATTTAGGACGGGAGGGGAAAAGTGGCAGAAAGTACGATCAAAGATTTTAGGTTTTATGGTGGATTTAAAAATTGGAGAGAGGGGCATGGTGGAGGACTCTGGGATGGAGTTCCAGCAAGTGGGGCAGAGTGGCTGAAAGTTCGCTCCCTGATGGTGGAGTTGGTGATGGACATAAAGCAAATCGGTATTTGCTGAACAGACGGAGTGGTTGGGACAATAGAAGTCGCAGAGGTAGGACAGGGAGAAGCTGGAGTCATTTGAAAATGCAGACAAGGATCTTGAGTGCAATCTACTGGCAGATAGGGAGCCAGTGTTGCCAAACAAGAATAGGTTGGTGGATCATGGAGCCTGGTGTGGGAGATGGCATGAGGGCACTAGAGTTATGGGTGGTCTGCAGCTCGTGTAGGGAAGAGCTGGGTAGTCCGACAAGCAACACACTAGGAGGCTACTTAAAATATTCTGGGATTTTTGATTGGATTTTTGATAAGGAAGCAGTGTGAGCTGTGCGAATCCTGCGAACAGAATATAATGAAAAAGCTGTCTGCTGCTCACGGGATTCAAACAGTTTGAGTTGCTTAGTTGGTACTGGGAGAGTTAGGCTGGTTGGAATCTACACGCACATGAGAACGGGGATTTTTCAAAAAAAAATTAAGTTTCTGGCCAAGTGCAGCCAGGTTTGAATTCGAATTCTGATTACCAGGTTTACTGTACAATTATTTCAAACAGTAAAATCTAACCTTGGATCCTTGCCTCCTGGAAAGATAAGCTTAGATAACAGCTCTTCTAAGCCTTGCTGGATGTACTGAATGGCTTCTACTCTTTGCGGAGCTGATTCACCAGTCTGATCGAGTATAGCCAGCCCTGTGTAAAATCTGGTAGCACAGGAGGAAACCAAGATTACATCCACAAGGTGCAAATTATCCACAGATAACAATGTTGATTCCATTTAAAATCACAGTGGTCTGTGCTGTTCATATTATTCACAAATGATTGGGTGCGAAGTATTTCTTGTAATGTTGGAAGAAAAATGTAATGTTTCATAACAGATTTTGATGTGCTAAATATCACATCAATGGGCAGAAATTCCACCTGAGTTGAGATTTACTTTATTTGTGTAGAGTTTGTCTGGAATTTTGCAAATGCTTAATTGCAGAACAATAGAAAACTGACTTCCAGAAAAGGGTTTAACCTTTTTTTGACGCAAGGATTTATTAATTGCAAGGTCGCTTGCCTAGGTTAATAAATACATTCTAGCTGCTGGATTGGCTTTTAACATTATGTTTTCTTGTTAAATATGTATTTACAGCTATCATCTTGGAAACCAGAGCAAAATTCCTGTTATCTTGCCCTGAATGAGATTCTATCCAGGTCCAGCCTAGGCTACCTATTTTACAGTGATCAAATTATGGGTAATTTTATGTCATGGACTTGCATCCACTGGGTACCAATCAAGATGAATGAATTGTCAAGGTTTGTTCCTAGTAGAATCTGCCTCAGAGGGGTTCAACCAAGGTGTCAGGGTCACAAGGGAGGGCTCGATGGACAAGTCAGCCACATGTACACTTCCTGGGGTCTAATGGATGTTTATATAAATATACTGGGGAACCTTGTAGAATGACCCAGGCTTGCCTATGTTTCCAGGTGATGAATTCTGCACAATACACAGGAAGCCTACACGGAAAATAATTTGCCACATTATGTAAAAGAGACCGTAATTGGAATTATTTAATTAAATTATAGTAAAACTCTGATCTGTAAAAATCGTATAATCGCCTAAGTCGTTCATTTGCATAAGTCATACTTTGCATAAGTCATATTAAATGTTTGGTCCCAAATGATATGACTTATGCAAGGCTTAGTGTATTACAATAATAAAATCTTAATTTGAGCTCGGCTAATTTAAGTTGCTCACCTAATGTATCCTGATTCTGGTTTCTGTGCCAGCGCTGTCTGTAAGTACCTCAGTGCACCTTTGTCCTTTTTTTGTAACAGCAAGAATCCGACATGGAAATTGTACTGCCAGTTCTCAAGTTGGAGGGACAAAGCATCCATGTATTTTAGAAAGGCCCAATCACGATGGCGCTCTTCACTGGGTAATGCTTTAATTTTAACATCCTAAATGACACAACCAGTTAACAATGCAGAGTGCTAGGCTATTTCACTTTATTCTTAGAACTATTTCAAAAACGCCAACAATTTTATTAATGTAATATTAATATAAGTCCAGGGTTGTGCTCCGCCACTGTCAAACACTCTGAGACACTATGGGGCACTACGTAAATGCAAGTTATTGTTGTTATAAAATTGGAAACAATGGTTTGCCTACAAATCCACAATCATTACATTTTACAATAATTCCCATGACGTACTTTGCCACGATTTATGAAGCAACTTTACAATGAGTGTCGGCAGGTTAATTAACCACGAAGGCGACACAGCCTCCTCAAACGCATGCCCCTACAAGTACTCTCCAGCAGAAGATCAGAAGATGCAATCAGATGCCCGAAATTCCACCTGGAGTGAACCTGCAAGACCATTTGGTCTTATATTTTTTGAGATTGCACAAAATTGTGGAAAAAATTTAATTCAGTTTTAGTTGGGAAACCAATTTTCATTTTTTTTAGAAAGAAAGGTGTTCCAAATTAACATTGGGTTTGAGAGTTTATCACAATTCTATGCAATTTATCCTAAGACAAAATGGTCTTACCGGCTAAGACCAGGTGGAATTTTGGACCTCTGGACCATGAATTCTGGATGATAATCCCTTCTTTCACTATCTCAATGGCACACAATCAGAAAAAGAACTGTAAGCTAAGTTTAGAGCATCAATTGATGCGCCGCTTGAGATTAGTTAACTCAACCCACACAAGGATTCAAATCTGTGACCCTCCGATCTGTACGGTTTATTTTTTCGCTGGATGGTATGAATCTATTTCCTTATCTTAGGAAATATGCTGCTCTATAAGATTTGTACCTTCCCAGCCTGCTTAGATTTCCAGATGTAAAGTGTCTGTGCATAGTCAGCTTTTACTGACTGTCCACGTTCCTTCAGCTGGTTATACTCCATGTCCAGTGCCTTCAGCTGCTGTTCAAGGTTGGACTGGTCTGGAAAACCGTGAAGCTTGCATATTGCCGTGATCTCATCATTTCTGCTACTAGTTTTTGCTGCATCATCAAACGATGATGCGTCATCTTCTTCCTGAGGACAGATTGAGGTGATTTCTATGTTAAAACATACTGTAAAATAAAGATGGGTTTGAGTAAGTTAGAATTGATAACAGTCATAACACTTTACAATACTTTATAATATCCTGTGAAGCGATTTGAGACATCTTCGTGACGTGAAAGTTGTTATATGTAAGGATTATTATTTACTGCTTCCTTTTGGAGAAAGGAACAACACTGCATGGAATTTACAGGCTTTTCTATAACATTCAATGGAGCAAAGCAATAGATTCTCTTACTTCTGGAAATCCAACATTTTAACTTAGCTTAAAATGGAAACAATTGCACAGTATTACTGTTCCAAGGTTCAGTTGTCGCTGAACTTGCAGGGCATAAGTGACAAGTCCTCTAAGTGAAATACCTGTATCCCGCTTAAGTCCACATTACCCACCTGAGTATTACTTTTCTGAATTCCATACATCTCAGTTGCGTAGTAATGCTCCTCCAGCACTAGGCCCAGTTTGAAATGTAGCTCGGGATCATTTGGTGTCAATTTTATAGCCAATGCATAGCCCACTGCTGTCTGATGCAAGGCATCTAGAGGAGATTCTCCTTCTGCAAACCGAGTCCTAGGTCCTGCATTAGGGAATATTCATATCTGGTCAGAAAGCCTGCTGGTAGATTGTGGATTTTAAATGGCAAAGGAAAGTGAAAGAAAAACGATGTTTAAAAGCAAAATCCAAAAAATGGCCTCATCGGTGAACTGGAGTGCAGAGTTATGTTTACCTGTCATGCAATTGTTAACATAGATAGGAATACAGTCACTCATCCCAAATTCAACAATTATAACTGCCTGTTTTAATTGAGCTCCCTTATTGGGCCAAGACTTTCTCTAATGATGGAATCACCTCCCCTGTTCAAATAATACTTTAAAACAGTCAAAAGGTTATTCAGAATTCAGAAATGGACACCAACAGCAACCTTGCCTTTTTGAATTATACTGTCAATATTGCTTTAATAATAATACTTGCATTTGTTCTAGACGTCTCAAAGCACTTCACGGAATATACTGGAAAGCGAATTGACTGTATATTTTGTGGGCAAAACGCTGCAGCCAATTGAGCACAACAGAGTCCCACAAACAGTGGTGGATTGAGTGACCAAATTATTATTATTAGTTGGATGAAATTAACTTTATAACACTAGGAAATGTTCAGTGGTCTATCTGATACAAGCAAAGCATTATTAGCTGTTTCTACAGCAATCATTTACATTTTTTCCAAGAATATTTCAATTTGGCAAATATTTACACCGAGAATCTCAAAAATGCCACATTAAGGTGTATTGGTCTTTAAAAGATCAATGTGATATATGTGATAAACGTTTATTTGAAACAAAACGTGCCTGCTGTCGAAAGCCGTTGCTGGTAAATATTCAGTTGTTCGATAGCGTAGCTGCAGAGTTTCTCGACACTACTCTCATTCACCTCTTCATGAAGCTTCTTCTCCCAGTCACGTTCCTGGAGCAAAAATACTCAACAATGCAGCATGTGCAACCAACAACAGCTTTGAAACAAATCCAAGTCCACAAACTTCTCATGCACTGAATAACAACTATAAAAAATTACATTTGTATAGCACCTTTCATGTCGGGAGGACATCCCTGGATAATCAAGGATTTGGACCTGATCTGGGGGTTGGGGTCAAGAGGAGTTAAGCGTAGGGAGGGTAGGGAGTTAGGGATAGGAAGGTGACTGAAGCGCAGTTGAAAAGACGAGTCTTAAAGGAAGCAAGGGAGGGGGCAAGGTGAATGGACTGTGGGATGGAGTTCCAAAGGGTGGGGGTAGAAAGGCTGAAGGCCTAATTACCGATGGTTGGGCGGGCTGGGTGGGGGACATGGAGCAGGTGGAGGGAGTGGACAGGAATAACCGGTTGAATTGTTGACAGACCATAATGCAAATGGTCACTATATCATCACAAACTTCATTCATAGCATTTTTATGTAGGATTTACATAGTAATTACATATTGAGGGCATATTAAGTGGTCTGAGTCATCGTCCGGGATGAAGAGTGCTATATAAATGTAAGTTGTTGTTATTAAATACAATATAATAATAATAATAGTCCTTGTATTTGATATAGCGCTTTTCACGTCTTCTAGACGTCTCAAAGCGCTTCACAGAATATATTGTAAAGTGATATCCTTACACACCACATAATGTTGGGTTCACCCATAAGAGAACAAGCATATTCAACCAAAATATTCAAGTGTGCCCCAACACATTTTCTGTGGTATTGTAGGTACAAACAGAAACTAAGCCAAAAAAGGTAAAAGTTTTGAAAGATAAATATAAAAATCAGGTCAAATTACTAGGGACTGGCTGAAGGGACTATTCTTTCAGCTTCTTCTTTCAGCATTTAAATATAGTCCAAATTGATGGAACAAAGGACAAAGTAACAAGAGTTTGGGTGGTTTCAAGCCCGTACCTAGTGAGTTTGGTATTGTTGGGCAGAATACAAGGATTAGCTAGCACCTGGTTGTGCTCCGAGACTCTACCTCATGTGAAAGGCACTATTTAATTGCAAGTTGTTGTTACACAGGTTGACCAAAAAGTCATGATATTTATCCTATTATCTAAAAAAAAATCATCATTTCTTTAAGACTTATAATACATTGTAATGTATCACAACTTTTTGGTCACCCTATAGTTGTTGTAGTCGTGGTTCACTTGCGTCAGCTAGATTAAACAAACTTACATACAATTGAGCACTCTGACTGAATATGTAAAATGACCCTTGTGCGTTTTTGGATGAAACCAAAGCAACCAGTGTGTGAGACTTGCGTATCACTAAGGAGGTTTGGATCAGAAAGACTTCTTTATTTTTTTCATCCTTACAGAATACCTACCCAACCATCTTCCCATTGCCACTATCAAACCATTTCTTAAGAGTCCAGAGTCCTTGCCTCAACCGCTCTTCCGGGTGATTCTACGTAAACAAATACTTCCTGGTGTCTGCTTTAAAAGTGGCCTTCACAGCACATCTTGCAATTCACTTTAGATCTACCTATTGGAGTTTGTTTAGAAGCCTGACTATCATGTTTGTGGGTGTGGATACAGGGCACTTTGAAATCTAATGTAATGTGTCAGGTTAGACTGGACCTAAACATTACCACCTTTGGGAGGATTTCATTCAATGGAGATAATGTGGGTAAAGTAGAATTCGATTTGAGTTTTTTTAAAATATTGTAGTGAATGTATAGTCATAAATTTGACTCAAAAGCATAGCAAAACAAGGATATCATGGATATCACCAAAACGTAATTCTGAATCACCCATTAATTTTAACAAATATATTTATAGTGAGGCAATTTATATTTTATGTCTCTTTATTTAGACTGTTCTGCAGTAGAAGTAATTGCTGTTTTGGAAATTGGTAGTAGAAAAGAGCCTTGCGGGCTTGTGTTTTACCTTCAGAGTGTGATTGAGCTGATATTTTACTTTGTTTGAGATGCCAAATTCTGCTTGATACCATACAGCCTCTGTCACAACCTGTAAGAAATCAAAGTTAAAGGTTATAAAAGGTTTATTCTGGATATTAAAGACTACAGGAACTTGTGAGCTAGCATGAAAATCTTGAGTTGAAATGTTTGTGTGGAATTAAACTGCGTAACAAAGACGTCATTTTATCTCTGTTCACGTACAGAGAATACTGCTGTGCATTTTCCAGTGATCCAAAAAAAAAGTTTTGGGGGCTAATCAAGATAAGGGAGATTAGTGTAATAGGAAATGAAACACGTAACAGTATGAAAAATATCAGCGTTGAATAATCTGGGTCGGGGGAGCATATTTAAATGCAGGGTAAAGTTCGCCATTCTTTTCTCCAACAATTTCTGAGCACAAGCCCCCACTGCACCAAGGTTACATTACTTATCATACTTTTCTGAGGCCTGTCTGAGTGAGAATGACAATTCAGTTCCTATTTAAGAGCATTTTTGTGCTTTGAACCCACTAGCATTTGTATCGAGAAGGCCAAAACTAAATTAATTAGGTCTCCTCCGCCAGAGGAGATTTTCAAACTGAATTGGATTTAAACCCTGACCCAGAGGTGAAAGTCCTATGTCCAATTCACTGCACAGCCAGGTTTCCACAAATATATATCAGCAACTTATTTTGACAAAACTATGACGTGTCTGGTGAATATGGCACAAGTTTGTTGCCGCATTAATCTGCCTGGGCAGCTTCTTCCATCTGACCCCCATCTCGATTAAACTGTGTTCATTTGATGTAAAAGACATTATATTCTGCGGTATGAGATTTAGATTCTGGTCAATCTCCTCTTTCAGATTAAAGGTTCTAAATAAGAAAAACAAATTTAATTTGTTTTACTGGTTGCTAGTACACCAGATGCCTAATTTAAAATATCCCTGGAAATCACACTAAAGTAGCTTTGCAGATTTGATAGTCTAAATGTTGGAGCCAAAACTGAAGCAAAATTTTCTCTGAGCAATTCTAGGCCACAAAGCTGAAAAGTAGCTTGGATGCACATAATGGTTGAATGGCCCAGCCCCAATCTGTGCTGAAAGCTTCTATGTAAACTTCTATTCATCGCTCACTATATCAAAAAAGTGTGAGGCAGCTAACAATAAATAAGGCTACCAGGATGCTCGGCTACACTGCAAAATCAGCTAAGTGCAGATCCATAGATGTCATATTCAGTGCTCCAGTCAGACTGCACCTAGAAGCCTGTATAAATGTCTGGTTAAAAGAGGTTGAAATAAGACCTCTTTAGCAAATTTTTAAATTTTAGAAGTGAAAGCAACATGAGGCTATTCCTTCAAACAACTGACCTTAGAATCCAGTTCTGCTGGTGGTTGGTTTTTACACTCCTTTGCATGGGATCCGAGTTCTGACAGTTTCACCACACTGGTACATCCTTAATAAGCAGGAGTAAAATGATGACTACAGAGCCTAACTGGAGACCTTTAAAACTTCTTAATATCTATGATGGCGGCAGCTTTGTTGTTCCCAAAATAAGCTACATTGGACTACAGTAGTACTTTACACCAAACAACAGTAAGAGTACAATTGTTTTGTATCTAATTCTGATTCACAGTTGGCCTTCACTCACATATCGAGCTCCTGGTCTTAGCTGTGACATCTATCATGGGGAAGCAAAGAGCAGAGACAGAATAGTGCATCCTCTCAGAAAGAGAAAGAACCAACATTCAAGTCATCTTGTACATGTCCTAGTGACCAGTTGCAGAACAGTACTGGAGCAGTACTGCTGGTTTGCAGGGCATTGATATACAGCAAAGGAAAGCCCAGGAGCTCAACTCAGATTCACAGTTGCCTTTCACTCACATATCAAGTTCCTGATCTGAGCCATGGCATATATGCAGGATTTATTTTATTTTTGGTAGCTGTGTTTCAATTATTGTTAACATCAAATGTAAGCAGCAGTATTACAAGTCTATCGGGCAATCTGACAGCTATAACTATATACAGTGGAACCATAACTATTCACCTCCTGATTATTGCTTGCCTCTTCAACTTGTCTCCCCGACTAAGCTGTCACTATATAGTATAGAGAGTACTTGAGCGGAGAGTCGATTTCTCTCCGTTTAGTGTTATTGTCATTATATGATTATTTTTTAAGGAAATTGAACCATCTGACTTCTTTTAGCTCCCTTGAGGAACATCATCATCCAGAACTTGTGGAATGGATCCTCTTGAATTTCCACATCAGGCCTGAACATATTATAGGGTGAAAAATGTATTACTTGAAGTGGTAATGTGTTCTCCAGCATTTTCAAGCCATGAAAGTCTGCTATTCAGTCACATTAATGGAAATCTCTTTAAAAGGGCAGAACACCAAGGTTGGTAATTTTACTGACAAGCAGAAATACGCGCTTCAGAAATTAAACAAAAACATTCACTGTGGTAATTCAGCTTTGGCTCAGAGATCCATACCAGCACCTGAGCTCATAATTTTGGCCAACATTGTATAAAGGATAAAAGGAGAGCCACTTTGTTCAAGGTGCTGTACGTTAGATAAAACGTTGAAGCAAAGTCCTGTCTGTATGCAAATGAGATGAATGTTAGTTTCCAAGACACTATATCTAAATTAACCCAAAATATATTAATTGTTCATTTCTTCCATTGCTGAAGGTATGAGTGTACAGTAGTTGCAGATTGGTTCCTTTGTGAGTTGGTCAGCTCAGTGCTTTGGTAACATTTATCCATTATTATCCACAGTATTGTAAGTGTTAATATTTGTGGTCTAAAACAGCAGTTACTTAGAAATCAGATACTGGCAAAACTGCTGAGGGACTTAATACAAAGAAATTTGTGTTCTTGAAGGAACTGAAATCAAGTAATGGCTACCTGGTCTCATTTATTATTGTTTTATACAGAAAAACAAATTGAGCTACTTTCCATTCAGACGAGAACATAAACTGTTCCATTCAGACTGTTCAACATAAACATGTGTTTAAGGCTTGAAAAGAAAATCTCAGTCACTGATATGACTTTGGCCTGGAATACATTTCAACCAAGCTTGATATGCAAGTGACTTTTTTTTCAGTTCCTCAGCAGCAGTAGATTTGGGCAATGGATCTTGATTTTGATTAATGGAAAATGTAATTTAGGTACTCTACTGTCACCTGAGGTGCAAGATAATAGTTTTATTTTCTTTATTGCAATACCCATGGCACCATTCTGATGATATATCAGACAGCTTTAAACTAGATTTCCTCAGCTACATCATTTTACCCAGATGTTTGAGCAATTAAAATATGATGCTGTAGCCCTTTCGTTTAAAGTTGGCTGTAAGTGTAGAAAGCAGCTTGCTCACTCTCAAAGCTAATCTTTTTTTAATTACCTTTCACCTTTATTAAACAATCCTTAGCACAAGGGCTTCCGCTAAGAGCCTAGAAGACAGACAGTTTGTCAAGATAGCGGCAGAAACACTGCTGAAACAGGTGAGGGAATATTTATGGAATAATCCACCAATCATTGCTGATTGCCACTTTGTCTCATCTCATGGGCTAGACACAGAAAGTAGTTTACTAAGGAGAATTCAACAAAGCCCTACATTTCACAAAGCAGTGATGGACACACAAGTGGATAAGTATTATACCTTCTGATAACTTTACTCGACTTAACAATAACAAGCTATAACAAGAGCCCAGGAATAAGGAAATACAATAGAAAGAGAAAAGCAATACCATGAGAAACAACTTTCCACTAAGGTATATTAGTTCCCTTTTAGTGTGGTTTAATTCCTACTACAAACACAACTTTTTCGTCACGTTTCCTGGTTTTGATTACTGTTTGAGTGTAAATAAATTATTTAATGTAAGAGTGGGTTGTAGAAGAAAAGTATGTAAAGAATTGCTCGTAAATGTAATGCCATGAAGACATACCATCGTCAGCAGTGAGAAACATTAAATAACCACAAAGGAAGCTGACTAGGCAGCGCACCAATCACAAAGTTGCAAAGGAGTTACAATCACTTCATGAGTTGAGAAATTCAATAATAACTCACCGCTGGCCCTCAAATAAGTCTTATTTTCATAACAATTGAGGTAACAAATACCTCAATTGTTATATGGGCAATGCATCAGCTAATCTGCAGCAGCAACGTCCCACAAACAACACTGAGATACAAGATCAATTAATTGGAGTCATGAATTGGGCTAAGGGAGGAATTTTTGTCCAGGGCATTGGGAAAATGTACTGCCTTTCTTCGAAATAGTGCCATGGGTATCTTTACTGACCACCTAAACAGGCAAACAGAAACTTGATTTAACATCTCCTTTGAATGACAGGTCGTTCAATAATGCAACAATCCCAAAATTCTGCTCTGGGATCATCTTTGACACATTCAATCCATATTGCTTAAACCTCTGTAAAATAAAAAATGCCTGATATAGGAACTTGTGATGGTACCTCGATATTTGAAGCAGCAGTAAACAAAGGCAGCTGATATTTTTTTGTCCAATTCGTACTCTGACACTCTCCAATTCTCACCAAGGGGACTTTCATCAAAAGGATCAGTCTTTGACTTGCTGGTCAGGAGGTTGAGGCACATTGATGACACTGTATGCTTAGGGTCACTATATAGCGAGGAACAGTATTGTTAAAATCAGTTTACAAAAACTATTAAATGATAATAATCCTTGCAGTTGATGTAGCACTTTATCATGGTGTTGAAACATCTCAAAGCGCTTCACAGATTATATAGTAAAGTGGATTAACTGTGTATTTTATGGGCGAAATGCGACAGCCAATTGCGCACAGCAGTGTTCCTCAAACAGTCGTGAATTGAGTGACCCAATTATTATTTTTTTTGGGGGGGAGCAATTATTGCCCATGGAAAGTAATCTGCCAATCAACTTACCAACCAGGTTCCTATTTACTCCTAGGTAAACAGAAGCATATGGATTAAGGAAACATGCCTAAGGTTTTGTCCCGCCCGGGAATCAAACCCGGGTCCTCTCGCTTGTGAGACCAGCATGCTAACCACCATGGTATGGAACTCCAAAAGTACATTAACAAATTCTATGAGGTAACTGGCATACACAAAAACAATACTGTTAACTAACTGGTGGAGTTGATTAGACCCTGATCCATATCTCTGTGGCCTAGATATAGCTGATCCAAATAGAACCAGAGATATCCAGCTTAGCTAGACATGAGAACCATTGTAACAGTATCAATGGTACAGAAGAGCTTAATATACTGGTCAAACAGTACACTAGCTAATCCCATTACATGAAAACCTCCACAAAAAGCTAGGTTTTATGCCACTTTCTTTACCTGTATCACACATTCTGCAATTTGTTTCTATAATACACATCTGACTCATCAAAACTAGGGCCAGATTATTTTGTTTTGCACGTCCGTGCCAACATTTGCATGCATCTAAGTAAGTTATAAAAGTTCTATTTGGTATATAAGAAAGCAAAACTTTGCACCTGTAAAATTACTTAACTTTAATTAATTCTCAGCATATCTTGAATTGGCATGCTTGAGGTTACCAAGATGTAATGCCTTTACATAGTTCAGTTCAGCAAAAAGGCCATTTCCGTTCTCAGAGTTCAAGGATAGTGAAATCCTTGGCACATAGTTTACATATCATTTAATTCCAAGGATTGTTTCCACCTACACGGATTAATTGGGGCAAATGGTCTGTTTCCATAAGGCATCACTCTATGTAATTCTATGAAGGGCATATGGTGAAACAGATAATACCTACTTACTTTTCATGTTTTGGAGAAGATAAGGGTTGGACTCTCGATGAATAATATTAACATAAAAATTAAACTAATCACAATCCTAAAAAATGACAATTTGTTGCTAAACACAAAAGGAATCTCTTCTAAGACATGTGAAAAAAAATTAGAAACCAATCTGATGTACCCTCAGAATAACTGATGTTAAAGTAATATTTATACCATATGTAATGACATCACCGCCATTCACTTTTTATCATATTTCACACTGCTGTCTTTGAAAGTGAAAACAGATGGCACTTACTTTATATATCAATTTAGTTCCAACTTTAAATAACTCACCTAACATAGTGTGTAAAAAAATGCATTCAGCAGCTATGGGGCATGAACTATATTCAACTTGTCCCTCCCACTGTAACTCATTTATAACTTTATCCATTCATTTAGGGAATATAAATTGAATCCCATGAAAAGCCTTGGCTCTTGCCAACCTGCACCTAATACTTTTCGGGATTAGGTAAGCAGGATGAGTTCCTCCAGAGAGAGTGCGCATTCCACTCCAACAATCTATCTCTGGAATTTCCATGTGTAGGTGGGATTCAGGGAAATCTCAGTTTAGTTTGGATATTCCTTAAGCATGGTGCTGGGTGTTCTCATGTGTCAGACATCCGGCTGACCCCCAAAAAAAATCCTACGTCACCTCAGTCTGCACTGCTTTATACTACTCTTAATGGCACAAACACAAGCCTTACAAAATCATTCTAATGAAGGGTGGAGAACGGGATGGGTTATTCATGCAAGAGAAGGGGTTGGGGTTCGCATGGGGTATAAACTCGGCACAAACTAATTGGGGCAAATGCTGTTTCCACGATATATGCATGTAACTCTATGCAGGGCATATTGTCTTATGTTGTGCACAGATACCTACCTACGCTACATGTTTTGGATAAGGGTTGGACTCTTGAACGTCTTTCAATGACAGCCTAAGAAGAATTTTATTTTATCCTATAGCTTTCATTGTGACATGAATGGTAAAAACAGAATGATCTGCTTTGTAGCAGTCAGAAAAACGTCAGCTTGTGAATTACAAATCCACTCACCCTTGGCCTTAGGTTAATCAATTCAGTATTATTGAACAAGGTATTCTGCAGTAGCAGCTGTCTTCGATTGGCATATTTATGTAGGACGATAGTACCAGGGTTGGAAACTGCCATTATAAAGGTGAGGGAGTGTTTTGGCATTTATAGAGATTGCTTGAATGACAAAAACACCAAATTAATGATGATCTGCAATGGGGAAAGTGGCTCATGATGTAACCTGCATTTTCTGCAGAATCCTATGTCTGTTACTCCAGCTTACGAAATCTGAGCTCCAGGACAATCTGGGTTAGAGCTGAAATCTTGTGAGTCAGAGTGATGTACAGTGGGGTTCACTGCAGGAAACACAGCTTATGTTCCCAGGTGCTTTATCCAGCAACTATTTAGTAATTTCCCCCCCCGTTCGAGCACCTTTATTCAATCCCAGTGTCTTTATGTTCATTTCTTACAGTGCCCTCTTCAGAGAACTCATACTGGCGTAACAATAAAGCACTGACTGTTTCCCTCCATCCCAAAAATGTTCCAAGTTCAAATCCTAGTTCTTGCCATGCTGGATAAATCTCACCAGTTTTCAGGCAAACCACTAGATGGTGCCCTGGTTGCAGCAACCAAGAATTCTGTCTCTGGCAGGATACATTGACAGAGTAATCCTGGCAGACCAATTACTAAGTAATATATGGTGGCCTAGATCATCTTGCCCTTCCAATAACGAAGGAGCCAGGAATGAGGAACCTAAAAGGGGAAGAAATAAGTGGAGAAAAATGCAGTATGTCAATAATGTACTCTTTAAAAAGACCAGAAAATGGTCTTACCTTCCTCGGATGGAGACTGGCTGATAGAAAGCTGTGAGGGTGACTGGACACTCGTACTCGAAGTCATCTTGAAGGTCTATGAAATTGATTGACCATGGTAGTTGCACGCGGGTGATTATGATCAGGTAAACCTGTTCAAGAAGGTTATGGGATCATTGGTTTAGCAAAGCGACCTGCTCCTAGACTTCTGCTAATGCCACACAAAGCTACACAGGAGATGCCCATATGTGGCCTTCATTGAAGCCACACATATCCACACATATCTCCTGTGGAGCTTTGTGCCTAGCTCCCCCACCCCAGCTTCCTCAAGGTCAAGATCAAGGCTGAAGTCAGGAATACAGAAGTACAGAGAATCCACATGCAAAATAATTCCCAACACTTAGTGGCATTGCCTACTGATTGTCAACACTTAGTGGCATTGCCACATTGTCATTCCCCTTTGTAACTTGTTTGAAATAAAACTTTAAAAAATACAATCTCCCTCTTAACCGCCACACACCATTCCATAGTCAAGAGAATAGGCAACAACCCACTCCAAAATCTGCTGGCTGAATTCTGCAACTGACCACTAGATGGCCGTGTTGGATTCTCATCTGATTGGGATATCCCTCAAGATCCTTGCTGATTATCTCCATCCCCCAGGCTACCGTGTAACGAAATAGGAAAAATATTGGGTTAAACTTGAGGTATAGCTTAAAATAGCACCAGCGTTAAATAACTCCATTTTAATTATCACTGCAATAAGCCATGTTTAGTGTGAACATTCTCAGGTTCACACTCTATCTGTACTGTAGTTCAGTGGTTAGAGGACTCACCTCGCAAGCGAGAGAGACCTTGGTTTGATTCCCGGCAGGGCGAAAGCTTAGTCAAGTGTCCTTACTCCACATGTCTCTGTTTACCTATCGGTAAGTTGGAACCCGGTTGTTAGTTGATTGGCGGATCGCTTTTCTGGGGGTAATAATTCCTTCAAAAAACCAATAATTTGGTCTCTCAATCCATGACTGTTGGCAGGACACTGCTGTGCAAAATTGGCTGCCGCAATTCACCCACAAAATATACAGTCAATTCACTTTACAGTATATTCTGTGAAGCATTTTGGGACGTCTCAAAGACTTGATTAAGGTGTTATATCAAATGCAAGGATTATTATGATTCCTATAAGACACTAGGTGGCAGAATCTCAACCCAATCCTTCTTCCCTCCCCTCAGTGGAAGCACTAAGTTTCAAACTTAATGAGGTGAACCTCAACCTCGAAGACGAAATAACATTTTCTGGGCCAGGAAGGGCACTAATTTTGCTTCTCACCTAAAGATCCAGGCAGGAAAACAATACTTAAAATATAAAATAAATATTCCTCACTCTCCAAAATAGGATACCAACTTCACTTGGTTGGTACCATGGGAAAAACACTCAAATACTGTCTCCAGGATTTAAAAAAACATGCTTTGCTGCTCCTGATTTTCAAGATGATGTTTTATTTAAAAAAAGGAAGAAATTAGTGTGTGAGAAGCAGGGGTTTTAAGCGACTGTTTCTTCCTTTTCACATCAAAATTTTCATGAAATGCTGCACTTTTTGCTCTAAGGTTTTGCCAGTCTTTCTTCAGAGAACTGGAGAATGGAATGGGCACTGAAACACTGGCCCTTAGAGTATTGGGATGTGAATACAAGCCAAGTATTTCTCCATAGAGAAGCACAAGATAGAAATCAAAAGACAACAACAAAATTACATTTGTATAGAGCTTTTCAGGTCGGGAAGATGTCCCAAGTAGCTGGACAATCAGTGTTTCAAACCCGAGCTGGGGATCTGGATTGGGGAGGATGGAGGGTAGGGGGGGAAGGAGAGTGATCGAAGGCACAGTCGAAGAGGAGTGTCTTGAGATGGGTCTTGAAGGGGGCAAGGGAGGGAGCAAGGCGGAGAGACTGTGTGATGGAGTTCCAGAGAGTGGGGGCAGAGTGGCAGAAGGCCCGCCCGCCTATGGCAGGGGACGTGAAGCAGGCCTGAGCCTGCTGAGTGGAAAGAGCGGGAAGGTTGGTAGGGGGTTTGGAGGTCGCAGAAGTAGAGGGGAGCAAGGTCATGGAGGGCTTTGAAGGCGAGGACCAGGATCCTGAACTGTATCCTGTGTGGTGGTGATAGGATCATGGAGCCTGGTGCAGGAAAGAACACGGGCTGCAGAGTTCTGGATGATCTGCATCCCAGGACCTGAGGAAGCTGACAAGCAGAGAGTTTGCATAATCAGGCTTGGATGTTATGAACGAGTGTAGAAATGATAGTTGAGGGTTAAACAAGATGCCAAGTTCTGGACTGGCTTAGTAAGTGTGCTTCAAAGGGTGCATCCTTGGACCAAGGAGTGTGCTTCCTTGGATGGTGATCCTGTCAATGCCTAAGGTGAGGAGGCGCTGACGGGAGCCAATCAGGAGAGCCTCGTCTTGTTGATGTTCAACTGAAGTAAGTTAGTTCTCATCCAGGACTTGGTGTCTGACAGACAGTGGTCAGGACAGCAGTGGTCCTGGAATCGAATGTGGAGGCAGAGAGATAGAGTTGGGTGTCATCTGTGTATATGTGGAAGTTGACCCCGTGTCTGCGGATGATGTCACCAAGAGGGAGCATATAGATATTAAAGAGGAGCGGACCAAGGACAGACACCTAAGGAACGCCGCACGAGACAGGGCGGGGTGTAGAGGAGAAACCGTTTGCAGAGATGAAGTGGAAACGGTATGAGAGGTAGGATCGGAACCAGTCAAGGGCAGAACCATGATGGTTGAGGTGAGAGGAGAGGTGGTGGAGGAGGATAGAGTGGTCAACTGTATCAAAGGCAGTGGAGAGGTCAAGGACGAGGAGGCAGAGGGAGTCATTTTGACCATAGCTGTTTCTGTGCTGTGGGCGGCATGGAAACCTGATTGGAGGGGTTCATGAAGACAGTGGTGGGAGAGGAAGTAGTGAAGCAACGACTCATTCCAGGACCTTGGAAAGGAAAGGGAGGTTGGAGATGGGGCAGTAGTTTGAGAGCAGGGATGGGTCCAGAGGATGTTTTAAGAATAGGAGTGATGATGGTTGTTTTTAAACGGGTGGAAACGTTGCCAGTGGAACAACTTTGAGACAATGTTGTCTCCAGGCTACTCTTGCGCTCGTCATATCAGCAGGTTTCAGAGCAGTTTGGGCAAATACCTTGATACGGATCATTTCACCACTCTTTCTTGGCTGATGATGTTGAATGGAGTAGGGAGTTCAAGGCGTAAGTGAAAAAATTATTTAAATATACTAGTCTCACTCAAAAAAAATATCTCAAATGCATACAGAATAAATTTACTTTGTGCTGATGATATCTCATGAGGGATACCCTTTCTGAAGTATGTTTTTCTCTTTACACCAGATCTAGGGAGTCTCTGCAGTGCTGGTGCAGGAGCGAAGTAAGCACAGCACATGCTAAATGAATTATACAGTATGCCAAACATGCATCCGTCATGCACCCAACACATTACTGTGGAATTTTGCAGTCAGACCCAAGACATCTTACACATTCAAATAAAGGGGTAGAAAATGTGATGTCTCATATCAGATTTGATAATTTCTGAGAGCGTTATTGAATCGATTTCAAAACAACTAGGAAGGAGGGAAGGAGGAGCATCTGCAGTGTGTGATATAATAATTATCATAAGGTACTTTATTCTCAGTTGTTATTTATTCAGTACTGAACAAATGGCTTAGAGCTCAACACAACTCCAACTTCTGAAGCATGGTTTCTCCCTCCAGCCCAGTATTGACACCATGTTTGTTTTAACAAATCAAGAGTTTGTATTTATTCTGGCCACTGGAATTTTTTATTTTAGTTGTGTCATGTTAAAATTATTTTTAGCCACATTATATGGAGGAGGATGAAATCTACTCTCTTTCTGTGGCCCCAATTTATGATTTGTAGATTGCTGGACAACCACTTATATGCTTGGATATATGTTATATGTTAATTCTCACAAGGTTGAGAAAGTTTAATTTCCCTATCTTGTCACATTGCATATATAGAATTTCGCCTGGTGGAATTTCCATCTCTTCCTACCGACTAGCTAGCTGCGGATGAATTTCCCCCTCCTCCACCCGAACTACCTTAGCACAATTGGATGTGAAGATCAGCAGCTGCCATTCTTGATGCAGCATTTCAATGCAGCTTTGTAGGATCTCAGCATACAGAACTCAGTATTCTGTAAAGTGGTGGTCGAATAATAATACAATGATCCTTGTGCTTGATAATCCTTATTACGTTGTTCAGATGTCTCAAAGCGCTTCAGAAAATATCCTGTAAAGTGAATTGACTGCGTATTTTGTGGGCGAAACGCAGCAATCAATTGCGCACAGCAGTGTCCCACAAAGAGTCGTAGATTGAGTGGCCAAACTTACTTTTTTTTTGCTGGCTCTGGGAACAGAAACCTCAAACTCTAGGTAAGAATCTAAGATTCTGGCACTTAATATCTCGTAACCAGCTTCAGGAAAAATTTCTTCAATCTGGGCCATGAGCGGATGGCCATTAGCTCATCACATACATAATGGTCATCACACCCACGGGCAATCTTTAGGGTGGATGTGAAGATTTCAGAAGCTGCCATTTTTATGGATGAAATTATAGATGGAATAATGCGTTTTCCTAACAGATTTAATAACATTTGATAATTATTGAACGTTATGAAATATCATATCACTTTTCATCCCAAAAAGATTTTTTCTGCATAACAACTCTGGTCACTAATGAAAACACTAATGAAATCAGTTCATCTACTCAAATTGGTCAACATTAAAATCAGATAGATGAGTTAAATTGGAAATATCTGTATATACAGTATTTAAAATTTACTTAGGGGGTGCTTGGTAGTTCATTTTGAAATAATACTACTTGCATTTGATGCAGGGCATTATCACATCAGAATGATGTCTCAAAGCACTTCACGCTTTACTCTATTTCACTTTACTGTGAAATAGTGACTGTGTATTTGTAGGCAGACCCGGAAGCACAATTGCGCACAGCAATGTCCCTCAACAGCCATGTTATGAATGACCAATTTTATTTGAGGGAATGTTGGTCAGGATCGGGAAAACTCCCTTCTCTTGGGAATCTCTGGTTGTATTGAAGGAGCAAGTATTTTAGCAACAATAAAATGGAGTTTCATTTTCTACAGGGCATTACAGAGAAAATTACATGATCTTTATATATCAGAGGGCAAGGAGTGTTAGTTAACAAAAATATAAAATGTTATCTTGTAGTTCATTGTGATTTAACTGTGTAAAGGAAATGCTACATAGAAACATATTTGATCCTAAACTTCAGTATAGCATTATAAAGAAAAACATTCTGAACCAGCCTTAATTTAAACCTGCTGCCCTGGATGGAAAGGGTTTGAAACTTACAGAAATTGTAAATTATCTGCATGAACAAAAGTCACTCAGTGTGTTTTCCAGACCACAAAATCCAATCGTTCTTAGTTTCTGTTTTAGTTGAGATTCATATTATTTAAACATTATATTGGCTCAGCAAACCCTAAGATACAGAATAAGAAGCCACCAAGTATCTCCCTATAAAATCAAATGTTTGCAACCCCCACCAACTCCGCAAATGAGGTTTACTGCAATAGATCACAAAGCGAGAAACATGGTAGACATTTTGCACTCAGCAAAAACCTACAAATAGCTATGAGGTGAATTTGTACGATTGTTGGCCTTTTTAAATAGTGCCTTGGGATCCTTAATGTCCTCCTGAAAAACAGGCAGACAGGACCTCAGTTTAATACCTCATCTGAAGGATGGCACTTCTGACAATGCAGCACTAAATTGAAGTCAGCCTATATTATGGCCTCAAATCCCAAAATGGGATTACAAGCCCTCAACCTTCTGACCTCGAGGTGAGAGTGCTACCAACTAAAGCATGCTGAAGGCAGCTGAGACCAAATTGATCAGCAAGGTTCAAAATTCTGGAATTCCCGAATATATTCCGTTCTTTAATTATCACCAGGGATAATTAAGGAATGCTTCATCGACTGAAACTGCCATAATTACAGCTTTGGGACTCCATGTTCCCTTGACTTGGGAATAATGGTTTCTCCCTTGGGTTTGTCAGTCAATTGGGACACCTTTTATTTTAATTTTTATCGAGTGATGAGATTTTGATTCCCAGGCGCTTGAATGGTCTTTAAATTATTTTTAGACCAGATTCTGAAAAAGAAGTATGAAATAGCTTTCTGTAGCTGGCTCGATTATAAAGACTCCCCCCGGCAAACTAATGCTGCTATGTTGGTCAATAAGGCTATTTTGATCAGAGTTTTGTCGACGGGGGGGGGGGGGGGGACTGGGGAGGCGACTGCAGGCACCTTTAATTTAAATTAATTTAGTATAAATTAAATAATAAATAATTACTTTGAAACATATCTGCAGCATAAAGAAATAATATGTCTTCCTTTCTTTAAAATTTATTATCTTATGAAGTCATTCACAACATTGTTAGGGATGTCGTAGTGGTTCCAGCTCATTACTGCAGTTGATGGCAACTACGTACACACACCTGAAACCTTTTAGGTGACTACATTTATTGCATTGTACCTGTGAGTTTACGCCATCTAATGAGGTAACTTTCACCTTCACTTTTGTATCTCCTGCAGATAGGGAAACTGGCTGATTAACTTCCTTCTCATTAACAGTCACTTTCATTTTACGGTGCGGAACGGATGGATGTACAATTACAGAGACCATATGGAATGGAGCTGTACCTAAAATATGAAACAGATTATTTTTAGTATGCAAAATGAACTTGCTACTGCATTGAAAAATAGTTATATCGGGGAGTGGGGATTATTCTGCTTTGTTCAGTAAAAATAGCAAATTTACTGAGGGGCACTGAGCGAATTTGCTCCTGAGGCCTATAAGCAACTGAAAATTAAATGTTATATTCTAAATAACACTAAATGGTAGATCTAAGATTTAAATAAAGTTGTTGATTGTGACAAATTTGCTAAACTTAGTGAACAAAAAGCAGCTCACATTGACCAATTAGTCACATTTGTTTGAAGGAGCAAGATGCCCCTCCTCCATTTCAAAACTGCTTGAAGCATACAGCATATATAAACCTTCACACAGGGTAGCATCTCGGAGCGCTTGACAGTGGTGGATCTTGATGTTGAGCCTGGGAGAGAGGGATGCCGACCACAGGCACAGTGATTTGAAATTGGGCAAAGAGGGGCAAGGCAGAGGGATTCAGCAAAGAGATCCAGAGCTGAAGTTACAGCCAAATGCACAAATTAAAAATTGGAGAAATCTGATGGACTTAAGGTCTTCCCAGCCTCTTTAGTTATTTGGCTCAATAATAAAATATTTTCGCTGTGTCTTTTATCAGCTCCCTCTCCCCCAGAATACGACCTCCACTGTTACAGAGTAAAAGCAAGATTGGCACAATCCAAGGGCAGTTGAGCATCCACTCTGCAAATAAACACAATTCTTGAGGAATCAGGACTCATCTTTAAGGATGTAAACAATCATGGATGCAGAATACCATACCATTCTTCTGAAATATCCAGGAAGATTGCAGCAATAATAATAACAATTCTTACATTTGATATAATGCCTTATCACGTTGATGAGATGTCTCAAAGCACTTCACAGAATATACTGTCAAGTGCTATGTAAATGAAAGTTGTTGTTGTTATTGTTGAATTGACTGTATATATTGTGGGTGAAAGCAAGGTCTTTTTGTTGGTTTCACTCCAGGTGCTTTTTAAGTTGCACGAGGCAAGTACAATCCTTAAAATTGCTGAATGCCCCAGTGATATCGAGGCTTGATGGGCCAAATGGCCATTTCGTATTCCATGCTTTAAGTTTCTATGTTGAATACTTACTATGAGGACCATGTGCCATCTGCATTACATCCATAAATAATCCAAAATTATTTTCCGGGGTAATAATTCCTTAAAAAAAATAATAAATTGGTCACTCAATCCACGACCGTTTGTGGGTCACTACTTGCGTAATTGGCTGCCATGTTTCGTCCACAAAATACACAGTCAATTCACTTGACAGTATATTATGTGAAGTGCTTTGAGACGTCTCAAAACGTGATAAGGCCCTATATCAAAGGCAAGGATTATTACTATTATAATTATTATTATTATTATTATAGTATTGGACCTTTTGGAGTAAAATTGGGGTTAGGAACTGCAAGGACAATGAAATTGCTCTCAGTTCACCTTGACGATAACATTTGGTGATCCTTGTTTGCCTCACAGCTTTAAAGGCTCAAAACAACAGTGAGGGAAGGATCATCTGGAAGGTTTAAACTGGTGCAACAAGCACAATCTCTAAATGATAATAATAATCCTTGCATTTGACGTAGTGCCTTATCGTGTCATCGTGTCATCCTGTAGCTCAGTGGTTAGAGCGCTCGCTTTGCAAGCGAGAGACCTGAGTTCAATTCCAGGCAGAGGGCGAAACTTTGGGCAAGTTTCCTTACTCCACACAGAGCCTAATAATAATCCCTCCAAAACAAAACAATAATAAATTGGTCATTTTCAATCTACATTTTCATTTTCAGTTTGTGTGACATTGCTGTGCGCAATTGGCTGCCGCGTTCGCCCACAAATATACAGTCAATTCACTTTACAGTGTATTCTGTGAAGCGCTTTGGAACGTCCTCCCGACGTGAAAAGCGCTATATCAAATGTAAGGATTATTATTATTATTATTATCGAGACATCTGAAAAGATGTCCTGGAGGAGCTACTCTTTTGAAAACAATTCCCTGTAGATAAGATATATCTGCAGGTAAATGCAAAGAGAAATGCATTTTTTTAAGCTGGCTTACATGTTACATATTACATTGGTGCCAAGGGAATTTGTGCGGGGAGCACTTACCCTGGAATGAGTGTGCAAATGCTGGGAAGGGGGCTAAATGTATCTTCTTAATGCACTGTACAATTCCCTGAAGCTACTGGTTGATCTCCCTGGAATTCCTACTTGGAAGCTTTGGAGTATAGGAGAGGTGAAACACTGCTGTTGCCACTTCTATCCGCTAAATGCAGGTAACAACAATGCAAATTGAGATATCGCTTCAGTTTGTCACATATAATTCTCATATCGGTTTTAGGGTTCTTTGGCCAAAAAGTTCAGACTTTCCACCCTTTTTTTAAATGTAAAATTAAAATTTCCTATAAAGTAGTAGACATAACTTTAAAAACAGTAACATTCTTTGTTCCCGCCAGATACACCTTATCTACAGGGGATTATTTTCAAAAGGGTTGCTCCTCGAGGATATCTTTTGAGATGTCATGACAACATGATAAGGCACTATATAAAATGCAAGGATTATTATTATCTACAGATCTCTCATGTTGCACTAGTGAAACCTTCCAGATGCCCTTTTCTTCACTGTTGTTTTGAGAATCTAAAGCTGTGGGAGGAAAAAAATGATTGTCCAACCAACGTTATACTCAGGCTGAACTAAGGGTAATGTGGCATTTCCTGGTCCTTGCAGTTCCTAACCCCAACATTGAGATGCAGCGCAAATAGCATACGGTCCGCAGATCAAGTATTCAATATTAAAACTTAAAGTTCGGAATAAGAAATTACCATTTGGTCCATCAAGTATTATTATCAATCCTGGTCCTTCCACAGACTTGCAAAACCTACGCTTTCATGGACCGCACACACACATTCGCTATCTCCTTTGGGAAAGAATAAATACTCCCAGAACCTCAAAGGTAATCAAGTAAAAGCTCCAGAATATTCATGCATCCGCACTATTCAATCTGACTAGTCAATTTGTCATTAATTGCACAAGTTTAACATTCTTTAAAAATCCCTAATGCCTGGACTGCACTTTCATTACATATTAAGGATGGTTCTGAAAACCTATCCCTGCAGTATATGTCTTACTATTATTGGCAATGTGCCGTTATATGCTGTTCTATGTTTTATGTAGTGCTGAATTTTAGTGAGACAAACCCTGAGGAATTTCTTTTAAATAACAGTTCCTACAATCTTCTCCTCCTACGTAGCTGTCCTGCAAGATTTTTGATTATCACAGTGAACTGTACGGGCTATTTTATTGCAGTTGAGTCATAATTCTGTGATGTGTGTGAAATGAAATGGCATGATTCATTGCACTCTCTATTTATGAAGGTTTTCCCCCAGGATTAGGAGGTCGATGAAGCATTTTATAGATGGCAGGTACTAAAACAATTACATATAAATTATTTTTTAGACATATGCCAAAATGCTCCCTGGTGACTTAAATGGGAAAAAATGCCCAGTGTAAAAATACATGACCTGAGTAGAATGACTTAAGTTTGGTTTCCGGTCAGTGTTGTTTGTGTTAGCTGATCTCAGCTATGGTGGCAGGAGGGCTAAAAATGATGTTACCTGGGCCACAGAAGGAAAAGAAGATTAGTCCTACCACTAATCATTTTTGAATAACTCCTGCTGGAAATTATGTATGTTTGTATTCAGTGACGATAGGATTGGACTCAGCTGTGATAGCCCCCACTGTTAAAGAGCCCAACGATATTCAGTTTCTGGGCTCAAAGATGAAGAATGGCATCTTAAATTAGGCTCTAGAGATGTGGAACTTGACACAACAGTACAAGTTAGCATCTTCGGGAAGGAAGGAAAGAAACTTTAAGGGAGTTTGAATGCTAGATGTTGTAATCAGATTCCTCTGAATCTAAAACATTGAAGGGTAAAACAGTGAGTTGTTTTAGAGCACAGGTTTTACATCGAACGTAACAAATCTGTTTCCATTCGATAAATATCGTCAGGTTCAGTAATCCTCCTCCTCATATACCTACTTTGAGATCCACTGTTTGTATGCTATTTTACCAACATTGTAGTAGCATCTTGAAACTTTTTGGCACAAATGTAGTCTGACATGCTCTTGTAAAATGCTGATCTCTGCATTGGGCCAAATTTCAGCGAAGTTATTCACTCTGCACCACGATACCGTGACACCGAAAAATGATCATCTGATCATGGATCAGCATTTCAACGTAAGCAGAAGGGATACTGACTGAAATAAATCTTTACCCTCGCCTGCTGCCCTCAAACACTGCGGAATCAATGCACACACACGTACAAATACAAACCTTTCAAGATGAACTTTACGATGTTTAAAAAAGGCACAAAACTGACCAAATTCGACCTGGGCAAGTCAGGTGCTGTGGGTGGGGCAGGGGAAGCGATTACTGATCATAGCGATAATTATCGAATGGGAACAAATCTGAGACATTTCATAACTATAATAATAATAATCCTTGCCTTTCATACAGTGCCTTATCACAGAATATATTATGAAGTGAATTGATTGTGACCGAAACACAGCAGCCAATTGCGCACAACAGTGTTCCACAAACTGTTGCGGATTGAGTGGCCAAATTATTATTTTTTTAAAAAATTCATCTGATGTGATAATTATCACTACAAAGCGCTCTTTAAGCGCTCTGGGACTCTACCCTGCGTGAGGGTTGCTGTTGTACGAGACTTGATGAAATACCCCATTATGTGGAACTCTGGTATTACTAAGATTATTTGATACAGTTGACAGCTATATACAGCTGTCCTGCTCATTTTCGTTTCATGGGATGAGGAAGTTACATACAGAAGTCACACAGAAAAAAAAGACCCAGTGGCCCATCAAGTCTGCTCCCGGGAGAATGCACCTACTCTACGCAGAATATTCAACTAAAATTGCAGTGTTAATGATTATTGTAATCTTCCTGAGCATTTCTATTTTTGCAGTTCTAGTATTTACATTATCCCGCAGAGGCAACGTACTGCTGTAAGCATTCATGAATAGGAAGTAGTACATACATGTGAATTCATACACATCTGAAGCAAACTCTGGATCAAGTTGGAGGTTGTCAGATAATTTCAGTTTAGTTAGCGATGCGACGTGTGGAGCAAGTCTGATAACGTCAAGCGTATATTTCTTCAAAGTTCCATCTTCTGCAGCAACCTCAATTTGAATTTTAGTTCTATCGTCTTTGAGGAAAACCGTTTTGGAACCCTCTGCACCCTACAAAAAAAACAGGTCCACTGGGAATTAGTCATATAATAATAATAATAATAATCTTTGCATTTGATATGGCGCTTTTCATGTCTTCTAGACGTCTCAAAGCGCTTCACAGAATATGCTGTACATTTGTGGGCGAAACTGCGCACCGCAGTGTCCTTCAAACAGTCTTGGATTGAAAATGACCAATTTATTATTGTTTTTGTTGTTTTGGAGGGATTATTATTAGGCGTGTGCAGTAAGGAAACTTGCCCAAGGTTTCGCTCGGCCTGGAACTGAACCCAGGTGTCTCACTTGCAAGGCGAGTGTTCTAATCACTGAGCTACAGGACTCCATCTAAAGATACACCGCACGGAAAAAAAGCCATTTGGCCCAACTGGTCCATGACAGTGATTATAATAATACAGTAATAATAATCCTTATATTTGGTATAACGCGCTTCAAGTCAGGAGGGTGTCCCAAACCATCACAGGATATACTCTGTGTTCTGTGGGTGAACATGGTGGACAATTTGTGCACAGCCACAAACACACATGAAATGAATGGCCAATTTTATCTGGGGGGTTGTTGGCTAGGATGCCGGGAGAAACTCTGCTCTTTTCAAACGTTGCCATGAAATCTTTAAAGTTCACCTGAATGGACAGATGGGCCACAGAATTTCAAGTCCCGACGTGAGGCTTGAACACACAAGCTTCAAACTCAGAGATCACAGTGCTGTTAGGCTGACACACAATATTCTCCACACGAGTCCTCCATTCCTCACACCTATACCCCTCAAATCCCTTCTCCCTCTTGTGTGCATCAAGTTTTCTCTTAAATACATTAATGCCATTTGCTTCAACCACAGGATTTAAATCAAATTACAGTTTAAATTATAAATATCACAGAATATATTATGAAGTGAATTGATTGTGACCGAAACACAGCAGCCAATTGCGCACAACAGTGTTCCACAAACTGTTGTGGATTGAGTGGCCAAATTATTACTACTGAGTATAGGTGTGTCTTCGACAACAACAACAACAAAATTACATTTATAGAGCGTCTTTCACGTCGGGAGGACGTCCCAAAGTGCTGAACAGTCAGATGTCGGGGCCTGAGAATGGGGAGGAATGGTATAGGGGTGAGGGAAGGCAGAGAGGTGGGAGGGAGACCAAAGGCACGGTCGAAGAGAAGGGTCTTGAGGGAGGAAACGAGGCGAAGGGACCGTGGGATGGAGTTCCAGAGTGTGGGTACAGACACCATTTATTTAATCATAAACTAAAACAATTTTTTTTACATTTTCTTTTTTAAACAATTTATAAACAACAATGAATTCAATTTAATTTTATAAATGAAATAAATAAAATAAATGTATTCATTTTAGCATGGATTAAAGAGTGGCTAAAGGGTAGAAAACAGAGAGTAAGGATAAACGGGTCATTCTCGAATTGGTAGGATGTGACTAGTGGAGTGCCACAAGGATCAGTGCTTGGGCCTCAGCTATTTACAATTGACATCAATGATCTAGACGAGAACATTGAATGTAACGTATTTAAATTCGCGGATGACACTAAAGTAGGTGGGAGAGTAAGCTCTGAGGATGATGCAAAAAGATTGCAACGGGATATAGATAGGCTAGGGGAGTGGGCGAGTAGGTGGCAGATGGAATTTAATGTGGGGAAGTGTGAAGTTATTCACCTAGGTAGAAAAAAATTTCTAGAGGGGGAGAGATTAGATAGTATTCGTGTTCAGAGGGATTTGGGTGTCCTTGGACACCAGTCTCAAAAAGTTAGTTTGCAGGTGCAGCAAGCAACTAAGAAGGCGAACGGTATGTTAGCGTTCATTGCAAAAGGTTTAGAGTACAAGAGTAGGGAAGTCTTGCTGCAACTGTATAGGGCTTTGGTGAGACCGCACCTAGAGTATTGTGTGCAGTTTTGGTCTCCTTATTTAAAAAAGGACATACTTGCCCTGGAGGGGGTGCAGCGTAGATTCACTCGGTTAGTTCCTGGGATGAGGGGACTGACCTATGAGGATAGGCTGAATAAACCAGGGCTGTATTCTCTAGAGTGCAGAAGAATTAGGGGAGATCTTATTGAAACATATAAGATTCTTAAAGGGCTGAATAAAGCAGCCACTGAGGGTCTGTTTCCCCGGGTAGGAGAATCTATAACCAGGGGTCACAGTCTTAAAATTAAGGGTCAGCCTTTTAGAACAGAGTTGAGGAAACATTTCTTCACTCAGAGAGTAGTGAATTGATGGACTTCACTACCCCAGAAGGCTGTAGATGCTCAGTCCTTGAACATCTTCAAGGCTGAGACTGATAGATTTTTAAAAAACAGAGGGATTAGGGGATATGGGATAGGGCAGGTAATCAGAGTTAGGTCTGAAGATCAGCCACGATCTTATCGAATGGCGGGGCAGCTCGAGGGGCCGAATGGCCTACTCCTGCTCCTAATTCTTATGTTCTGATGTTCTTACTTAAAAAAGAACAGAGGGCAGGGAATGGGGAATATTATATAATAATAATCCTTGCATTTGGTATTGCTCCTCACCGCGTCGTCGAGACGTCTCAAAGCGCTTCGCAGAATATACCGTCAAGTGAATTGACTGGATAGTTTGTGGGCGAAACGCGGCAGCCAACTGCGCTCGGCAGCGTCCCGCAAACAGCGGTGGATTGAAGTGACCCATTTATTATTTGAGGGATCACTATTCCCCCCCGGAAAGCGATCCGCCAACTGACTAACAGTCGGGTCCCCACTGACTGCAAGCGATAATAAGCATTACTAATATTATTATTAATTTTTTAAAAAAAGCCAGGGAGGGAGGGAGGGAGGGAGGCTTACAATGATTTGGTAGGAGGCGCCGCTGTCGCTGGTCACTGGGTTCAGCGTTATCCTCTTGATCTCGCTGCTGACCACCACTTTGTAGGAGGTCAAGTTGGGCGTGAAGGGAGGGTCCAGCTTCCCGTGAGAGATGGTCAATTTCCTTAAGGTGCAGTCATCCATAGCTTCTACTACCGGCGTTTGCCAACTACTATTACTATCCCTCAACGGCCAGACAGACAGACAACAGACAGACAGACAGACAGCCGCCGCTCCCAAACCAGAGCCGGCTGGAAGAGAGCGGCTCCTTTCCCCCCACCCAACCCCCCCCCCCCCCCAGGCCCGGGCCCCTTCGCACCCTCACAACAGGCCCGAAGCTGCTGTCATGGCAACGGGCTGCCATGGTAACCAGCGGGAGCGACGCAGGGCGCACGCGCGAGGGGGGCGCCGGTGCTGGAATTACCGCCGGTGATCGTTGCGAGTCTGTGTTTCCTTTTTCTCTTTCTTTCGATGGCCTGTTAGGAATTTGCAAATATTGCGACGGATTGTTCTTTCCTTTTTTTTACTAATGTTATTATTATTATTATTATTATTATTAGCGCCTCATCGCCTCATTGAGCCACCAGTCAGTGGATGTATTTGTAGTTTCAGGCTGCCGTTGCGATTGGCTGCCGCTGGAGGAAACTACAACACCCAGAATGCCCCGAGGGCGGGAGGGCCGCGCAGGCGCGCACGGGCAGGCCGACGTCCGCTTCCGGTCGCGACCTCCTCGGTTTCCCCCTCCTCTCCTCTCCTCGCGCGCGGACGGCGGTTGGGCGGCTCGGCGATGGCGGCGCCCCGGGAAGAGTTCCCGAGCGAAATCCAGGAGCCCCTGGCGGCGTTTGAGGAGTCGCTCAAGTCGGCGGAGGGTGCGCTGAGGAGCCTCATGTCGGTGCCCAGGAGCGAGCTGCTCCAGAAGGTAACAGCAACAACAGCAGTTTTTAAATAAAAATAATAAAAATAATTAATAATGATAATAATAATCCTCTTCGCATTCGGTATTGCTCCTCACCGCGAGGAGCCGAGACGTCTCAAAGCGCTTTCGCGGAATACGCTGCAAAGTGGGGTGACTGGTGTATTCTGCGGGGGTGGGGGGGAGGGGGGGGGCAGCCAGTGGCGCAGGGCGGGCGGGCGTCCCGTCCCGCAAGCGGTGGTGGGTGTTGAGCGAACCCATTTTTTTTGTGTTGCGGGGCGGGGGTGGGCGTTAACATCCCGGAAAGCGATCCGCCAAATCAGCTCGCGACCGGGTTCCTCCTCTGCCGCTCGGTGAACAGAGACGTGCAATAAGCTGACACTTATACAGCCGCGCACGCGCGCGGGCACGCGCAGAGCGCTTAACGGTGGCGGAGCCTGACGCCGAGCCGGGGGGAGGTGACTGTAAGCACGGTCGAAGGGGAAGGTCTTCGGGGGTGATCTCAAAATGGGAAGGAGGGATTGGGAGAGAGTTCCAAAGCTTTGGAGCGTAGTGGCTGGTAGTTCCCACCTGGTCCAGCCGGGACCACTTTACACCGTGAGCTTTAACGTAAGCTAAGCGGGAAGAGTTTCTGGCCTTTGGGACTGGTCTGTGCCTCCAAGCCCCTCCAACGTGCCAGGATGGTTAGTCTCTCCTCAGCAGTGCCCTGGAGGGCTGTGGACGCACCTGGTTTGGGAACTGGACTACCGATACCTTGATAGAGGATCAGCTTGATTCCGGCATTGCATCGTCAAACACGTGACCTTGGAGCCAGAGCTGCCGAGAAGAGATGCTGCTTCCTTGGGAGTCCCCAAGTCCCCAAGTCTTGTCTCATCAACCGGACCTACGCCTGGAATTGGCTAAGCAGAGTACATATCTCCAGTGCATTCCATTCCAAACACGGAAATTTCCATGTATAGTTGCATATATATCTGGAGCTCTCAGTCCAATTCAATCCGGTATGATTAAGTATGGTGATGAGTTTGTGCAATGTATCAGTCACTCGGATGACCCCCCACCCCCACCCAAAAAAAATCATCTGATGGCTGCTCGCCTCTGTCCTTACCTTTAAAGTTCCACTTGAACAGGCAGACAAAATGTCAGTTGAAGTCTCTTCTCTGAAGCACAGGGTAATGTGCTAACTGGGGTCCCTAAGTCCTGGCTCTTGCCATCCTGCACCTAACACTTTCCAGGATTGGATGTACAGGATGCATCCTTCCAAGGTGCGAACGTACACTTTCATTCCTACAAACTGAAATTTCCATTCATACATAGAACTCTCAATAGTTTGGTTTGGATACTTTAAGCATGTTGATGGGTTTTCTTGTGTATCAGACGCTCAGTTGACCAAAACTTGTCTGGGCTGATTCCAGCTGACATTCAAGTTCTGACCTCTGGATGCTAGCGTATAGGTGCCCTCCAGAATCTTATCTATGTGGCCTTCATGTGTGAGCATTGTACAATGATCTGTGGATCTTTTTTGGAATTGATGGAAAAATACTCCAATCTCAGCTGAATTGTGCTGTTTGAACATATTTCCAAAACCTAATGATTATTTTTTCATGGTAAACATTTTCTGTGATGTAAAATGAGTTGCGTCATGTTTCTGTCCCTCTCTTTCAGTTGGACCCCGTTGAGCAAGCCAAATTGGATTTGGCTTCTGCTTACACACTCAATTCTATGTTTTGGAGTGAGTATTTCTAAATTCTCTGTATTGTCATTGATGTTAATGTGTTGCTTTTATTTTCCCTTTTCTGTATAAACCAACGCCTTGGGACGTCATCCCAACATGAAAGGCATTGTACAAATATAATTTTGTTGTTGTAAACCGACATTATTGTAATAGCTTGTGTCTTGTCTTTTAGTTTATCTAATCACACGAGGAGTCAACCCCAAAGAGCACGCTGTCAAACAGGAGCTGGTGAGTAATAATGTAATGCTTACATTTCATGTCAGGAGGATGACTTCAAGTACCTCAAAGGATTTACTGGAAAATATGTTTGCATTAAATTGCATTTTGTAGACTAACGGCCCAGCAAATTTGCGCACAGTGTAGTGCCCAGGCTTGTGAGACACACGCTGTCTTTTTTTGGTTCTTACTATGGCACATTCAGTTTTCATTAAAACTGATTTTCATTAAAACTTTTATAACAGCTGGCTCAGTGATAGCACTCGCGCCTCTGAGTCAGAAGATTATTGGTTTAAGTCCAACGTCAGAATTTGAAACTCACATAGTCTAAGCTGACCCTCCAATGAAGTACTGCAAAGTCGGAGGTGCCTTCCTTCAGATGAGATTTTAAAGGTGGATGTTAAAGATCTCATGGCACTATTCAAAAAGAGAAGGGAGTTTCTTCTGATGTCCTGGCCAAAAATTCCCCAAATAAAAATGAATTGGTCATTCACTTTATGGCTTGTGGGACATTACTGTGTGCAACTGTGCTGCCGTGTTTGCCTACAAAATACGTAGACCATTTCACAGTAAATCCTGTGAAGCACTTTGAGACTTCCGATGTAATAATGATAATCTTTGCATTTGATATAGCGCTTTTTACGTCTTCTAGACGTCTCAAAGCGCTTCACCCAATAGACTGTAAAGTGAATTGACTGTATATTTGTGGGTGAAATGCGGCAGCCAATTGCGCACAGCAGTGTCCCACAAACAGTCCTGGTTGAAATGACCAATTTATTTATTTTTTGAGGGATTATTATCAGGCATGTGGAGTAAGGAGACTTGCCCAAGGTTTCACCCTGCCGGGAATTGAACCCAGGTCTCTCGCTTGCAAAGCGAGTGCTCTAACCACTGAGCTACAGGACTCCACAACAACAAGGCACTATACGAAATGCCTCGATTATTAATATGAAGTGAATTACCATTTTTTTCATTTGGAGGATTGTTGGCCAGGGAGAACCCCCACTTCTCTTTTCAAATAGTGCGTTGGGATCTTTGATGTGCACCTGAACAGGCAGACAGACTCCGGACCTGGGTTTAATGTCTTATCCGCAGGATGGCACGTTTGAAAATGCAGCGCACTCTTGGCAATTTATTGGAGCATCAATCCTGATTTGGGCTTGTTTCTACAGCCTTCTGACTCTGAAACGAGAGTGCTCCCAATTTATCCAGGCTGGCACCATGACCATGACATGCTCTTCATTGGTGCCTGTCAAGTCAGCATAAAACTATACATTTTATGACAGCTCTTGTTCTATGAGTTCATGAGTGCAAAGGATGTTAGTCCTGTGAAATAAAACAGCTTACTATTCCTGACGATTTATGACTGACTTAACCTTAAATAAAATTTAAGTACAGAAATTTGAATACTTCTTAATTTGGAAATTCTATACAATGTTACATTTGAAGAGAATTGTCTGTGGTTTAAACGTGTGGGTGGAATTATTTAGGCATGCATAGTTAAGCCAAAGTAAATTTCCCTTTATGAGTGTGGCTCAGAAGAGAATTCCTCTTACTCAACCACTGTGACATTTTCCACAGTACCAACTCTTTCCTTGGTCTGTTCTGACACCTATTATAATAATAATAATAATAATAATCCTTACATTTGATATAGCGCTTTTCACGTCAGGAGGACGTCCCAAAGCGCTTCACAGAACACACTGTAAAGTGAATTGACTGTATATTTGTGGGCGAACGCGGCAGCCAATTGCGCACAGCAATGTCCCACAAACAGTCGTAGATTGAAAATGACCAATTTAATTATTGTTTTGGGTTTTTTGGAGGGATTATTATTAGGCGTGTGGAGTAAGGAAACTTGCCCAAGGTTTCGCCCTGCCTGGAATTGAACTCAGATCTCTCACTTGCAAAGCGAGTGCTCTAACCACTGAGCTACAGGACTCCACTATTAGGTACTGACTTGAGATGGTCAAACTTATTTCAAAGTCAGCAGACACGATAACTAACTGTGATGGATGCATTCACAATCATAGTGCCCAGGCTTGTGAGACATCACCTGTCTTGGTTCTTACCATGACACATTCAGCTTTCAGTAAAACTTACTTATTGTGAGGGGGAAGAACATTTTACTTAAGGCAGTAACTCAGGAGGAAGCAAGCATCCAAGTTTGAATGTAATATAAACGTTTTATTTAGAAATATCTCCAGATGTAGATATTTCCTCTCTTCCACGACCACCAAAACTGTAGAATTTTAATGTAAAGTATATTATTCACATTTTTTATGTAGGGATGAAAGATGATCAAGCAAGATACTGTACTGCTTTATAAAATATTCCAGCATTTCCATAAATCGGTTAGTTGGTGTAGGACTAAGTGATGGAAGAGCTGGGTTTTAGGCAGCGAGTTTAATTTCCCCAATTGTGAAGTTGTGAAGCTTGTTGAAATGACTTGAAACAATCTAACACTAAGGTGTATACAGTAAACCTTGCATAAGTATGATCTGTACAAATCATATAATCCCCTATACCCAAGAATGCCTAAGAAGTCATTAAAACAGGGTTGACAATGTAAACTAGGCATTTGGTCTAGCAGTATTTGAATTCTGAACTATTAATGATAAGTAGACAATTACTGCAAAAATGGGTGTGATATATTTTATAGCCATTGAAGATAAAGATTGTTTAAAGATAGCAACACTCCCCATTCTGCATGTCAGAAAAATTGAGCACTCCCAAACGCCACCCCCATGAAGGACGCTATATAAAAGCAAGTTGTTGTCATCTGTGCTGTAGTTTGCACTGGCACCAGAAACCATGTTGGTTTTAATTGATTGCAGTGAGATGATTAGAAATTGGAAACCGAAGATAATCATGGCTAGGAAATGTGGAACTATTGGTCTGGGGTTACAAAGCCTTGAGTTTACAGGAATAATTTGGATATTGCAGTAATGACTTCATGATTTGGAAATGCACTTGGCCTGTTTTTTGTCCATCAGCATTCTCAGCGTTTAAGGGGATCAGCAATAAGAAACAATAAGAGAAGCTGGAGATTTGGGGCTCTTGAAAACTCAAAAGAGATACAAAATGCTCAACAGGAAAGAGAACGTAAACCCAGAACAACAATGAAGTGTTTTGGTTGTCACGAAATGTGGGTGAGACAAGGACACTGAACCAATTTAAGAAACCACTTAGCGCTTTAATGGAAACACAACAAGTTTGGCATTTTGGAAGGATGAGATCAAATGTGCCGAAAGCCTGATGATCATGTGCACTATAAATTGTCACTCAGACCTGCACTCTTTATGTCGGTCATTAATTCTTCTGATCGGGGGTCTAATTTGTAAGGTTTTCAAAAGAATTTATCAATTCTTGTAAATTCTTGACTGTCCTGCTGCCAATCTCCTGTGTCTCCAGCTGACCTTCTAAGATTAAAAACACTTGGATACTGATTTTTCTGTTGATCTGAGTGGGCTGGTCTTAATATTGATGATAACTCTTGTATTTGAGATTGTGCATTTAATGTTGAAACATTTCAAACTCAGCAGCCAATTTGCACACAGCAAGGTTCCGGGACCTTGAAATGAAGGATCAATTTTGTCTTGCGGATTGTCAGTCAGGATGTCAAGAGAAACTTGCTTCACTTTTTGAATAGTGATATGAGAACATTCACCTTAACGCTAAATGGAATCTCGGTTTGACATCTCTGACATTATATTAACATTACTCTGACATTGAAGTTTTGCCCGAGAGTGTCAGCCTTGAATATGAGCTCAAGTACCAATGTAGGGCACAACCTGCAACCTTCTGACCCAGAGACAAGAGTGCTGCCCAACTGAGCAAAGCTGGCTTTCACTACATCTCAATACCTGTTGAATCTAATACTTGGTAAGGGAAAAATTAAAGCCCATTGTATTTTAAATGTGAGGAACATGTCGGTTGGTTAGTATCAGTTATGACATCTACTTCTGGCAAAACAAGGTGTAAGCTGCACTGCAATTGTCCTGAGACTCTTAGTAGAGACTCTTGCACAAGCAGTGTGACCTAGTCCTAAGTCTTGCAGACCAGTGAAGCAAAGCTGCATTGCTAACCTGCATCTGATCTCTGTCTGCTTGCAGCCAGGAATTGACGGTAGTTGGTATTGCCGGAGGGTTGAATTGCATTATTTGGCTTGCTGCCTCCATTGGTTCGGTCGGAAGCTCAATTCTGGACAGGTTGTTATTATCACAGTATATTCTGCGAAGTGCTTTGAGACGTCTCGGAGACGTGATAAGGTGCTATATCAAATGCAAGGATTATTATTATTATTATTTAGTTAAACTCAATTACATCACATCATTGCATTGTACCCACCTAAAGCTACCTGTTGTTGGTGTGTGATAACTTTTACTAGAATAAAGTGCCACGGCCCCAGATCAAGTGTTATTTGACGAACCGAGGCAGGCTTGCATGGAGCTAGCTTACCCTACGGTGCCCACTCTTAAATGCTTTCTTGTATACTTCCGGAATAGAGCGTGAAATTTTGTTAGGATTTTGTTTGGCTAGGCTCCAAGAAAAAATAAGACCTTGGTTAGCATGACATCAGATACTGAACTTGTGGCCATTTTGCATTGATGATCTATTCATTAAATGGAAACTTTCACCAAAAAGACTTTTCCTTTCTGTTGGCATCACTTCTTGATGTACAGAATTTAATTTCTCTTGTAGAAATTGCGGGATTTATGGAAACTAATTTCTTTTTTTCTTTGAGTCTAGTTTTGTGATTCAAATTCAATTCCTTGAAGGGGAGAACTCAAAACCACTTTTATGGATTATTTCAAGGGATTATAAAGCGGAACATTGGCTCAGATTCTTTTTAATTTTGATAATGATTGCAATTTAAAACTGCCAGGTGTTTCAGAATTGTAGCCAGGACTGACATACTTCTGTTTGACACAGCCCTGACTCCCTGAAGCATAGGAAGATAAAAGTATCAGTGGGAGGGAGAGAAAAAGAGAGAGAAGACTAATGAAATGGGCTAAACATAGGAGTTTGCAGTGCAATTTATAATTTTCAAATGTAACTTTGGAACAGTTTGTGGATATCAGGCTCATATTGTACTTATTTCTCAGTGACCTAAGTAAGATGAAAACCATGTTGTGAATGATTTACTAGTACAACATAGCCATAATTACTACTACTTATTCCAGATGCGACTTTTTCACTCCCTCATATATTTATTTCCTCTGCTGTAAAGTATCTAGTTCAGCACTTAAGCTGAAAGCTTTTTTGGCGTTCAGCATGCTTGTCCTGACCTGTTCAAGCAACATTTTCATCTGGTTTTCATCACTTTAAGACAACATGTCTCTCGATTGAATATTTCAGAATGCACATTTTGGAAAAAAAAGTCAAACCCAGTACTGTCTGTTTATGTCTGAACAATTGCTTGGTTATTAAATTAATTTTGGTATGGTTATGCTTTAACATTTATATGTTATGCATCAAGTTAAAATGATTGAAGGACCATACATTCTGAATAATATTGATCAAATTGTTCCAATTTAACAAGTTATTGAATTACCGGTGCTTTTCTGCAGATTTTCCTACTCTAATGCGTATGCTGTAAGTTATTACTTTCAACTACATCCTAACTTTTACTTTTAAAAGGACACATTTCATAAACAATAGTATCTTTGTGGGGGAAATTTCAGGCCTTAAATTCTTTGGAGTGATGTCCTTACCCAGTATTAGTATCCATCATAATGAAAAGTTGGTATTTGTAGATTTCTATCACATTCGGGAGTTTTTGCTGAATTTTTGTGATTCTCTGCAATCTGTTGGCACTTTTAACATGTCAGCTTGGCTCAGTTGGAAGCACTCTCATCTCTTGATTCAGAAGGTTGTAGGTACAACCCCCATATCGGGACTTTCAGCTCATAATCAAAGCTCTAATGCAGTGCTGTGGGAGTGCCGCACTGTCAGAGGTGCCATCCTATGAAGTCCTGTAGCGTAACGGTTAGAGCACCCGAGTCTCAAGCGAGAGGACCCTGGTTTGATTCCCGGGCTGGACGAAACGTTAGGCAAGTTTCCTTACTCCACGCGCCTCTGTTTACCTGGCAATAAGTAGGAAGCTGGTTGTTAGTCGATTGGCGGATTGCTTTTTGGGGTAATAATCCCCCCACCCCAAAAAAATTTTTATAACTGTTTATGGGACGCTGCTTTGCGGAAATGGCTGTTGCGTTTTCCCGACAAAACATGCAGTCAATTCACTTTACAGTATGTTCTGTGAAGCGCTTTGGGACGGCTCGAAGAATATACTGTAAAGTGAAAAGGCACTATATCAAATGCTAGGATTATTATTATCCTTTGGGTGAGTACATCAAACTGAGGTTCTGCCTGTCTGCTCAGGTTTGCGTTAAGGATCCTGTGGCACTATTTAAAAAGAGTAGAGTTTTGCTTGGTGTCCTGGCCAACAATTTCCCAGATAACATTGGTTATTCACTTCGTAGTTGTTTGCGGGACATTACTGAGTGCAAATTGGCTCCTGTGTTTGCCTACAAATACACAGTCACTGCTCTTTACAGTAATTTCCTGTGAAGCACTTTGTGATGTTTTAATGTCATAGGTACTGTATCAAATACAAGGATTATTATTTTTGTCTCAAAAAGAAGATCTGAATAGACCTTGCAGGATTGAAACCCACAACATTCTGCCCCCCCCCCCCCCCCAACACCCCAAAGGCAACCAACTGATCTATTCAACTTAATCTCTTTGTTTTCAAAGTAGTTTTTTTCCACAGGGATCATGTAAAATTGTTCGAAGCTCCAAGGGTGCATTGGGTTAGTTTACAATGAATATTTTGTGTTTTAATGTCACTCCCTGTCCCAGCTCCTTGCATTTGTATACCTTCTGTTTTTGGACAGAACATTGATTGACAGTGTTGACATATAAATGCAGGCAGTGTTTGTTACCAGCCCAAAAATGGCCCTTTGCAGCTTTACAGTAGCCCTTTGAACCACTTTTAAGTGTTGCCATTGTACTTTTAATCGTATTAAAAATAAATGCTGGTCAGTTTGAGGCCTGAGGATGACTTGATTTGTACATGTTCAGAGGTCTCCTCAGTCCCAATAAAGAGTGAGAAATATGAATCCATCCTTTTTTTAGAAAAATAAAAACTGCCTTTGCTTGAAACAGCAGAAGATCAAATTAGGCTTCATTTCATGAAGAATGTGCTCATTGTAAATCGAAGTGAAAGTCATTGAGTCCAAGGAATCTCAACAAAAGGTTCAGGTGATTTGAGAAATTAAGAACAAAGTTTCAAAATATATATTTTTAACTGTTGCTTTATACTGTATTCATTCTAAACCCTTGTGTCCAGGCATTTCAATATATAAAGCTCATTTCAAAAAATAAAAGTGAAAGCGGTTATAGTTGTTACTGATAGTTTTATATGGGTGTCTCTTTATTCATGTTTTACTCCTCTCTTCTCCCACACAATTGACGACAGGTTTATGTATTTGTGTAAGTGTTTTTTGCAATAGTAGAATCTGGTTCAATAAAATGGCAAAATTCAATCATCAATCCATTGAAATAAATCAATATGGTGCATCTTTCCAGGCTTCACAATTTGTGTGCAATAACACTGAGAGACTAAACTGTGATAAAGATTACAATTAATTAGGGTGCAAACAATCTTGCATGGGATAGAGGGGACATGTAATGCAAATGACTTGTTTGATACGAGTAATACTATTGGAAGGTCATTTTTGCAGAAAGCTAGTCCGTGCGAATGGGTGTGGTGTGTACCCACATCCTTGCTTTCATGATTCTAGATAGAACAGTATCTCTAAAGCGTAATTCTCATGGCCTTTGTTTTTGCAGGAGCGGATAAGGACGTACATGAATAAAGTAAAAGAAATAACCGACAGGAAGAAGGCCTCCAGGCTTGACAAGGGAGTGGCATCCAGAATTGTCCGAAATGCATTGTGGGAAGCAAAGCCAGAAGGGGGGCAGAAAAGGAAACCCAGGTCTTTGCCACATTCAAAAAGCAAAAAATAAAATGTAAAAAAAATTCTAACAATGAGAGCATCTTTATTAATCCACCTGGTGTGCCACTGGGTGTCAGTATTGTTTATTTTTTTTAAAAAAAGCTATGCAATGTGTCGTAATGAAACACTTTTGATTATGCTGCGAGATGTTAATTTTGTAAGGAAATTAAATTGAAAGTGGAGGTAGGTAATGTTCGTATACTTTGAAATGGCTTTAATTCTGTGTTGGTCAAGGGAGGAATGATCTTGGTGGTTGCAAGACCTTAAGGTGATCTCGATCTTAAACTTGTGTTTGAAAAGCTTTCTATCTTAAGTCTGAGAAGGCAAAATAACCCAATTCACTTCCAATTTTAGACATTGAATCACAGTTTTATAGTCGTTGATACAAGATTGAATTGCTCACTTTTAATGCCGTTTTTTATATTGCAGTTTAGAAATACAAACAGGCAATTTCTGCTTTTCCAGCTTTGCCTTTTGCTTTACCTTTACTTAATTAAAAGTTCTCATGAAGTGGGCTGAGAGTGGGAGCTTCCCTTGCTTTTTAAAAAAAGGCTTAAAAAAACGAAATAATTTGTATAAATAAACAAAACCTCACTTACCAGTGATCTAAAACCGCAAACATAATAATAATCATCCTTGCATTTGGTACAGCGTTTTATCACATCGTTGAGACATCTCAAAGTGCTTTATACTGTAAAGTGATTTTACTGTATATTTTGAGAGGAAACTCATGCTCAAAGGTGGGGGCAGTGCTCACGAAAGGCCTGTTCATCAACTGCTGAAAGATGGTTTAAAGCTTGTCATCAAATAAGGACGTCAGCGACTGAGCACATGGCAGAGCTGTGGTTCTTCAAGCATAGCTCTACATGGTGAGAACAGCTGGTCTGATTCTGAATCGGATCTGCTACAATTCAGCACCTGGGAAACTGGCTGTTTTTCATGCGGGTTACCTCCAGTGTTAGCATTGTCGCTGGATGTAAACTTGTAATGTAGAAGCACCACAATATTATTCCTTCACAGTTTTTCTGGTGCCATTCTTTAAATGTAGACACGATTGAGTGCCTCCTCCAGGTGACTGGTACTTTACTTGAACTGGCAGCCTGCGATGGTTCAACAAGCTGGCCATGACCACCGGCTTTTAAGCGTTTGGCCAATATCATTGACTCCTATAATATTGCTGTGCTTTTAGATGGGACATAACCACTGAATTTATGGTTTGTTCGATTGGAGATTTACTGCCTTGCAGAAAGTGGGTTAAATTTGTGAAAGTCGGGAACTGGGAGATTTTGGAAATGTGTTTGAGTGTCACTGCACGACTTGCAACAGAATTTGCAGTGTGCTGGGGTCCTTGTTTTTGAGACACAAGAAATGTTATGAAATTCCCCAAAATTGGTGTTTCAATTCGCCTGCGGAGCACAAAGTAGATTTCTCCATATCCAGTGCTGCTATGGCCTATTTGGGGCACAGTGATTGGTGGAATAAAGTAACGGTCAGATCTAGTCCTTACTCTGTGCCACTATATGAGACGACAAATACAGTATTAACACAACTGCTTAATTTTATTTGTTCCTCGCTGTATTTTACCCTAACCATTATACTTTTTTTATATACTGTAACATGCAATTTGGATTTTGTCTATGCTGCAGTATGTGTGAGCGGGTTGCGTTGTATAAATCACAATGATCAGTAGTCAGAGCTAAACTTGTATTAGAAGGTTCACCAATAAACGCCACCTTCCTTAAGTTGGGGCCAAAGACTCATTGCTGACTGGCTTCATTGTGTCGCTGCCAAGATTTGTAAATTGTGTTTTTTGCCATAATGGACATTGGATGAGATGTTAAACCCAGGTCCTGTCTGCCTGTTCACAGGGAAGCTAAAGATCCCATGGCACTATTTGAAAAGAGACGGGAATTATCCCAGTGTCCTGGTCCACAATCCCCTAAATAAAATTGCTCATTCATTCCTTAGCTGTTTGATGGACATTGTGCAAACTGGCTACCGCGTTTCCTCCACAAAATACACTATATCTTGTGAAGTGATTGAGACGTTTCAATGATATGATGAGGTGCTATATCAAATGGAAGTATTATCATTGTAGTGACAATCTGAATTGAGGACAATCTCCCTGAATTGTATGTAGAGCTGCCCTGATTCAGCTCATTTTCCAAACTGCATTTGCATTATCGGCCTCAGGTGAATTCTGGGCTTTCATCTGACAACAGGGATAAGCAGTGGACCATCTGTTCACCTTGTCAATTAAAGAAATCTGAGTGCGCTGGGAACGCAGTTGGAAGTTTGCCAGTGATTGCAATGGAAGATAAGAAACCCTGCATTTGGTATAGCGCCTTTCTAGTGGGGAGATCGTACCCAACACTTTGCAGGATTTACTGTGAAGTTGAGTGACTGTTTCTTGGTAAACGCGACAGTCAATTCTGCGGCAAAGTCCCACAACTATCCATGAAGCGAGTGACCAATTTTACTTGAAGGATTGTCGGCCAGGACACCAGGAGAAACTCCCTTTGCTTTTTGAATATTGTCAAGATCTTTAATGTCAACCTGAACAGGAAGGTGGGGCCTCGGTTTAATGGATGGCATTAAACCGAGGCCCCACCTTCCAAGGATGGCATCTCTGACAATACAACAGCAGCAGCAAATTACATTTGGATCGCAACGTTCATGGCGCACCCTCAGCACTGCATTTTAGTGTCACCTTAGAATATGAGTCCCAAGTCCTGACGTGGGGTCTTGAACCCACAACCTTCTGACTCAGGTGAGTGTGTTACCACTGAGCCAGCCTGACGCATCTGCACGGATTTAGCTGGTTGAGTTTCAGCAATAGCCCCAGTACACATTTTGGTCCCGTATCTAAATAAAATCTCTTGAGATTAAGTAATAAACGTGCATTTCTGAAGGGGAAGAGTACTCCATATCAAACAAATGGATAGTGATGGGTCTGCATGTGTGTCCAGACTAACAATGTTTGTGCAATAATAATAATAATCCTTGCATTTGATATAGCGCCTTATCACGTCGTTGAGATGTCTCAAAGCACTTCACAGAATATACTGTAAATGGATTGACTGTATTTTGTGGGCAAAATGCGGCAGCCAATTGCGCACAGCAGTCGTGGATTGAGTGACAAAAAATTTTTCTGAGAAAACTGAGAAAATACTAGTCGAAAAAAGACCAAGGTCCACCTAGTTCACCTTTATGATGGTAGCATGCACATATATCCCAAACTACCTATGTACTATATCACATAATGTTATTTCCTAAAAGAATCAACACTTCCTGCTTCAACCGTCTCCCAAGGGAGCCTGTTCCACAGGTTCACTATTCGCTCACTGAAATAGTGTTTGCGTAGATTCGTTCTGAATTTACCCCCTTCAATCAAAGGCCGTGTCCTCTGGTTTACTATTCTGGACAAGTTGAAACAGCCTGTCACAAACCGTAAAGACAGCAATCATGTCTCTTCTCAATCTCTTCCAGTGTGAACATGTCCAATTTACTTAGTCGCTCCTCATAGTCCAGTCCTTCCATTCCCTCAATCATTTTGGTTGCCCTCCTCTGTATCTTCTCGATTTCTTTAATATCCTTTTTGTACTGCGGCGACCAGAACTGTACGTGGTACATTAAGTACGGTCTCACCAATGATTTATACAGTGGCAGGATTACCCCACTATTTTGACATGCTATTGATCTTTTGATACATCCCAACATCTGGTTTATTTTACTCACTGCCACAGAGCATTGTTGGGAGAACTTCAACTTGTTGTCAATCAGGATCCCCAGGTCCTTTTCATTTTCCATACATATTATTTTCCTTCCGTTCAAATAATATTCCCTTCCAGGATTTTGTGACCCCATGTGAAGTACTTCACATGGGAACAAAACCCGATAACCACTATGCTACGGGACTCCACGAGTGCTTCATACTCAGCAGCACATTCACATTGAAGAAATACTGGAAATGCATCCATTGTGATTACTGGATTAAGATTCATATTTACCACTGCTTGATGCCTTAGTAGAAACCTGGGGGAAAATGCAATTTTAGCTCAAGATGGAAAAAATCTACTTTTGGAAGCTTTTGTATAGGCATTGCCTTTCATTATAATCCCAAATGGAGGCACTGTATTTTATGTCTTCCCTCGACATATTAAGTGCTTTTGGATAAATGAATTCTGTTTTTGGATATCATAACTGGAAAAAAAAACTCATCCAAAAGATAAAATTAGCACTTAATGGCAATGCCGACCTATGTGGCAAGTCGACCTGACTTTGAGATGGGAAATTAATGCTGTTTTTGCATAGTTGGAAAGAGGGAATTTGGATAAGTCAGGTGGTTGTAACTGGAGAATGGATGGAGATAAATGTAAGGATATGAAATTTACTGTGGCGCAAATTCTCCCCTACTTTTATTATATTTAAACGATTCCAGTAGAGCTCAACAAAAAGTATTAAGATGTCCAACTTAAAGTCTATTACACGCACGCACACAATTCGGTTACATAAATGTATTGAGGAATTCTGGGCTAGCTGACAATAACCTTCATCTGTAGATGTTATAAACAAATGGTTTCCTGGGCAGGTGTTAAAGTTCTGTAATTTTGTTTTAGCGGGGAAATCAAAGCAAAGAATAATTCTGGGATTTGAGATCGCACCTTTCATGTCAAGATGTCTCAAAAAGAGCTTCACAGGATTTTATTGTAGAGTTTAATGACTGGGTATTTGTTGGCAATTTACGCACAGCAATACTCCACATTTGGCCATTTGTGAAGTGAATTGACCAATTTTATTGTCGGCCAAGACCCTGGGAGAGACTCACTTCTTGTATCAAGTCGTATATTTGCCAAAACCAGGCAAATAGGACTTCGATTTAAAAGAATAATCCGAGTGTCAGCCTAAACTGAATTCAAAGTCCCGACATGACACGTGTCTTGTGGAGTCCTGTAGCGGTTAGAGCACTCGCCTCGCAAACAAGAAGAACTGGGTTTGATTCACAGGCAGGGCAAAATGGGCAAGTTTTCTTACTCCACACACCCGGTCGTTAGTTGATTGGTGAATCTCTTTTCCAGGGGTAACAGTCCCTTCAAAAAAAGTTTAAAAAAATAATAATTTGGTCATTCAATCCAAGACTGGGACACTGCTGTGCGCAATTGGTTGCCGCATTTCGCTCATAAAATATACAGTCAACTCACTTCACAGTGTATTCTGTAAAGAACTTTGAGACGTCTCAAAGATGTGATGAGGAGCAATATCAAATGCAAAGATTACTATTTTAAGAACTACAGAAAACCGACTTCAAAGCTAAGACAACTTAACAAGTTGCCAAATTCTGGACATTAAAACCACACGTAAATAAGAATGAAGTCTCGACCCAGGTAAACTTCTCCCCCCCATCGATGCCCAGTCCTAGCTGGTACTGAGCATGAACTCTTTGCCTGGGATGGATGTTTGGAAATTGCCCCAGTGGCAGGATGGTTTCTCATGGATGAGAGTCGCTTAAAAGGTTGGGCTTGACCACTGTGTCACCAAAGCATGTCTTTCTCAGCAGGCATTTTCCTGTTGTTCAGGACTGAGATTTCCCTTCATGAATTGTTTTGCCACAAAATACGCAGTCAATTCACTTTACAGTATATTGTGCGAAGCACTTTCAAATGTTTTG